CTTGAAATCACATTCACTCAACTTAGTCTGCTAGATAATAGATAATCACGGAGTAGGCAGTAGATCTAGACCCCGAGTTGATAAATAGAACTTGCCACTATTCTGCATTTTCGGATTGCAATTACACTTGGTCGCAATTTGTTGTTGTGTTTTAGCGTGTCAAGTTTTTGGCGTCGTTGCCGGGGAACCCTAGGTTATTGTGGAAACGTGAAAGTTTGTTACTCTAGCTTTTTCTTTACTGCATTCTCTCTCTTCCACATTTGTGCCTTCACGGGTTGTGTTTGCATTCTGTGTGCAGGTAGTGCATGACCCGTAGCCAGTCAGGAGAATTACTATCGTTATACCAAGAGCTTGAACGGCGCGACTGGCTGCGGAGGAGGCTTTAGCACAGCTGCAGATCAACCAGGAGGAAGACATGGGTGAGCCTCAAAACAATGATATGGTTGTCCCCGATGAGCACACCATGGGATATTACTGGACCGCCAGAGCCGCGGACATGAGGTCGCCCATCCAGCACCCTCAAGTTTCAGACAATAACTTTGAGGTGAGCATCTCTGTCATCACTATGCTGCGCAGCTCGGTGGTATTTCATGGAAAAGAGGGGGAGTGTCCCAGATCGCATCTGCGACGATTCCACGAGCTCATCGAAGGGATCAAGATAAATGGGGTCCTAGCCGATGCCATCCAGTTGAGATACTTCTCATTCACTCTGGAGGGGCAAGCCAAAGAGTGGCTGGATATTCGGCCTCCAGGATCGATCACAACGTTCGCCAACCTGGCGGACAAGTTCCTCACTCGCTATCATCCTCCGTCCAAGATGGCGGACCTGCAGAAGCAGATCACCCACTTTGCCCAGGAGGAAGATGAAACCATTCGTGATGCTTCGGAAAGATACACCAGTCTTTTCCTGAAGTGTCCCAATCATGGGTTCAATGACGCCTTCAAGGTGGGCACCTTCTACCACTCTTCCCAGAAGACAAGCAGCTGATTGACTCGGTTTGCGGCGGGAACATGCTAACCAAGATCCCGCCGCAGCTGAATCGACTATTTGAAGATATGGCAGAGCAGGGATATGATTGAGGAACTGCCAGGAGATCGAGACGAGCACCAGGTCGGGGTGTGCATGATGTAGCCACCCAGTCGTCTGAGTTGGTGCAGGTGGTATCTAAGCTGGTCTCAGCCATTGATAATTCTGGAATGGTCATAGGGACAGAACAGCAACAGGTGATGCATTGCTAATGGTGCGAGAGCACCCATCATACTGTGGAAGACTATCAAGCGTTGAGGGAGTCAACTACACCCCAGGAGCAGGTGAACTTCATCAACAATGCTAGGCGCAATGACCCCTATAGCAACACGTATAACGAGGGGTGGCGCCATCATCCCAACTTCTCATGGAGTGGAAATAATCCTAAGCCACCAGTCTCCCAGGGACCTTCAGGCTTCCAGAGACCGCCATATCAGTAGGGGCAATTCCAGCAGCAGTAGTAGTCTCTCTACCAGCCCACGCAGGGGCAGGCTGCTCAACCGCAGCCACGGCCTTTCCAGCAGCCAGGTGCAGCTCCTGCAACCCCAGTGCAGAATGATCCGATAGCTGAACTGCAAGACTTGGTGGGTTCTCTTGTCAGTTCCAGTGCTCATAAATTCAACACTATCGAGTACTTCGTGGAAAAGGCCTCGAGTAAATTCCTGGCTCTTGAAGCTGGCCAGAGGTACACACAGGCTGTTTTGCAGGATATCCAAACCCAGCTGGGGAGTGGGGCTCAAATAGTGGCACAGAGGGCTCCAAGTACCTTGCTGTGTCATACCATTCCTAATCCATAGGACCTGAATGCCCACTGTAATGCTATCACTACAAGGAGCGGCAAAGTGACTGCAGACCCACCTGTCCTGGCCAGACATGCAGGAGAGAGACCTACTTCGGCATTTTCAGCTATTGAAAAAGAAACGGAGAAGGAGGTTGAGGTTGAGGTGCCTGCTCCTAAGTCGCAACTAGTGGTGAAGGAGTATGTCCCTCAACTTCCCTTCCCTACTCGGCTTCACACAGACCCGCTAGAGGCACAGTTCGGGAACTTCATGACCATGTTTAGGAAGCTGAATGTTCAAGTGCCCTTCCTGGAGGCACTATCTCAAATGCCTAAGTATGCGAAGTTCCTCAAGGATCTTCTCTCGAAAAAGCATAAGCTGAGCGAGCTGGCCATTATGGAGCTCAGCGAGGAGTGTTCGGCCATCTTGCACGGAAGGACCCAGGTAGTTTTACTATCCCGTGCTCTATTGGCAATTTGCATGTAGAGAGGTCCTTGGCGATTTAGGTGCTAGTATCAATGTTATACCATATAAATTGTTCAAGAAACTAGACCTAGGTGAACGGAGCGCAACTAGAATGAGTATTCAATTAGCTGACCGATCTGTAGTTCATCTTAGGGGCATAGTGGAAGACCTCCTGGTTAAGGTTGGCAGATTCTTTTATCCTGTAGATTTTTTTGTCTTGGACATCAATGAAGTATGACTGCTCTGATTTCTGTTTTCCTCTCTCTCTCTCTCTCTCTCTCTCTCTCTCTAGAGTAGAACCCTCTCTCACTTGGGTATGAAGAACCCTAGTTCCATGTGTTAGGGATACTGATTGTAATGACTTTTGGTTTGTGATACTGCTTGATTATAATCGATTGATGCATGATTCATTGAGTCAATTGAAGTATGATCATCTTTTCTTGATTTCTGCTGCAACCTAAGATAGATAGAATCTGATTAGGTTGTTAGAGTTTCCTCAATCGGTAGTAGTGAATTGGTTATACGAGAGTTAGTCGATTCACTTCTTTTTACTGGAATTCAATTCCAGTAGTGGAGTTCTGTGTTAACTGCCTCAGCGTTCTATCCCGGTGAAGACTAGTCGTTTGCCGGATAGTCTGTCTGAGAGGGCTTGGTCAGCTTAAGAGATTCCAAGCTATTGTTGGATCTTCCGCAGTTTAATCAACAGTAAATCAACCAAAGGTAATTACAACTTTGACCTAACTAAGGAGCTAGGGGGACTCATTCCCGAGTGACTCTTCCCTTGCTTAAGAACTCCGAACCATTTCCTGCTTTCTTACTGCTTTAGCTTGAAATCACATTCACTCAACTTAGTCTGCTAGATAATAGATAATCACGGAGTAGGCAGTAGATCTAGACCCCGGGTTGATAAATGGAACTTGCCACTATTCTGCATTTCCGGACTACGATTACATTTGGTCGTAGTTTGGTGTTGTGTTTTAGCGTGTCACGCTTCTTCTCCTTATCTAGGCAACACACTCCCACTCGCATCATCCATATCTAATTATCAACAAATTTACACAATATCATACTTAGATGCGCACTAGTTAATTAATTTTCTATTAACTAATGTACTGAATATTAACATTAACTAATTTTCTATTAACATTAGTTGTTAATTAATCACTAATTAATTAATTTTCTATTAAGTAATTTAAGTAATTAAACATGCATACACCAATTTAAATACACTAATTGCTAATTTCTATTAACTAATGTACTGAATATTAACATTAATTGTTAAATCAATCACTAATTAATTAATTTTCTATCAACTAATTTAAGTAATTAAACATTCATACACCAATTTAAATAAATATTAATACTAATTGCTAATTTCTATTAACTAATGTACTGAATATTAACATTAATTGTTAAATCAATCACTAATTAATTAATTTTCTATTAACTCATTAATTTTCTATTGACTAATTAATTAACATATAAAATAAAATTGCCTGCAAAATCCGGTTGGGCCGGAAAAATTTTGCGGCCGGTGCGCCTCCGGGCCAAAACCTTTTGCGGCGGTGTGCCGCCAAGACGAAAGATTTTTCGGTCAGGCGTGGAGCCGGTCGAAAATCTCTTTCGACTCGGCGGTGCCCCGACCGCAAATTTTTTTCGGTTCAAAGCCAAGGCAATATGGTAGAATTAGATTTTGAGTTCAAGAGCTGCTGCAGCCTGCAGGTAAAGCCCAAATCGGTGACCTTTTCCAATGGGCAAATAAAAAAAGATTACAGGCCGAGCGAATCGAATCTACGTACGAAATGGGGAAAAAGCCCAAACGGTGGATGGGAGAAAAGAATAGAATCATAATAGAGAGAGGATGAAAACTGAGAGGAAAAGAAACCCTTTTGCAGTTTGTTCTTTGTGATTGATTTCACAGTTTTTTCATGGTCCATGAAACCGTGCCGGAGACCGTACCGGAAAAGTCAGCGGTAGGGTATTTTATGGCAAAACCGTGGTTTAACCAGAGTTCAACCGTTAGTACCGTTAAATACCGCCTATCGATTTAGCCTCCGATACTGGTATTTTGTGGTTGAACCGCCGGTACGGTACGGTTTAATGGATTTTTAGGCACAGTCACAGATGCAGAAAAAGAGGGCAGAGAGGGAAAAGGGTCTCTGGCCCTAGCTAGTTGGAGTAAGCTACGAAGAGTGAAAAAGGAGTAGAGGACCCGACTACTTCCACAAAGCCAGACAATACAAATACAACAAGGCATGCCAAGACAACTAATTATCGCCATCTAAAGGGTCATTTGATTTTGGTGATTGTTTGTTTGGGATAGTTACAATGCATGTATTGTCCACAATGCATTGTTTTTTTGAATTTTGTGAACAAACTATACATGCATTATTTGCTTGACGTGATGTAAACTATCACTCAAAATGAGTGATAGTAATATCTCAAGTTTTTTGTGAGATTGTTGAGATTGTTTGTGTGAAATTGTTGGATTGTTTTCTTCTTCCAACTATGTCCCTACCTTTTTATTTGTTTTGCTTTTTTATATTAAAAACAAAGGGTAAAAATGACATTTCACCTAGAAAGCAATATATCTTATTTAAATACTAGAACAACTATCACAAAAACCAAACGATGTAAACTACAATGCATCAATTTTCTTATATGCATGTATATTATTATGCATGCATTGATAACAATGCATCTATTTAACTATCATCAAAACCAATATTATACGAGATGCCTAGTGATAGCTATTGATAATTGTATGTTTAACCCAATATTATATTCTCAAATTTGGAAGAGTGAATAGATATAGAATATACGAGATGCCTAGTGATAGCTATTTGCACATCGATCGAGGAAACAATCGACATAATTAGTTGAAAATTCGATGCCGTCCAGTCTCCGAGAGAACTGGATCCGGAGATCCTGGTCGATCTTATCCAGCACAGCCTTGTGCATGTGGCATGCAGCAGCGCTTGCCCTGCTGCTTACCTGCAAACAATATAGACACGGGTACAATCAAAGTAAGAAACAAAGAGGCACATATCCATAGAGAGAAGGGGGGAGGGATGGATGGAGAGGTCTGCTTACCTCCTCATCTCTCGACATAATTTGCTTCTGCAGTTCGTTGAACAAGGAGGCTTCAGGAGTAGGCTCTTCAGTCTGCTCAGAGTGAAATCATTCGATAAATTGTTCACATACAATCAAAAGAAAAAGCAACTATCATACATGAATACCGTGAGAGCTTTAATTGTAGCCTTGGCTTCTCGAACTCTCGCAGCATAGGTGTTTGATCTTCGTTTGTATAAGCGAACAAGTTCATTAGCCTAAAAGGCAGAGGAGAAGCATTTCAATCAGATGCACATACATTTTTAATAATTGCGGGGATTTTGTGAAGCCTCTATCTCACCGTAGATAGGTCCCCGAGAAGGCAGTCTTCCTTCTCCAATGCTGCCTTCTGGTTACTCTCCATCTCCTTCATATATTATAAAAATAAAAATGTTAAAACAGTTCATTCAAACATAAATGGACTAGTAAGTTTGAGACAAAATCCACCTGATTCATGATGTAAATCTGCTTCTGGAGCTCTTCAAGCTTATCATCATTCCGTGACTGATCCAGCTCCTGCTGGAGCTTTCTGTAGCTGTCCTTCATTTCATCCAACTTGACGTTCAGCTCAATTATATCACGATCTTTTAATCCCGATGCCTACACAAATGCTTGTTTATGAGTATTAATGTACTACTCAATATTTGACCAGCAAGAGATTAGTATTATATGGTTGATTTACCGTACATTGTTCTTCAACATAATCTCTCCATTCATCATCACTCATGAACCACTGCTCATGAGCCACTTTCTCAAAATCAACTTCATCGTCATCAAATTTCTGGAAAACACAATTACAAGTTGAAACAAACAGAGCAAGAACAACAATGAATCAACTACAAGTTGGACCAAACGCCTCATAGATATTTTTTTATGTCAGTGATGTCAATTTTAGTAATCAAAAGAGTCCGCAGACATTGGCAGGGGCAAAGGAATTACTTCAGGCTTGCTTAAACAAAGATCACATGAAAATGAAGAAGCATGCAAAGCAAGGGGAACAGGAAGACCAACAAACAGTTTAGTACAAAAGAAGTAACATAAACCATATAAATATATGGGCAGGAACCTAAGGAGAACGGAGGGATAGCTAGGTGAGGTTAAGGGAATAATGAAGACTCGTCTGCACGATATTAGTTATTGTTAGAGGCGGGATTTGCGGTCTTGCCACTGCCCACGCTCTTCATAGGATATCGAAAACTTGGTTAAGTTGTATAGCATAACAAGTTGCAATATGCTCACATAGGCAACAAATTTAGGCTTCCATCCTTGCATCTTGGCTGTGATATTCTTAATGAGAGGCCTACAAGATTTGGCTGACAACTTACATGAAAGGAGAGGGAGTTCCTAGATACCTCAGATGATATTTCCCCAGATTTTAACGCAGGGTTAGACACCAGATAATTTTCTAAATCTAGCCAGAACATCAGAGAATGAGAGCATATTATCACCAAATATGATATGATTTAAATCACCCTCTTGCACATTGGATGATAGTGGAGTCTATTCAATTCAAATGCTTCTTTCATTAAGCATGCAAATACTTCCATTGCAACAGTAAAAAGGTTATCTACCATCTCATCTATGCACGATCAAGACACAGCAGACAATGGCCAGCCCAGACTCAAGGCGGCAACTCTTACAAGAAGACACAAATAAAGCTTCCCAAAAGAGACTAACAGGAACCCAGACCTCGAAAGAAGAAGCAATGAAGCAAACTCGAGAGGCTATAACAGGAATAGCATAATCGAAGAAATTCCATTCTTGCCAGTAGAACAGAATCGTCCAAGCCAGAATCGAAGAAAAGACTGTAAGGGGAAAAAGCCTAGAGCCAGCTAGTTCTCAACCTTACTCCCACATAAAGAAAGAACAGATTCATTGCGCAATCGAAGAAAAGATCGAAGTAAGGAAAGTTTGCCTAGAGGACTAAACCTTTTATGTGCCATTGTTGCGGTTCCCGTCGCCAGTCGGCTCCGGTGCGTTCTGCCCGCCCTTTCCGCCTCCACGCACCAGTCGGCTCCGCCGCTCCGGTACTCCGCCGTTATTTCTCGCAAGAAGGACGGAAAGAAAGGGCTACTGCGGTTCAGGGAAGAGGACGAAAGACGGGGGTAGGGGTCGCAATTATTTGGGGATTTCTTTTCAGTTGGAGAATTCTACACGTGGCGGGATTTGGGGGGAATTCGTCCCTCCAAAAACGTGCTAATTTTCTCAATTATTGCAATTTAAGTTTTGACCAAAAAATAAAAGCCTGAATTGCTAAACTACTAAATAGTTCATCCATACTCTTTTTTTTATCGGAACCCGCTAGAGCTTTATTTATCAGCATTTGTCGTTACATCATCCAACATCATTTGATCTAACAAGAAAAATCGACGGTCTGTCCAGCCAAACAATACTCTCATCCTATCTAGTTTTCGAATGAGACATGATGTGGGTTGCCTTGTTTGCTTCCCTGTAGATAAACTTCCATCCAGTTTCGTCCATCTCCGAGAGTTTCCTAAGAATATTTCTGCATAACACGGCCTCCTCCGTTCGCACCTGTTCCGCCTTCTCCATCATCTGCATCAACACTTGGTTGTCGGACTCTAGGATTGGTCGTTCGAGCTGCAACTGCCAGGCTAACTGCACTACGAGATCAGCAGCGGCAACCTCCGCCTGTAACCAATGCAGTCAAAATCGCACTTTAAAGCGTACGTTTTTACCTATATATACCACAAGACCGCTTTTGTTTTTACCTAAAATCGGTTATTACATAAAAACGTTGAAAACGCAGGTAAAGTCGTTAAAAACGTAAATAAACAGTAAAAAAGCGTTTCTACCTCAATTTCGTACGCTTACATGCACTTCTTTAAAACTAGCATTGGGCCCGGCCCGTTGGCCGGTGCTGTTGTGAAAATATTCTATATGAACACATACACTACTTGACGACTCCCGAGAAGGAAGTAGCATTTTGGCTACTACATAATTAACACAATCAACCAAGTTGATCAAGCACCCAAAAGCATACAGTTTGTGTCATCAAGTGATACAAATGCAAGCTGGCTGCATAAAGAACACAGACATATGGAAGTTGCAGTGGTAGTTAAAAAGCAGGCAGTAAGCTGCTGCTGTCAAACACGCAGACAGTCCTGTTGTTTTGAACTTCAAATTCCATTTTCAATGGACGATGACTGAATTTGATAAATCCTGAACTCCTGTTCACACAAACACACTAATGTAGTTTACTCCTATTTAAAAGCGACACAATTATTACATATGCTGCCAAGAAAAACACATAAAATTGAACTTTCTGCAGTGGTAAAGACATGGGCAATAAACTGTTGATGTAATAAACTCACACATATACATGCTTAACTTGGAATTACAAATTTCTTTGGAAAATTATAAAGAGAATATGTACAGTATAAAAGTTCAAAACTCATAAGAATCAAATCATTCACAAACATCCCATAATCTGGAAAACATAACTACTCATGATATTCAAGCTTCCAAGTGAACACCTTGCACCATTCTACTCAGCCACATGATGGTTCTCTCCATCTTATCGATACCAAGCAATGCTGGTGTCATTTGCAACCGACCAGATGGAGTCCCAGCACATAGGCAAGTTCAGTGGATCCATCTAAGATACAAATTAGAAAGGGAACATAAAAATATGAAGCAAAAGCAATGACAATACTTAATAACCTCTGGCAAAGAATGAGCCTTTAGGTTGAGGCATCTTAATAGTAAAAATTTGAAGTTCATGCTGCCACAAACACACAAATACGATATGCTCCTGTCCAAAAGTGACACAAATACCACATTCTGCCAAGAAAACACAGATAATGAACTTGTTGCAGAGATAAACTCACACAAATGGCCGCTACGTTCATCTTCAAATAACGATTGTCTTTGGAAAATAATAAAGAAAATTATGCACAATCTAAAAGTTCAAATATTGTAAAAACCAAACCGTTCACAAACATCCATAGTCTTTAAAAGTTCAATACAATGATGCTGACGGTATAATTAAGAGTGTGAAAATTATAGATGATTTGGAGAGCATACAGGCCTTACATACTCCATTGTATAGGGATCTTTTCTTGGGCATGTCAAATAAGAGAAGGAAAGAGTAGGCAATTTTTTAAAGTAGTTATCATTGTGAAAATTTTCATTTTCTTGTGGTGAGTTACCATTGTTGCTTTCATTAGTGAATGAGTGGTTTTAGACTATTGATGTTAGTAATTAGAAGTAAAAAATGGAGACAGGGTAAAAATGCCGAAAGAAAACGATTGAGAAGCTAAGAAAGGTTCAAGAATTACATAATCACATAAGGAGTGGAGATGTTACAATGGGTTTTCAATTTCATCAAATAAACCACTGTAAAATGACGTAATAGCAAGGATAAGCAAAAAGATGGAGGCGTGATAGTATTGCAGTTAAGCTAATAGCAAGAATTCCCATACTTTGAACACCTATTAATATCTTTACCATGGAAATTGGGTTTGGACAAACTAATCAGCTCTCTGTTGACCTTAACATAAAGCAAACTCTTTACAACCTAAAATCACAATTGACCTTACCACAAACAACAAATTTACAATTGACCACAAAGAGCAAGGTTCGTCAGGTTTCTCATGATTTTACCTCATGAAATAAGCCTTCTAAAGTCGAACAGAAACATACAGCGAATTGTCGACCCTGCGATGTAAAACATACAGCGAGAGTAAGAGAGAGGGGGAGAAAATTTCTTTTGAGAGGGCGGAGGGCAGCGACTTGCAATGCAGCCCCAGCGATGCGAGACCGAGACAGACCGCGAGCCGAGAGGAGTTGGGAAAATTTTCCGGGGGCTTGAGAGTCAGACACAAATGGCAACAAAAACAACGAATCAGAGGATCGACGAAGTATGTAGAGGGCGACAATGGGGATCTCTCGGTGTAATTCAGTGTGGAGGGCAAGGATCCGAGGGAATTTCTTCTGGGAGGGAGGGGAGTGACTTGTCGCCCCTGTGATGCGAGACAGATTGCAAAAGCTAGATGAGTTGGATATTTCCAGGGCTTGGGAGACAAACACAGATGGAAACAAAAACAACGAATGAGAGGATCGAAGAAGTGGGGAAAGGGCGACGGTGGGGGATTTGGAGATGATATTGAGAGTGGCAGCAAGGATGGTCGGAGCTGTGGTGAGCAAAGGCAGAGTAAACCTCTCTGAGAGTTTAAAGGTCGAGGAATTGGAGTGTGGATCGGTTGGAAGAGAGATGTCCTCAATTCCGGTGGGATTAGAAGAAGGGATGTGTTGGAATGGTGAGAGAGAGGAGTTTGATTTCCGGTGGAAGATTGGAAGAGAGAAGGATCGACAGAGAAGGAATAGGAAATTACGGTAAAAACCCTCCGCATTGTGCGGTGGTTTCAGCATAGGCTTACGTGGCAAACCTTGTATATTGACATTGCCTTATAGTGTTTTGTAGATATCCAATGAATCACAAAACGTCACCGATTGTATTGATTACTCAAGAAAGTGAATACCTAATTCTAATACAATTTTTTGTTATAAAACAAACAGAAAGGTGAAACACAAACACTAATTGTGTAATTGGATTGAAGGTAGTTAATGAGATGATCGATATTGTCTTTTGTGTGTACAATCCTATGAACACAAATAGATTCATTTGATTCCGACCAAATGAGTTGATCCCAATTAAACACAATTCAAAACCATTAAAAAAGTACATATGAGCCCATATGGATTTAACCCAGTTCTCATATTGATCATGCTAATTGAGTCATATTATCCTAAGAGTAGAACTATTTCTAATTAGAGGTGGCAATTGGATCGGATTCGTGGATTCGTGGATTGGATTGGTGGATCCATGGATCAAATGGATTGGATTCATGGATTGGACCAAATGGATTGGTGGATTGATCCATGAATCCAAATGACATCAAAGGCTTGGACCAAAATGTAAAATTTGAAAAGTTTAGGTACTAAAATGTCATAATGAAAAATTTTAGGTACCAAAACGTAATTTTCCAATGATATTTTTCGTATAAAAATATAAATTTTAGGTACCAAAATGTAAAATATAAAAAATATAGGTACCAAATTGTAATTTGCCATTTGGATCCATGGATTGATCCATGAATCCACCAATCCAATTGGATTTGGATCAAATGGATTGGATTTAAATGGATTGAATTATGTGGATAATTTGGTAGATGGATTGGATTGGATTCATGGATTTGGATCCTAATTGCCACCTCTATTTCTAATTGATCATTGCTTTTGAAATATTAGATGATATATCAAATGATGAGCGAGAGATTGTAGTGATATATTATTGTTTTGGGTGCATTTTTTAGCAAATGGATTATAGTGATCTTATTCAAGGTGCCCTAAATCAGCAGTCAGCTCACTTCGATTACAATTTTCTCTTTTATGGCTTCCATGAGCATTTTGTTTCCCTCTTCAGACGAATTTGCTAACTGAAGTAAAAAAAAACCCAAAACAACTTTTAGAAAAAGAAAAGACATTTGCAGCCATAGCTCTCTACTCTGCAAGCTTCTCCCGTCCTACTACCACCAATCCATCATTCATCCCTAACCAACAACAACCTCCACGAAACACAAGCAATCCTTCTTCTCCCCCATGACAGTCTCAATCGCTCCAACCAGCTCCTCTTCACACCTCACCTTCGCCGTCCAGCACTCTCCTTCCCCATTATGTATGGCGTCAACCACCCCTGCATAGTCCCACCTCTTACAACCCTTGCCGTCGTCCATTCTCACCAGGAAGAACACGCTCTTATGGCCCCATCTCATCATCGTCGAAACGTCTTGAAATGTCACCTGAAAGCTCCGGTCAGCAACGCAGCAGATCACCCGTTTCCCCGCCGGCGCCGCCGCCTGAGCGTACCCTAGGCTCGCCCCAAACGACCAACCCATCGAAGATCCGTACTCGTACCCACACCCATTGGGCAGTTTCAGCTTCTGTGACCTAACCCACCATTCCCCTGTCTCTGCAATTACAGCGCTTTCGCTCGACATCATCATCTTCTCCACGTGCTTGAACAGGACACTCGCCTTCACATGGTCTTGAGGCTGCTCTGCTCCTTCTTCTTCTTCCTCGATGGGGTTATTGCTGCTGGTGAGGTAGTCTTCGTGAGCGGCGGAATTGGGTGTGAGTTTCTCCGAAAGAGCTTTGAGGAACTCCTTCATCACGACGCACCCAAATGCTGCTCCGTTGCCGATGGCGACTCTCCCTGGCTGGACAACGACGGACTTCTCCCTCTTGGCGACCAGCAAGTCGTTGTAAACAGGGACTCCGACGAAGAGGTAACCGTCAGCGGCGGACTGGACGATTTCGCTCCCAGTAGGGACGAAATGCGGATGGTCCTCGGGGACCAAACCTTTGCCCGATGGGATTACCCCAACTGCGTAGCCACACGAGTCAGACAATTCGACAAACACCTGGCGTGCATCAGCGACCCTGAGTTTCGGGCCAGCGATCAGGACGGGTTTCGCTGCGGAGTTCAGGAGCTCGGCCGCGGCTTCCAAGGCGGCCTCGAGCCCCATCCGATTGCTGGTTTTGGGGACGAGCGAGAACGGGACGGGCTCGTCGCCGACGAAGCTGGCGTGAGGAATCGCAGGGAGGTTGCATCCGACGCTGATGTAAACCGGCTTGCTCTCCTTCAACGCGGTGGAGATCGCCCTGTCGATCAGCTCGTGGGCGTCGTCCAGGTTGTTGACCACCGCCTGGAAGGCGGTGACGGCCGTGAAGCAGCGGAGCTCCTGGGTGAAGTCGGGGAGTCCGATGGTGTGGTGGAGGATGCGATTGGTCCCGTAGTCGTTGGAATTGGGCCCGCCGACGATGCAGATTACTGGGAGGTTGCGGGAGTAGGCACCGGCGATGGCGTTGATGACGCTGAGCCCGCCGACGGTGAACGTGACGACGCAGGCGGAGACGCCGCGGGACCGGGCGTAACCGTCGGCGGCGTAGCCGGCGTTGAGCTCGTTGCAGCAGCCAATCAGGTTGAGGTTTGGGTCGGCGATGAGGTGGTCGAGGAGGGTGAGGTTGAAGTCGCCGGGGACGGAGAAGACGTCGGTGATGCCGATTTGGACGAGGCGGCGGGCGAGGTGGCGGCCCAGTGTCGGCTCAGCCATGGTGACGATTGTACAGAGTGAGATTGCGGTGGCGGTGGGAAACGGGAATTGTTAGGTCGGTGAGAGTGAGAGTGAGAGTGTAGAAGTAATATGGGAGTGGAGAATTGTGATATGGCTATGGTTTCCTCCATGGGAGCGAGAAGTTTGGGGGGAGTTGAAATTAGAGAACACAGAGAATTGGAAGGAAGGACCGTGTCTCAGGGCGGGCAGGTGCCGGAGAGAGCTTCAACGGAAATAAATACGGATCGGTAGTTTTAGGCAAAGGAAAAGTACATTTAAATACCCAGACTTTTATCGTTTTGATGAAAATGCCTCGAACTTTCAGAAATTGTATTAACAGCTCGAACGAAGTTTGGTCGTTGTTGAATAGACCGAATACTTTAGAAATAATAATACGTATTCGAATCAATATGGCTATTATACTCATAGACATACACATGATTATATGTTTAAATAGACTAGATTGGGCCATATAGGTTGGAGCTGGAATCGATGGCCAAGAGCAAAGGGTTTTGCGATTTGTGGTTTTCTTCATGGTAGAAAGGAGGATGAGGGGCAAAGCACTTCCAATGAAGAGGAATCGGAGGATAATTGAGGACTCAAGAAGATGTGGAGCTATTCATGATGACTTAATTTATTTTCGTATTTCAAATTATAAAGTATCGAATCATGACGTTACATGTATTATTTATTTATGTGTTATTGGATTATAAAGTATCGAATCATGACGTTACATGTATCATTTATTTATGTGTTATTGGATGGTGATTTGGATTGTTGTTTCTTTGTGCTGTTGGATGGTAAATGAATGGTTTATTTATGAATTTTCTTGTGTATTTTCTTATTTTTTGGTCATTAGACAATGTGGGATTACTGGGTAACCAGTAACCACGGGTAATTACTACCCGCACCGTGTGATTAATGGGTAATCTCTAAACCCATGCGGTGTGGGTCTGGTAAGCATATTCACCAATAAAATGAGTATGGATAACCGTTCTAAACGGAGCCGTTAGTCGTAACCGCACCGATTGCCATCCCCACCATTATTTACTGGTATTCCGAAGCTCTGTTTATGAACGATAGGCTACAAAACTTGTCCGGTTATCACCCAGAACAAAACATCAAGGTAACAAGACCACAGATTTTCATGCACTCCATCTCGTACTTTCGTACAAGCTACTGGGCGTCTGCATTCAAGAGACCAAAGCAGCAAGTCTCCATGATAAGAACACAGCCATATTCCTAATTTCATAGCCGTCCACAGACATCGATGGAAAAAAAAAAAAAAAAGATTCCAGCACCTTTATTGATAGGCTTCCTTTGATAAAACAAAACTAACGACCTGCTCTTGTTTCTATCCACTTAGAAATACTCTTTAACAAAGTGCTCTGTTGCTTCTTCAACTGAGGAGATGTCCTTTTGGCTACATTGAGGCCGTCAAGATCGCGTACAAGGAAGTTCCATCACAGCAGATAGCTACCATTTAGATTACAAAATCAGACCGAGCTCTCTTTGCATCTTCCTTCACTGGCTCTCCTGCAAAATCATACAAGCAATATCGTCGCATACTGTTGATGATGAGAAACTACATTGAGCAACTTGTAACCGGAAAGCAATACTATGATTAGGCAACAGATGTTAAAGTTACCAGTGGACATAAGCTTGAACAGTAGACAGGAACAGGCTTATGAAACAATGAATTGTACATAACTACATATACAGTACAAATCAAATTTATCATGCTAATCAACAGATGCAAACATCAAGCATCCACTACCCTCTTCATCAGTCATCATAATAACCTTATCCTACTTTCTTTTCTTATAATCTTTCGACTGGGTGTGAAACACTGAAATCAATGGTGAAAGGAAAAAACGGGGAAAACCGAATCAAGGCCTACTAGGTAGATGTTCAAATAGCAGAAACACACTTTGCACTTTCAGCGTAAACAGAATAATGCAGCTTCATCTATTGACTATTGGCACGAAGCCATCACTTCCACAACTGCAGTAAGTTAGGTACCCATAAGGCCATAACCATTCTAGCCTACGAAGATGGCGAAAATGCAATCAATCAAGACTTCAGCTTTAACTCGTACCAATTACAAGAGTTTGTTTGTTAATCCCCCCCTCCCATTCAATGTCATATGTACATTAGCATCGAAAGGGAAGAACCTAGACTGCTCACATTTCAGTTTATATATAGAATTGGCTTTCATGTTTGTATGGGTGAATTTAAGCACAAAATCATCACCCCTTTCGAGCTAGCTCCTGCCCATTCCTTTCTTTGTCCTTCAACCTTAAACAAGGCAAACTATGAACATATTCTCTTCTTGTACACACTAGTCCAAGATCCTAGTAGAAAAATCTCACCCAAAACCAAATTGAAACTAGCAAGACTGCTTGCCAACAAATTGGCTCCCGTTCATTCATAAGAACGCTCTTTATTCCTAAAATTTCTACAAATTGAACTCTTCACGCTGCAACGGCAGCGCAATCCGATTTCCGACGACAATGGACATCATAAAAAAAACCCTAGCATTACCAGTTGGTTGAGGCGCGGGCGAGTAGCCGTAAATAGCCTGGAGTCTGGCGAGAGGGATGGAAGACGAGCCAGCGGAGGCTTCAGCGAAGAGCTGCTGTTTCCAGTCCCACATAGATTTCTTCATTGATTTGTTGGAACTGACCAGCGAAGCTTTCTCCGCCTCGAGAGCATCAAGTTGACGTTGCTGGTAGCTTGATCGCGCGCCGAGAGCCACGAATGCTCCGATCAGGAAGACGTTTATGACCGTGTTATTGTCGGCGGCTTTCAACGCCGCGGATATCAATCTGTTCGCCGCTTCCATTTCTCTTGGCTCTGGGCAGGGCAGGACTCGCAGGAGGAGACAACAGAACGAACTAGTAGTCTTCTTGAGCTAGGGGCTTTTTCCATTATTTAAACATTTTATGATTCCCGGTTTAGTACCCAAATTCTTAAGAATTTGTCATTAGGCTTTCTAAAAGTATTAGCATGTAATTTAGCTTCTGGAACTTTTTATCGAAAGTCATGGCCTCTCTTGTAAATGTCAAGACATGGGTCATCTCTTCGGAATGCTTCTTGGATGTTTTTGGCCTAAGCCCCAGCTCTACTCTCTCAAAAATTGCAGCATCAGCTTTACATCGACAGAGTTGAACGAGTCAGGATTTCAGGTCACGGTCGTGACGTCGGCCAAAAACGCACCGCATCATATATATACAAGTCACGGTTGTGTTGCCCATTTGACGGTTGAAACCGTAACATGTGTTGGTCGGTTGTGACGTGTGTAGTCATTCTCAAAAGTCACGGCATCTTTTGTAAATGTCACAATCTGAAACTATGACTTCTAGAGCGCCCGCAACAAGTGATTTAGCTCCTGAAAGGGCTGGAACTTTCGTCGAAAGTCACGACCTCTCTTGTAAATGCCATCGCATGTGTTGTGACATGTGTGCTCTATACCGTGACATCTGCAACTTCGCATCCTTGTCGCCATTTTGACTCCAAATGGTCCAACTATCATTACTTCGCCATATTCACCTGCTAGGATCTGAAATATACTAAACCAATCACAACTTAGAGTGAAAACAGGCTAAAGAAAGAAAAATATCAAGCTAAACGATCAAGAATTGAGGGTCTAAACATGTATAATTAAGCCTGAATCATGCACTCTAAAGCAAAACCGTGCAAGGGATTGACTAAAGCGGACAATATCAAGTGGTATCAGAACCTCTCTACATTTCTTTTGAATAATGATATGGAAAATCACCATGACCCACCCCAATAATATCACTTAGTGATAATATGCAAAAATAAATCCCAATAATATAACTTGTGATAATATGCACAAAAAAAATTGAAATGTTAAATAGTAGCCGTAAAATAAAACAATAGGAAAATGAGTGTAAAAGGACTCCTATGAGTTTTGACGTGATTTTATTTAGGGCATAAATAAGATATTCAACCGGCTCTCTGGGCCTGTTAGGAGAATGGGCTTTCCTTAATAGGAACAAATATACAAAGTCAATAAACGAACCCCTACCACATCTGTGGGCCTATAAAGATCTCCGCCCAGAAACTGAAAGAGCGTCTCTTCCACGTTTGCCAGTCCTAGAAGAAAAACAGAGGCTAGCGTCTTTTTTGTTCTTCGTCGCTTTTTTTTTTAGGAAAAAATTCAAAAGTACCACTGTTTAAAAAAAATTTCAAAAATACCACCCAATCCCAAAAAATTCCAAAAATACCACCCTTTTTCAAAAACCGCCACCCCACCCAGCGGTTTGGTCGAAAACCGCTTGTCGGGGGCGCGGTTTTGGACCAAACTGCGGGCCTAGGGGGCGGTTATAAAAAAAAAAAATTTGGACCAAAACCGCTGGGTGGGGTGGCGGTTTGGCCCAAAACCGCCACCCCAACCAGCAGTTTGGTCCAAAAGTTCGGTCAAAACTTCAAACGAACGTAACTTTGCACTCGGGTATCCGATCGTAGCAATTTTTTTTTCATTTCGCATAACTTTTCAAGATCTACAACTTTTACTAGGATGAAATTTTCAAAACAGGAACTATTTGTGGATATACGGGACCTTGAGAACAACTTTACCTTTACTTTTCAGAAATCCATGTACATTTTGAAATTATGATTATATTAAAAGTTGTAGATCTTGAAAAGTTATGAGGAATAAAAAAAAATTCATGACATTCGGATTTTGGAGCACAAAGTTATGGCCGCCCAAAGTTTGACGAAATAAAAAAAGGTCGTTCGGGGTGGCAAATGAAGTTTTTTCGAGACGAAGACGGAACCCGACTGTTTGAGACTTGCAAGATCTCAAAAAGTTATTCGGATTCAAAAAATGGAGGCCGCAAACTTTTTGAGATCTTGCAAGCCGCAAACCGCCGGGTCTCGCCTTTCGTCAAACTTTGGGCGGCCATAACTTTGTGCTCCAAAGTCCGAATGTTATGAACTTTTTTTTTATTCCGCATAACTTTTCAAGATCTGCAACTTTTAATATAATCATAATTTCAAAATGTACATGGATTTCTGAAAAGTAAAGGTAAAGTTATTCTCAAGGTCCCGTATATCCACAAATAGTTCCTGTTTTGAAAATTTCATTCTAGTAAAAGTTGTAGATCTTGAAAAGTTATGCGAAATAAAAAAAATCGCTACGATCGGATACCCGAGTGCAAAGTTACGTTTGTTTGAAGTTTCGACCGAACTTTTGGACCAAACCGCTGGTTGGGGTGGCGGTTTTGGGCCAAACCGCCATCCCACCCAGCGGTTTTGGTCCAATTTTTTTTTTTTTTTATAACCGCCCCCTAGGCCCGCGGTTTGGTCCAAAACCGCGCCCCCGACAAGCGGTTTTCGACCAAACCGCTGGGTGGGGTGGCGGTTTTTGAAAAAGGGTGGTATTTTTGGAATTTTTTAGGGTTGGGTGGTATTTTTGGAAATTTTTCTTTAAACAGTGGTACTTTTGGATTTTTTTTTTTTTTTAGATATCTTAGAAAAGTTAGATTCTTGGGCAGATTTTCTATATATTTTGTGTACGTATTAACTTTTACCCTCTTCTCTTCACTACAGGAAGTCAGGAAGAAAAGGAGAACAGGAGAAGCCCTCCTTGCAAATATGGCCTCCAGCTCTGTTTTTACTCGAGATGAGGTAAAGTTTTATTTTCTCTCTTACAACTAATAATTGAAAAATTGTATCCATGGTTCACAAAAACCTATTACCAGAAGCTAAACCACGGTATATCAATGATCAATCCTTGTTTAAAACTGATTAGTTTGGTTTAGGGAAAGTGTTTGACCCATCTGGCTCCGGATCGAACAATGATATTTGTTGGTGTGGGGTTGACTCACGATCCGTTCGTCTGATCTCGTCGGGAGGGGAAGAACCTGTGAAAGAGTCGGGGTTGCCCCCCGGATTAAGCTCCGACGGTCAAGTTAGTGTCGGTTTGTGGAGCGGGTTAAGAGAGTAGATAGAGAGATGAAGTGTAGAGAGATAGTAGAAAGTGTCCAGAGAGGAGAGAGGAGAAGTCCCCTTCTTTGGAGGGCTTCAAGCCCTTATATACCTGTAGCGGGTATCGAGCGTTGGGCATCGCCGATTATGCGCCCTACTGCTTAGTCTGTGCGCTCCGTCCCTTAGTCACACCCCCAACAATTGCCCCCCAAGCTGGTGGTGAGTTTTACCTCATCGCTAGCTTATATTTTATTTTTTAAATCTTTGTCGGTAATTTTGGGTGGGGCCTATGTACCCCAGTTGCCCCCCAGCTGGTGGCGCGTTTGAGTGACGCGGTGCCAGCTTCTTGCGTCTTGCCCCCCATTAGCGTCATTAACGCTTAGGAGGTAAAATATTTCAAATTTAATAATGATAGAGTACTTATCTTTATATTGGTACCGTGGCGTCAGGAATAGTTGAAAATCAGACGCTGCGCCATTGAATCGCTGAGCGCGTATGTAGCCTGTTGGTGATGTTGCTTGCATAGCGGAGGAAGGACGCGAGTTCAATTCCTGTCGGCGGCAATAATATTTTTGACTCAGACTGGAACAAGGATGGACGGGGCGGACTGGTGACGTGGGCCGGGCGCGAGTTGGGCTTGCGCGCGTCGCGGGCTGAGGGAAGATGCTGCGCGGGTTGGTGTCGGGACCGCGTGTTGAGGGTGGAATCAGATGACGCGAAATGGACTGGAGCGGACTCTGAACGCGGGCCGCGAGTGATAATTGGCCCACTTGATCGTCTCTTGGTGAAATATAGGCACGACGCATCTTTTAGGACAAGTTGTTGTTGTGGCTTACTGGTGTGCACGCTAGGCTGTTCAAATTAGTGTGCAGGTTCGAACTCCCACTGAGGAATTTTTATCGACTTAATGGGCGGTGGCGTGACGTTGGGCCGCGCGGGCTCGTTGGGCCGCGCGGGCTCGTTGGCCGCGTGGCAAATTAACCCCCGCCCTTGATATGTTTTTTTTTTTTTTTTTTTTTTTTTATGCTCGTATTGAAGTCTTATTTATGTGCTTCGTTGAGACTTATTTGTGGCTCCTCGTCGGGGATGGTACACCCTCAGTTTGGAGCCCTCCTCGTCGGGGATGGTACACCCTCAGTTTGGAGTCTTCGATGCTCGTATTGAAGTCTTATTTGTGTGCTTCGTTGAGACTTATTTGTGGCTCCTCGTCGGGGATGGTACACCCTCAGTTTGGAGCCCTCCTCGTCGGGGATGGTACACCCTCAGTTTGGAGTCTTCGATGCTCGTATTGAAGTCTTATTTGTGTGCTTCGTTGAGACTTATTTGTGGCTCCTCGTCGGGGATGGTACACCCTCAGTTTGGAGCCCTCCTCGTCGGGGATGGTACACCCTCAGTTTGGAGTCTTCGATGCTCGTATTGAAGTCTTATTTGTGTGCTTCGTTGAGACTTATTTGTGGCTCCTCGTCGGGGATGGTACACCCTCAGTTTGGAGCCCTCCTCGTCGGGGATGGTACACCCTCAGTTTGGAGTCTTCGATGCTCGTATTGAAGTCTTATTTGTGTGCTTCGTTGAGACTTATTTGTGGCTCCTCATCGGGGATGGTACACCCTCAGTTTGGAGCCCTCCTCGTCGGGGATGGTACACCCTCAGTTTGGAGTCTTCGATGCTCGTATTGAAGTCTTATTTGTGTGCTTCGTTGAGACTTATTTGTGGCTCCTCATCGGGGATGGTACACCCTCAGTTTGGAGTCTTCGGGGCAATGTGCCCTCTCCCTTATCGCCATTAACGCTCATGAGAGTAAAATATTTCAATATTTGATAGTGAAAAAGGGGTAGAGTACTTAGCTTTCTATTGGCGAAGCGGCGCGAAGAGTTGTCAAAAGGCAGACGCTGCGCCCTTGAAACAGAACGCTTGTATGTAGCCTACTGGTAATGTTGCTTGTGAGGCGGAGTGATGGCCCGGGTTCGAGTCCTCGCGATGACAACAATTTGTTTTTGAAGCGAGTTGATGATGGCGCGGGTTCGTTGATATGAGGGTACTGCGCCCAATGATCACCAAGCGTGCTTGTAGTCTGCTGGTTACGTTGCTTGTTTCGGGGAGGAGTGGCGCGGGTTCGAGTCCTCGCGGCGATGATATTTTTTGATGAGTTCCGTGTCTATGGAATTCGGGCCGCGAGTTGGGCCTGTGTGGGGCGGAGCATGTTTCGAAGTGGGGTTGGCTGATGTGGGCCGCGGGTCCTTGGCGAAGCGGGACGGACGCGATGGGGATCCGCGCGGGGGGGACTGAACGCGCGTCCGGCTGACCTGGGCCGCGGGTCCCTGGCGAAGCGGGCCGGAAGTATGAAGGTGGGGCGGACACGGATCCGCGAGTTTGGGGCGCGACTTGGGCTTCATTTACGCGTGGAGTGTTGTTGAAATAAGAGTACTGCGCCATAGGGTAACAAGTCGCGGTTGTAGCCTGCTGGTAATGCTGTTCGTCTTGTGGAAGGGTGGCGTGGGTTCGAATACCTGTGGCGACTTTATTTTTTATGAGCTGACGCACGGGCTTCTGGGAGCGATGCGTTGCTTGGCGCGCATTGGGAACGAGTGGCTTCTTCTGGGACGCACAAGTGGGCTGCGAGTGGGGGTTGAGGCGTGGGCTTTGAGGCGGAAGGTGGCCCAGAGACGCGAGCTGAAGGTTGAGCGGGCCGCGGGTGGGCTTGAGGCGGAAGGTGGCCCAGAGATGCGAGGTTGGACCGTGCGCGTGAGGCGGATCGTGCCTGTGTGATTGGTGGGGGCTTCAGGTTGAAGTGGACTCGGCCCGTGAGGCGGATCGGGCCCGCGGAATTGTTAGGGGCTTTGGAAGTGGGCCGCGAACGTTGGGGACGCGAGTTGGGCCACGAGCGTTAATACCTGGCGGGAGACTTGGGCTTCAAAGGTCGGGTCTTGCGGAGCAGAATGGAGGTGGCAGCGAAATATTGGGCCGCGCTAGTGACAAACTGAAGCGGGCGAAGTTGCTGGCGCGGGTATGATGTGAGTTGGGTCGGGACGCGAACTGGGCCGCGAGCTTTTTTTCCTTTTTTTTTTCTTTTTTTTTTTTTTTTTTCTTTCTTCTTTATTTTTCGTTTTTCTGGTTGTTCTCGGCCAGAGGAGTTGCGGCGCGAGTGTTGTGGTGGGTAGAGCTTGGTGATGGAAGCGGACAGAGAAGAAAGCCAAGAATACATGGCGTAGCCCACAACCTCGCCGTTGATTTCTATGTAGAGCAGCCCAGAATTTTTCTTCCTGATCTCTTCGTCGAATGATCTGGCGAGTGATTCGTGCTTCGGGACTATCTTCCTCTCCATCTTCACCACTTCTTCAACAACCTTGGCCCAACTGCCTGAATTTTTCTGGAACTCCAATACGACTCTAGCACTCGCCATGGCTGGGATAGCAGTGGCGCGCTTCCGATTGAAGAAGTGACGGCGCCTCATTCTTTCGAAGACAAGCGGTCTTTATGGTTTCTCGGCGAGGCGCATTCGGCGTCTTGGCGGTTCGAAACTGGAGGCGCATTCCTGACCGTCGTCCACTAGTGACCATATTTTCTCGATTTGTGTGACCTCGAGAACCCCATCTGTCAGCTTTTTCAAGAGAGAGAGAAGGTAGCTGTCGATGACTAGGGGGCGACGAGACAAATGATGGCGATGTATCCGTCTGTCTTACTGTACATGAATAGTTTTGCGAGTTGACTGCTTCGCCTGATCTCTGTCGGCAGTAGCATTTTCGACCGGCGAGTTCGCCGGAATGTAGCTACTGGTGGTCTTAAGGTCGTCGACATCGTGGTGGGGCAACCTGCAGAGGAGGCCCTTTGACGCCGGAGATAATCTTTCAGTTGAGGAACCGGCGGCAGGGGGACATTTTCTTTGCTTCCTTGCAATGCAGCTTCCATCTCTCTTGGGAAAGGACGAAAGGAAGGCCACATGGATCCCTAGAATAATGGTCTCGTTCCCATTTGCTGCCGTCGATTCTATTTGGTGGAGGAGATATGACCTTCTCTTTTTTGTCTTAGTGCATTGGTCGAAGTGGCGGTGGCGATACTGAACTTGGAGGGATTTTACCGCCGCTCTCGCTTGGTCTTGCTCGGCGGGTCTTGAATGGATGGACACATCTGCTCTCGCTTGTCGTTGGTAGCCGGTCGCTTCCCTCCGTTAGAAATCAAACGATAGATCCAAATCAGTGCCCCACGGTGGGCGCCAATTGTTTGACCCATCTGGCTCCGGATCGAACAATGATATTTGTTGGTGTGGGGTTGACTCACGATCCGTTCGTCTGATCTCGTCGGGAGGGGAAGAACCTGTGAAAGAGTCGGGGTTGCCCCCCGGATTAAGCTCCGACGGTCAAGTTAGTGTCGGTTTGTGGAGCGGGTTAAGAGAGTAGATAGAGAGATGAAGTGTAGAGAGATAGTAGAAAGTGTCCAGAGAGGAGAGAGGAGAAGTCCCCTTCTTTGGAGGGCTTCAAGCCCTTATATACCTGTAGCGGGTATCGAGCGTTGGGCATCGCCGATTATGCGCCCTACTGCTTAGTCTGTGCGCTCCGTCCCTTAGTCACACCCCCAACAGAAAGAGTATAAAGTTGCTTACTTTGATTGATTACTCTTCTTTTATCCCTTCTCGCTAGAAAGAAGAAGAAGAAGAAGAAGATCGGATTAGTAACTTGTCAGATGAAATCCTTTGGAACATTCTGTCCCTTTTGACGCCTAAGGAAGTGGTGCAGACTTCTTTACTCTCACGTAGATGGGTAGATTTGTGGCTATCAGCTCTAACGGTGGTGGATTTCAATACCCCGAAAGTGTCACCGGCGAGAAGAAGAGAGTTCAAAAAATGGGCGAGTTGGGTTGTGAGGCAGCTCAAGGGTAAAACCTCCTCAACCTCTAAACGTTCCAAGTTCAGAGTTTCATTCACATTGAGCAACCAATACAGCTTCGATGGGGATAAGCACGAATGGCTGAAGTTCACTATATCAAATCTGTTCGAGTATCTCAAGCTCTCCTCGAGCAATCCTGTACCGACTCCTACCAGTGACAACGAGAGTTATGTCTTCCCGAAGTATTGTCTCGATAACATCGTTACACGATCTGGGTTGTCTGATGTCAAGTCCCTCAGATCCTTGCGTTTGATTCATGTTAAGGTCAAGGCTAGGACGATTGAACACTTCATCACGAATTGCCCCTATCTTGAAGAACTGGCCGTGTACAAGTCAGATGAACTAGTGAAGCTAAAGATTGCTGCTCCTGCTGCTGCTGCTACAGCTTCATCATCATCATCGTTGTCGTTGTCACTTGCGTTGAAGCGCTTGGAAGTGGTGAGGTGCAGTTTTCTAAGGTCACTGGAGATTGATAATGTCCCATGCCTCACCCACTTTACATTTGAAGGTCATCGGTCGGTGAAGCTGCGTTTGAAGAATTGTGTTAGCCTTGTGGATGTAAACATAGGGTTTGATGCTTGCATTTCCAGTTTAGCATTTGACAACATCTCCTGCTATGCTGGTCAGTTGGCTGCCCTCGCCGTGATCATCAGCCCGGTGAGTATACAAGATGAAGAGATGAATGAAGCACACTGCTAGCGCTTAATGTTCTTGTTGGACTGATACATATTTGCTGTTGTTGTTTTGTACACAGATGTTCCATCAATTTTCGAATGCGGTAGAGTTCGTTCGTCTCGAGCGGTTGACCGTCGAAACGTTTGGAAATTTCGACCTTGAAATCCATGGTTTGGATATTTTGATACATGCTTGTCCTCGGTTGCATACATTGCGATTGAAGGTAAATTTGTGTTTTTGCTTGCTGCTTTCATTCTCGCTCTTTGGCTCGAGGGTTCCAGTATTTGTGATTGTGTTTTGGGATTGCAGGTGAACGCTCGCCGGCCCCTGTTTAGGCATAAAGGAATGCAAGAACGAAACGTCGTTGAAGGTAGCCATGAGAGCATAAAAGTGGTGGAGATTATCGGGTTTAATGGTTATCCAGCTAGCTGCCGGTTGATGGAGCATATACTCGACTGTTGTGTGCGGGTGGAAAGAATCGTTCTTCGTATTAATAGCTCGAGCATTCTGATTTCCGGCGGCGGTAATGAACAAGTTGAGGAAGCTAGAAAGCGTGCATTGGAATTCAGATCGGAGGCATCCCCTGCAATCGACTTTGTTATAGTTTATCAGTGAACTAGTTTTGCCTGTACTAAACAAAAACAATCTACAAATCAAGGCCATAAAGAAACACACACACTAAAACTGTAGATGTTTTCCTTCCCATTTTATTCATTTTCAACAGCCAATAAATTTCAGCAATCCAACAACCACAACATACACTAACACTCAAAAGTGCCCATTACCACAAGGCAGGGGAACAACAACTTAGTGCCCCATTATATCTTTTATATGTAGAAGAACCCTCAATAAGATTTGCCATTATGGATCTGCATCACCAAAGCCACCGGTAATCTAACTATTGATTCATTCCAGATCTGCATCACTATAAACTAACTTCTGTTCTTTCAAGACGAACAGTAAGAAGACAAAAAAAGAATTTGTCCACTAAGAAAGAAAACAGAGCAGCATTTGGTGAACTACCCCTTCACCCACCTTTTTAACTTCAGATCAGTCAGCCTTCTTGCTAGCTGCAATGTCTTTGAGCATCTCTTTCAGTTCACCATTCTGGACACCATAAACAAATACAATCGAAAAATTAACAAATCAGGTCAAGTCAGAACAGAAACAAGCACTACCCAGGATGGCAATTGTCACAATCACTAAAATGAAGGAAAGGAACATCGAATCCGAGGGACGAACCTGATGCAGATTGAGAACTATATCAGACCCACCAATGAACTCCCCTTTAACGAAAACCTGCGGAAACGTTGGCCAGTTGCTGCAAGCAAACCAGTGGGATTATTAGACACCTGTTTCACACCCAGAGTACCACTGGGAAAAGGTTTGGTCAAGCATCGCAAGCATCAATAAAGAGAGGGCACTTGCACTATAAATTCTATAAATACAAGATTTATTCTTTCCAAGGACCAGTAAGGCAGTAACACATATATCTTATAAGTTCTAACACTAGATGGTGCAGAGAATCTTGAATTGAAAGTTTTATTTCTTCTTTCTACCTGAATGATTTCACGGCGTCTTTGAGCTCAGGATTCTCGATTATGTTTCTAGCACTTAATGGAACCTCTGCACAGGGCACATGGTGGTAAGATCAGGAATGAATAAGAGAAAAAAAATTTAAGGCAACTTTGGTATAGAAAAAGGAACACTTAAGAAGAAATAAAATGTAAACACAGGTAGTAAAAATCAACAAATCAGAAAAGATCATTACACCGTAGGCATTCAAATGCTTTGCCGCAAAAAAATTCCTATGCAACTTACAATTGCACTGTAGCCAAGTAAGGTAGTTCGAAGGATCCTAATTCCTAGCATAATAAACAGTCTATTGATCAGCAGTCTGAAGGTGGAAAATCTTAAGTCTTATGTTGATTGTGGAAGTACACCTTCAGGAGATAACATTAAAGCAGAAATCTTATGTTTTCAGGCCTTCCTCTGTTAGAAACCAAACTTTCATTACAAATTCATGTACTTATACAAATCATTCATTCAATGTGATCCGAAATTGTGAACAGCTTTCTTAAAGCAAAACAAGAATGAAATTTGGTTGCAAAGAAAAGCACGGTCCACAAAACAGTCCCATCATCTCATGTATCCATTTGAGAGCACTAAAACGGTAACCTCAAATTTCTCAACAATCAAACAAATACTTATAAACATTTGCAATCTAACCTGGAGACTTCAAGATATACTTTTAACATTATTCAACAGAGAGATAAATTCAGGTTTACTAAGAACACGTTACTTACCATAAAGTCTCAGTACTCTTATGGCCAATGCACTGAATCCACATTGAGGATAGTCAGGCACACCTTTCATGTATACCATGACAGGATTATCCCTCACATCCTACATGGAAAGTCGATAATAAGATGTTAACAAATTCCACAACTAACTCCGCAGATCACAATATCTTGTCTGCCAGAACTATTGACTCAGAATACCTGCTCAACGATATCTTTCAAAGAAGCATTTGAATTCTCGGTCTTGTTACTTGGATGAAAGTCTTCATGAGTGTCAGGGTCACTAGGGACCGTAGACAGGTGTCTTGTTCCAGTAGGGTGAACCCATCCAGTTGCCTACACAAATTTTTAACACGAAAAGATGAATAAAATAAATCATTGTGAAAAACAAAAAAATACACCTACAAAGGTTAGGTTCTAAAAATCAACTTGATGCCAACCTGGCCAAAACTCAAAAGCCTATGTAAGATTCAAGATCATTCAAGCATTCTGCTCCTAAATCGCACCTCCTCAATTTTTGTTGGTAAAGATGTAGTGAAATTACTACACATAGTACAATGATCATGCCATATGATGATTCATATTAACCATAGTGATTATATATAACCATAATGCAATTCAAAGTTGTGAAATCAATCAAAACCTATTCGTATCTCACATTCTACATGGAACTGAAATACATGAAAGGATCCGCTACAACAAACAAACATGCAGAACCTGAACCAGACCTTTGGGAAGTGCTAAACCAGAGAAGTGATCCTAGACAATACACACAACAACCGGGGGAAATAACAGAAAGTTTAATTAGACATCTAAAACAGACAAAATTATCTTTTGGATTCCCAAGTGAAATATCTGCACAAGCCAAAACAGTTTTACATTCAGCATGTCTACCAAGTTGGTTTTTTGTTGGTGGTGCTCTCTCATCTAAACTTAAACACAAACCTAGTCGCTAACATGGAGTAGAAGAATTGAAAGCAATCAAGCTCTGCTTTCAAACACCCAACTGCATCCTAACTTCTTGGATCCAGCAAACACACAACCATACATTCAAAACAAAATCAAGAAGAAGGATTTCAGCTCTTACAAATCTACTAGACCGCGCTGCCGATGGACCAGTCAAACCCTTCAAGAGCATACTTGATAGCAATTTCGCCATTGTTATCTGTATCAATCAAGTAAACCAAGCAATTTATCTAAGAAATCCAAATAAAAAAGATGCCAAAGAAGCGTGAGAGGAGGCACAATGACAAAATTAAGCACGCGCATGTAGATGCTCTCATAAAATTCAGGTGATCAAGTTTCTCAATGCATTGGAAATCTAAAAGGAAGAATCCCCATAAGTAGAGTTATCTAATCACACACTTCTAGCACCAAAAGCCACAGACTTGCCTTTTTTCCCCCTACAACAGGGACTTTTGAAGGAAGGACAGAAGAATTCACCAACAGAGAGGAAATTATTAAAGAAATGAACAGGGAGGTGTTGTTTTTTGCAGGATGCAGAAAAAGCTTCAAGAATTGTCACTCATTCTCAATCTGTTAACTCGGCAGTCGGCACCTCTGGTTAACCCTTCCCTTCGTGTTCGACAAAAATATGACAGATTGAAATTCCGAACTGGGTATGTGTATCTTTTAGCTGGGGAGGTGAAGAAGAGCTAACTTGTACAAGTTCCAATTTTCGAGGACGAAATGGGATGAGGATCACGATTAACTACGTTAAACGAGCAGGAACTTATATAAGTCCATTAGATGGAACAGACGTTGCAGATGCAAAGACTTACTGTGGGAAGGAGAAGAAGAAGACGGCGAGTCGGAGGACGGGACGGAGCGGAAGCAAACGGTCAGTTCGTGGACGGTCTGACGGAGGCAGGAGAGCGGAGAGGCGAGATGGGAAAGTGGCGGATGTAAGGCAGGAGGGAGGAGAGAGGATCAAGGAGGTACTGGAATAGGGCAGCGGGTAGCCTAATTCGTAATTCCCTGGGTAGCCCGTAGCCCAATCCCAGGGTATTTAGCATAAATTGTCACAAACATTTGCACTTAGTACAAAACAGTCACAAACCTTTAATTTGTAATCATTTGATAACAAAACTTTGTACTTAAAACAAAATGGTCACAAATTAAACAGTGTGACCATTTCATACTAGTTCAAACTTCTGTTACCGTGTCGTTGCAAATTAGACTTTTGGGGACCGTTTTGTACAAATTAAGTTCAAAAGTTTGAACGTTCAATCACCGTTACAATTCGTTCTAGTTGTATGGTAGTTTTGTTAATGTATGTGAATGATATGATCGTCATAAAGGATGACAATGAGAGAATTCAATGGCTCACAAACGGGTTCCGGACTGCTTTTTAGTTGAAAAAACTCTGTCTACTTTCTTGCTTTATTGGTATCGAAATTGAAAGGTCAACTGAGGGCATTCTTATTCGGCAAAGCAAATATGTCGATGAACACATGACCTGACATCATATATGTAGTTCAAGTGGTTAGTGTTATATATTTAACGAACAAACTACCCGACCTCAAAACATGACAAACATTTAATTTGTAACGATTCGGTAATAAACCTTTGCACTTAAAACAAAACGGTCACAAATTAAATAGCGGTGATCATTTTATACAATTTCAAAGTTTTGTTACCGTATTGTTACAAATTAAATGTTTGTGACCGTTTTGTACTAAGTGCAAAGGTTTGTTACCATTTATGCTAATTACCCCCAATCCCACCAAAATACACATACTTGGTCATAGTTATCGACTTTGTGGCAATAATAGCAAATTTCTCATAAATATACAAATTGTTCAATTATGTCCAAAACAACATAGTCATTTTCGTTGCTGGCTGGACTAACATTTTTTCTGACTTGATGACACTTAATCAAAACCTTTGTGAAGGAATTAACTAAATTCAATTTTATACTATGGACTTTGTGATAATAATAATAATAATAATAATAATAATAATAATAAGGGTTATAGGTATAATATGTCCCTCTATTATGACGTTTTATCAAACATGCTCCTCTACTATTTTTTACATCAAACATGCCTCTGTACTTTGAAAAAAAATTATCAAACATGCCCTTCTGTTAAACATTCCATTGAAAAAATCGTTAATCATGGTTGAACCGAGATTTAGACGACCCAACATCTGTAAATGGGAGCGAAAATGTCAGTTTTGTCTCCCGTTTGTGTCACCCAAACCAAATTTTGGCCTTTGTTTAACGGATTTTGGATGGAAATTTTAACAGAAGGGCATGTTTGATAATTTTTTCAAAGTACAGAGGCATGTTTGATGTAAAACATAGTTGATGGGCATGTTTGATAAATCGTCATAGTAGAGGGCATATATTACCTATAACCCTAATAATAATAGCAATTTCTAAGAGATTCACAAAATTATCAGATTTTGGAACACATGTTTGACCAATTTAGTCAAATCTGTTAAAATCTTTAATGACATTAGATATTCGGGCAGTTACATTAACAAAACATTGACGAGGATGCAATCTTGATGCACACGTCAGCGGCAGCTCAACATGCCATGTGGGCTCCCCAACATATTTTAATTTAAAATATTTGTATAAATTCCTTTTTATCCATCTTATTCTTCTTCTAACCCATCTATCTTCTTTCGGAGTCCTCGATCAGCCCCCCCCCCCCCCATCCGCGACAGCTTGATTCTCTAACGTTCTGGCAAAATACACTTCCCCACTACATTCGTTGTTGGTGGAAGAAGTTGGGATTCTGGTGTTGGTAGAGATTGTCGAGGGTAGTTTCGCCCTCTCCCTAATGGTTCTTCGGTCGGTGGTAGAGGAAGACCTGGTTGGAGCCACCAATCAAGTACGGTGGACTGAGATGAAAAACGATTGAGGTTGGCGATTGGAGGAAGGGGAAGAGCAACGATCATGGGTGAATTGGAGGAAGATCGTCCTTCCGTTTTATTTTATTTATCTCTAATATTTTATATGGTGTAGGCTTGTATGTTTAATTCCATGATTGAAAATCTTGGTGACGGGAAGTTGAGGTGAGAAGAGTCTAATAAAAACTAACAAAAATCCATAGTGAATGAATTGAATCGATTTATCACAAGTGCCCATTTTGAACTATGAGACTAAGTAAAAAGTCTTGAGTTTGTCTAGAGTCAAAGCACATATAAAGGGATGGGATAGGATGGTGGTATCTCAATTTCTTATCCTTGGTAATATTTGATTTGATGGAGTGGAGGTTGAGAAAGGTGTTTGATTTTTTGGTGTTCTGAAAATAACAAAATATTGAGTGAGAGACAGAGTGATCTAAGAAAACTTGGAAGCTAAGCTTGGATTGTACGAGGACTTGCAAGTTGCCAAAGCGTGAGCAATCACCATAATTTATGGGTTATATTAATTAATTAATTATAAACCTTTTGCATTTCGGTGTATTATTGATCCAATCCCATAATCTTATATATAGAATAACACTCTAAAATCAATCTCAATCCATGAAAAATAACTCGATATTCAGTAATGCCAATTAGTGGTAAATACAACACACTGTTGGATATATTCCAAATACTGTACCTAACTTTCTGTCCAAATTATTTATAACCCAACTAGGGTTATAGGTATAATATGCCCCTATACTATGACGTTTTATCAAACATGCCCCTCTACTATTTTTTACATCAAACATGCCCCTGTAATTTGGAAAAATGATCAAACATGCCCTTCATTTGAAATTTCCATTGAAAAAATCGTCAATCATGGTTGAACCGAGATTTAGACGACCTGACATCGATAAATGGGAGGGGAAATGTCAGTTTTGACCCTTTTTTATTTCTCTAGGTCTCGTCAAAGTGAAATTATTAGAATTATTTGGCTATTCAAAAGAAAGACAAAAAACTCCAAAGTGAAATTATTAGGGATATTTTTGATATTTGGGTCGCCCAAACCAAAGTTCGGTCTTGGTTAACGGTTTTTGGATGAAAATTTTAACAAAAGGGTATGTTTGATAAGTTTTCCAAAGTACAGGGGCATGTTTGATGTAACAAATAGTAGAGGAGCATGTTTGATAAAACGTCATAGTAGAGGGACATATTATACCTATAACCCTTATAACTATTGACAAATTAAGTTATAAATTAGTATGTTATATATGTGTGTGTTTTTTTGTATATGGTGTACGGAGGTCCCATAAATGATTAACCAACGACTATAATACGATTGCCCACTGAATCATAGCCTATAACTTTTTTGGTTTAACATTCGGTTCAAACTTTTCAAATTATTAACTAAACCTTCAAAATACAAAACATTAACCAAATGTTAACTTTTTTTTAATAAATTATATTTACCCTAACACTAAGGGTTGTTTGAAAGTTGTGATTGTTAAATAAATGTATTGTTGTGAATACATGTATACTATTATACACGTATTGTCGAATTTGATGCATTGTAAAATTCCACGTTTGGTATGTGTGATTGTGTATGTCACATGAGATAAAAGCCGAGACAACAATCTCAACTCAACAATCTTAACAATCACAGCTAAAAGCTGAAAAATAACAATCACTCATTTTGAGTGATAGTTTGTCACATCACAAAAATAATCCATGTATTGTCTCTGCTAAAAAATTGATGCATTCTAAACAATACAATATCACCAAAACAATTGCATCTTCTAAACAACCTATAAGTTCATGAAAGAGGAGGAAAATTCAAAGGTAGAAAATTTGAGTGTAGTGAAATGAGATAGGAAAAATGGTGGCCAAATTTGAAAGGGAAAAAAGACACAGAGAAGTTTTTACTTCAAATTGGAGGCAATTGCTAGAGTATTTTTCCTGAATCGCTAAATGTCGCCCTTAAAATTGCTAACGGTCGCCCTAACTCTAATGATAAATAACTTATATACCCCCAATAAAATTTCAAAATTTAAACAAACCAAACAATCCCTAACCCCTCAAACTGAACCTCTCATCTGCCTTCTTCGTGAATCCCTCTCAACGCACCAGTTCGTCAGCGTCTTTCCCGCCGTCGTCGTCGCCCGTTCTCTAACGAAATTTCCAAAAAAACGCTCAACCTAAGGCAAGTTACGGTTGGTCCATGGTGCAACCGCAACTCACTTGCGGTTGGTCCATGGTGCAACCGCAAGTGAGCTGCGGTTGGCCCATGGTGGAACCGCAAGTGAGCTGCGGTTGCACCATGGACCAACCGCAAGTGAGCTACGGTTCCCTTTTTTTGTTTTTTTTTTCAATTTTTTGAGTGAACTTTACCGATTCAGAGTCGCTAGTCATACTCCAGATATCATATCGACGATTCCAACTCCAGAATGACGATGATGGATTCTCTCTTTTGAATAATGTTTTATTTTCTTTACTAAGTTGTGTTTGTTTGCTAAAGGAAGAGTAAAGAAGCTAAAAGGTTAAATTTGTAACTTTGATGTTTTTTAGGGCGACATTTAGCAATTTTAAGGGCGATCTTTAGCAACTCCCTATTTTTCCACCCCTCAAATAATCATCCCTTGTACAATAGCAAACTAAAAAACAATGAAAAATCTATTGATCTTGACAATTTCTCCCAAACAAAAAATTCGAACATTAAAAAATTACACAAATTAAAAAAGAAAAGAGAAAGAAAGGAAGGCCGCGTGATCACACGCGCAGCAAAGCGCGGGATCACCTTCACTCTCAAAAATCCACCGCCCTTCGCTTCCCTCTACTCACTGAGAGAGTCTCTCCCTGCACTTTTCTGTGAACACCACTTTTCTCCGTGCGCTTCTTCAGCACAGAAATGCCAGCCCAGAGTAGAGTTACCACTACTTAAACCCACCTCCTCCATCAATTCCGTCTCCCCAGCTTCGTTAATCGTTAACCCTAAACGACCCAGGGGTTTCGCTTTTCGCAGTACTCCAGATTTCGAATCAAAATGGACGACGCTCCGCTGAAACTCGTCTCTCAAGCAGGCGCCCAACTCTGCCGCCTCTCTCGACCCAACAAGGACTCTCTCCTCAAATCCCTCAGAGTTCGTCTCCGCTCCTTCTTTCCCGACTTACTTATTTTCCCCCCCTTCCTCGATTTCCAGGGTTTTGCTTCTGATTTGGGTACAAAATTGCAGGAAGTGGCGGAGTCCTTGGTGCAAATTCAACATGCTTGTTCTTCGTCACTCGAAGGTTTGGAGAAAAAGAAACTGGCTAAGAAACAAGCAGCTGCCCTACTTCCCATGAAGGAATTTATAGTCAAGCGAGAAATTCTTCGCCACGCTGACAGAGAGGTCCAACTCCTGGTCTCCGTCTGCGTCGCCGAGCTTTTCCGGATTCTAGCGCCGGAAACTCCTTTCGCCGACAAGCATCTCAGAGTGAGTCAAATTTACCGTTTTCTCGTGATGGGCTGTTCTTTCCCGTCAACTGTATGCGCTGATTCATCTTTGTTCTTCAACTCCGTGAAGGATGTTTTCAAGCTGATTCTCGGTACGTTCTCGGAGCTTGCTGATACCGGTAGCCCTTACTTCGGGAGGAGGGCCAGCGTTTTGGAGGCTGTAGCGAGATGTGAATGTTGTGTGGTTATGCTGGATGTCCAGTGCGGAGATTTGGTTCTCGAGTTGTTTAAAACTTTCTTCTCGGTTGTGAGGTATGGATTCTGATCTATACCCATGTTTGGATGTTTTGATTTAGCCACTGAAATCCTAACAAATGTGAATAGCTACCTCATTTTGCTTGATAGACTTGTTTCTCTAGAATGTTTTGCTGCACTTTTTTATGTTGTAACCAATCAAACAGTAGAATTGGTTTGGTTTGCCATTTCTGAAAAGTTTGATCTGGGTTTAGGCAAGCATATTAATTATCCATTTTGTGCCTTCTTGTTAGGGCATATCATGACAAAAGTGTAAAGAAGAATATGTTGCATATAATGTCTCGCATCTTAAATGAGGAGCCTTCTCAAAGACTTGCAGACGTGATTTTGCAGAATCTTATAAAGGAAGAAGAGGTGAGGATTTATAAAACAATATTAACTCTGGTTTCATGCAGCCTGTACCGACTTCTGGAAATCAAAAGTCAGTATGCACATGGCAGGATGGACTTTACCCTGTTGTGTATCATGCTTAGTGCCAAAATCATTCTTCTGTGTGTTGGAATTGCGACTCAGTAATTTTGGGAAGCCTGGTTACGACTATTGTGGCTAGTTATTGTAGATTAAATGGATATTAGTTGTTAATTCATTCACGAAACTAAGGTGAATCGAGCATTCCCATCAAATGGATTTTAGTTGAGAATTCATTCCTGAAACTAAGGTGTATTGAGCATTCCCATTCTTTACACGAGCAAATTATTTTACCCTTTGAATGAAGCAGCACAACATCTTAAGCAAGAGCAGATTAGAGTCTCCAAAGAAGTAACATCCGAGAGGAAGTTCATAATGTTGAATGGTATCCCTTTGGAGGGTTTAAATAGAGCAGTTATATCTGTGATTGTCTGGTCTGTCGCTTACTAAGCTCCACTTGGCTAGAATAGTGATTGCACGTATATCTGCATGTAGTGTTCGAATGCCGCTCTGCTTATTCATGATCATTAAAACAATTAGTTGTTTATTCATTGACCAAACTCTATGATCTATGCACCCAAGTCCTAATGTGGAATCTGGCTTTGATATCAGAAGAAGCCAACTACACTCAAATGTTTTTTTCTCCTTCTTGAAGCATTTGACCTTTGGAAAATTGGTTTTAATATTCAGGCTTCTTCAGTATCATAAATTTTGTTTTGTCATTTTTGGAACAATGTCACCTGTTGATCCCACGGTATAGTGCATTGTTGCTAATCCATTGCAGGATTGTCTTTAGTCTGCTTCTTATAGCTGCTTATGGGCAGATGGATATTTGAATGTGATTACTTTGTTCCGATTGATGGCTGGCAGAATCTGTGTGTGTTTAGCCTTAGGTTGACAAGTTGGCTGGCAGAATTGTAGAATCTGGTTGTGGATGCTGCAGTTGACATCTTACTCCTTTTCCTCTTAAGTTCTCATTGATCTGTATCTTTTTTTTCTTGTCTTCCTGACTTGGCCGCCCCCCATATCTTAAATTCCAGGGTCCGTCCCAGCTTGCTGTTTACATTATCCAAAAGTGTGATTATGAACTGGAGCCGTTTGTTCGTGGCTTCTTCAATTCTTGCTTCTTGAACAGAGATGCAGTTGAAAATGATCTGAAAGAATCTTACCATGTTGTTCTGTATGAAGTTTACAAATGTGCACCACGTATGCTTCTCACTGTCATCCCTTACTTGTCTGAAGAACTACGGGTATGGCTTCTATCATCTTCTTTTTTTGGTCTTGATTTCCAATGTAAGTTTTAGTTGCATGTAACTTGTCATTTGGGATTCTTCCCTTCATTTTCAAACACTAAAACGAAATTACTCTTTCCATCCCTTTTCATTTGGAAGGTGCTGCTGCATCCTTCACCTTACTCAAGTTCTTGCATTTCCTTTTTCCAACTTCGCCCCCATACTTTATAGCCACATGCTGAATAAAGTTCTTGCATTCCCTTTTTCTTTCAAGTATACTAGTGCTTGTTCCTTTGTCTTATGCTGGAGACTGGAGAAGTGTATCCTTCATAAAACTGGCCACAAAACTATGTGCAGACTGATCAGGTTGATGTGCGAGTAAAAGCTGTCAATTTGCTTGGAAAACTACTTGCACTACGCGGGGACCAGTTTGCACGGGAACATCATGACCTTTTCACAGAGTTGAAAAATAGGTTTTCTGATAAATCTGTTGACGTTAGACGGAGTGCTCTGCACTGTGCCAGAGCTTTTTACATTGCTAATCCATGCTGGAAGGCATCGGAAGAGATTCTTTGTAAGTCCTTTTGAAAAGTTTCGTTTTTATGTTTTTATTCCTGATTTCTCCTTTGAATTCTCACTTCTTCAATACCTTAATCAAGCAGCTGCCTTTGAAGGCCGATTGCTGGACTTGAATGATGAAGTAAGAGCACAAGCAGTTGTCATTATCTGTGACCTAGCGAGTTCTAATCTGGAATCATTTCCTCCTGGACTTGTAGTAACTGCAACTGAAAGGCTGAGGGACAAGAAGGTAGGTTTTCTTCACCTTCTGACTTTCTTACTCCTATCAATTATGTTTAGTTGGAAAATGGGAACCTAATGCTCATTTTTTTGAGCAGCTCTCTGTTAGAAAGAAAGCATTGGCAAGGCTGATGAAACTGTATCAAGATTATTGTATCAAATGTTCTCAACGCCTTATGGCCATTACAAATCACTTTGAACGTATTCCGACTGAAGTGTTGATGCTTTGTTGTATAGACAGCAAGGCATTCAGGTCTGTTCTCTCCAATTTTGCTACTAATTGAATGATTTCTGTGTAAATGTTTGATATAACTGCATTGTCTAGGTCTCAAACTACGGAGCATACTTTATGGGAGGATTTATTTCCAGCTAATCTTTCTGCTGAAGAGAGGACTAGACATTGGGTGCATATCGTGTCTCTTTTCACTCCTCTTCATTGGAAGGTCATGGCCTCTGTTCTGTCTAAGCAAAACAGGTAGTAACCTTTAACCTGATCCCCCGTTTCCTTACATGGATTTTGATGAAGCTCTCTGTTTGCAGATTACAGACAGAAATGCGGACATATTTATCTTTGAGAAAGAATGAGAAGGTACATTCTAGAATATCTTATATCTTAATACAAGGTTATATTACTTGACGATAAGGGGAAAATATTGTGTATTTATGGCTTGTTTATTGAGCTGAGTCTGTGGATGCGTGCTTAACTTGCTTCTCTGTAGTCATTTTGGAAGTGATGATCTTGTAGCATTCCAGTTACTTGAAATCTTATATGTGGTGTGCCTGCCATTTCTATGGTCACGATAATAACTGTTATCATTTGTTGGGTTAAGTATTTGGACTATGCCATTTTGGAAAGGTGTGATAGCTAGGAACATTGTTTTCTGCTTCGCAGGAAAATACTTCGGAAGTGATGCAGAAGAATATAAAGAAGTCCATTTCAAAGATGTCAGCATCATTTCCTGACCCTTCCAAAGCACAAGAATGCTTTTATATCTTGAACCAATTGAAAGACTGCAATGTTTTCAGTACTCTGGAGTTGTTACTAGAAGATTTGACGATTGATGATTTACAAATGAAGAGGGTACAGTCTCTTCTGTTGACCGTTGCTTTCTTTTAAGGGTATCATCTCACATGCTAATTATATGAATTCATGAATCTTCTTGTTGAATTTCTGATGAGAATATTTTTGTTATGTATGTTTATTTTCCCCACTCAGTGTAGTCTTAAATATGAGAAAGTGGGTTTCTTGGCCTAGAATGCTTTATGAATGGTAAAACATTCAGTAGAATAATAAAAAGCTTTACCGTTAAGTCATTGTTAGGATTGGATGTGGAAATCTGTGAAGATACAGCAATTGCTGTTGGTGAGGCAGTGAGCCCTTGTGCATCTCTTGGGAACAACTGAGTATAATTAAAAATTCAATGTACTTTGTTCCAGAATTTGTACTCATATAAATTCATGCCAATATGTAACTATAGTTAAATTTTCACCCCCAATTCAACTTTTCTTTCTTTGTTTTTGGATCATTATATTACTGCTTGACGAGAGTAACCATCGTGGTGATAATATAAAGGTGAGGGTATGTGTTCTTTTTGAGTTCTTTTGCTGAACTTCTTAAAGTGGAATTCTGAAACTTGCTTTTGGTACACTCGCTTTCATGTTTCAACTTTCTGATGTTTGACTTTAATAATAATATTATTGTCTGAACATACGTTATTATTGTGCCAGAAGGAATTTCTGAAACTGGTGGGAGATAAACACCCACAGCTTGATTTTCTACAACTGCTGTCTTTGAAATGCTCTTTTAGCATATTCAACTCGGAGATTATACGCTGTGTTTTGGTTCATCTTTCCAGCGAGGGGCTTGAAATCGAGCAAAAGAAGGCTTCTGCCAAACTCATTCTGGTAACTTCTGTTAGTTCTCATGACATATGTGGCCACCCTCTGTGTGTAATATAAATGAACAGTATAATGGATCATGAGAGCAATTGGTTAGAAAAGGCAGAAAGCTGCGTCTCATTTACTATCCTATTTGTACGTACTTGCTCATCCGAAGCATTAGACAGAGTGACAGGATTGACAGTGAATATGTGTTGAAAAATGCATATAGGTCTTGATTTGTTCAGACAAAACTACCGGAGGTTAAATTTTAATTCAAGCTTCTCTTATTGACAGAGAATTCTCCTGATTTCTAAGTTTTCTTTTTAGTATTGGGCTGGTGCTGGATGTTGGGTAGGACCATGGCCATGGACTCAACATGCCTTTGTAGCATTCTGAAATCTATTTTATGGCAATTTTTGTTCCAAGATGTGTCTTGGCAGGAATATCTTTTTAATATCAATATAATGTCTCTGGTGGTTGGTGGTATATTCTTAAGGAAAGATGAAATGCGCATATAAAATTTTATAACGCAGAAGGGCTAAGACGTGGCATTTTACTCGTACGATTGTTCAGTGAGAATTTTCTTACAGAAATTAACTAAAGTGTTAGCTGATGCAGGCCGTCGTCAGCATTTTCCCCTCTCTCTTAAGGGGTTCAGAAACGGAAGTTCAGATGCTGTTAGAGGATGATACCCTAGCAGGGGAGCTGGTTGAAGTTCTTGCAAAAGCAGGTTCTCATATCTTTGTTGAATTTAGGTAAATATCTCTGCTTTGTTTTCTGCCTTGTTGGGGGCTTAAATCTCTGTCTCTCTATTTCTCTAAGGGATGGTACTTTGTCAGTGCACACAACTAGGTTTGAATAACTGAAATGGGTACACTCATTCATAAGCGATAAATGCCACTTAATGTTGGCTCATTTGGCTGTTCGTACTTCTCTATAAGATATGTAGAATTCCTTCGATATTTAAGTTCAATTTTTTAAAATAGTATTTTGAGTTTTCACTTGGTCAATTGTCTTATTTGCTCATTGCGCTTGCTTTTTGTAAAATTATATCTGGTGTCTTCATTTGGTCAATTGGCTTATTGTAAGTGCTTTTTTATCGTCCATTTTTCTGTTGAGTTTCACATAAGCATTATAAGTGTTGTTATTGTTCCTCTATAAGTATATTGATCCTTTCACAACTAGACATCATATCCCTATAAATGTGAAGAAATTGTGTTTACGTGACCAGTAGGATTGAGCATGATTCTGTTAGTTGCACAAGTAGAGTTCTGACTTTGTTTTCTAGTAGTCCTTTGTATATGCAATGTCATATTGTTACAAACTTTTCATTTATTCATTAGTTAGGTATCGGTGTCATTTTTTGGTTTGTGCAGTGATTTCGACGCTTTCTTAAGAAGGCAATGTATAGAAGGGACTCGTGTGGTTTCAAAGCATGCTGTTTCAGCAATAGCTTCAATGGCTGGTACTTCTGAGCAAGTTATTTTATCACAACTTTGCGAGGTAGGGATGTTTTTAACAACTTTTACTTTTGTTTATACGTTGGAAAGCAAACATCCTCCAAGTTGCCTAATTTCTCTCTGGGATAGTGGGCTCTATCCTAACCATGTATGTTTAATGAGCTGTTATATTTAACCTCTCTGCATCAATCTATCCATTTTGTCTGGCTTATTATTAAGATATGATGGACAGCTAGTTTTCTCTTTTTGGTATTGATAATTATTGTGAATGATAGGTTCTCTCTTCAAACTATTAGGTTTATGAAAGTAAGAGTTCTTTTAATAGCAAACAGCCTCCAGTTTTCAGTCATTAGCATGTTCTTGATTGGGTAAGATGAGATGAACCAAATGATTTTGCTTTACAGTAGACTAGTTTCGTGTTAGAAAAATGGTTGTTCTTTATAGGGGATATTGGTGCCAAAGTTCGAACTCAAGGTGGGTTGAATTACATTTTTTCATTTCCCATTACCATAAGGGAAGCCCCTTGCGGTTTTGAAAAATGTGATTTTAGTTTTAATTCTCCCGCGTGTTCAATATTCCTAACTTTTCATGTACTTTGTTGAGCAATTTTGAGATTTGGTGCCCACATATACAGCCAGTTCTTTTTATCATCTCTCATGTTGTGTATTTTCCCACATGGAGCAGCTGCTATTGTTTGACTCAATGTTTATCAGGAATGGTCATTGTTCTAATTTCTAGTATATGTTTTTGTTGTATTCGTTCTTTCGGCACTTGCAGGAACTTGTAAATTCTCTACGTTGTGGGTGGAAAACTTCGACTGTGCTACAGTCTCTGGGCTGTATTGCGCAGCATTCTTTATCGACATTTGAGATACATGGCGAAGAGATCAGATCTTATATATTCAACATAATTTTCAAAGTAATTCGAAGCTAGTTTTTTCCTGTTGAAAATATAATATGATTTATCGTTCAATTTCTCTTCAGTTCACGCACTAGATCAATTGCTGAGTAATTTCTATGAATGCTTGCCTCTGTAGTTAAGCCAATCTGATGGTCCAGCTTGTTCTGAGGAGAGATTGAACTGCAGTGATTGCTGTCAGCTGAAGGTAGTGTAGTTACATAAAGCTATCTTCTATATTGGTCTTCTTTTTTCAATTTGACAGTATCCCCTGTTGTGGAGATGAGCTGGATCCTTAATATGTGAAACATTAACCTCACCAATGAAATTTCCATTTATTTTTTGTTTTCGATGCAACTTTAAACGAAAGAAAGACAAGGCAAGTTCTTTGCTCAAGGAAAAGATGTGAAATAAACTCCATTTTAACGTAAATCTAGAGGATAAAATTATTTGAAACAAAGCCATCATTGAGGAACATCACCATGAAACATAAAGCATATCACTGTAGGAGCAAGAGAGTTCAATAAGATTGTAGATTAGTTTTGTGATAACTGAAGTTGATCCTGTGGCCTGAATCTAGGGTGCCTCTTGGGAGATTGCAAGTTTGTTGTAACAGTACAGTTTAAATCATTTTTCAATTTTTATTGAAGTATCCACTGTTTCCATACATGCTGAAAGGGGTACATTGATTGCCTTTTACTGTATGAAAATCTCATATTCTTGATGATATTTACCTGTTGCAGATTTTTGGCCTGAAAACACTTGTCAAGAGCTTTTTGCCACACCAAGGATCTCATTTCAAATGGGCAATTGACAAAATGTTGGCCGTTTTGTTAAAAATGCTGCAGACAGGTGACACATCTGATGGAGTCTTTACATGGTATGGTTTTCTCAGGAATTTCTCATTCGTTCCACTTTAGCATTAGTAGAAATATGTCCGTGCTTTTTAACCTTTTCTTTTACCTGCCAATGTCGTTTTTCCTGTTAAGACAATTCATAACTAGAAGACAGTCCTCATGTTTGGTTTGAGCTGATTACAGCCTAATTCTATAGTGTGTTCTAGCCAGAAGCACAAACAAGAAAACTTCTAAAAACAGCCTACTCTCAACAAATTCACTGTTCCTTTTCTTCTAACTTTTTTCCAAGTAGTCTAGCCCTCAACTATTGGACTGACATAGCCTCTTCCCGTTATAGGTTGCGAGAGAAAGTACTCGAACTTTTACCTACTCATTTGGTCATTACGAACTATCCCTCGTTATGTTCATATGACATATCATCTCCGCCCTACGGTCTAATCCTCTTCTTCTTGGTACAAGGTTCTTAAAACTACGTTACTAATACCAAGATACACTTTTAACTATTGAGACAAATCGACTTCAGGTTTTTTCCTCTCTAGTTGTAAGCGTAACTGTTGTTGTGTGGGTTGCTTCCTATAGCCATTTCTTGTCCGATTGATCTGAGATGTCAATTACCTTTTTTGGGCAGTGAAAATGACAAGCTATCTATCAGATTAGCGGCTGCAAAATCTATTCTCATGCTTTCAAATAGATGGGATTTACATATCTCTCCTAAGATATTTCAGTTGACAACTTTGATGGCAAAGGTATGCAACCTGTGACTGCGTTCAAGATAAACATAGCTGGTAGCAGAGAATATACTTGAGATTTTTTTTTATTGATAGTCTGGCCCAGATTACCGAAAATGCTGCATTCCTTAGCTGACAAGTTTATATATGTGGGCTTCAACTTCAGCTTGTTGCTTTAGGTTAATGTTTCAGATCCCAAACTTCTGTAATTTTCTCTTCTAGTATACTTGGCTGTGCAATTTAATTTCTTTTCAGTTACAAGTTTGTCATATGGGATTGGGGGAAGGCGGATATTTTCTCTATCTGTTTTAAGCATGCTTAATAGTTCAGCACCTGGATAACGAGAGTAAAAATGTTCAAGAATGACAATAACATTATATACAATATGTTCTACTATTATTAGAAGTTTGCCATATGGAATTGTGGGAAGGCGGATATTTTCTCTATCTGTTTTGAGCATTCTAAATAGTTCAGCACATGGATAACGAGAGTGAAAATGTTAAAGTATGACATTAACATTATATTCAATGTGTTCTACTATTATTAGAGGTTCTTGTTATTAGGGTAGCATACTATTCTATTATACCTGGTTCGCTCTTGTTTCTAGATACATCATTGAGGATATTTATAACTTTTCTTTACCTTCGGTGTACTAATTGTGAGATACCAACCTTTTCTTTCTTCTGCACTGAAGCCCATATCATTAAGGCTGATGCATAAGGACCCATTTTATGAATTGTCCGTTTCCAGTTTATTCAGATTTATGTTCCACTGAAAACCTAATCTTGTTAGAGTAAACATCACCAGAATAGCTGCAAAAGCTCAGAATCCCAATTCTGATTGCAAAATGAGTGATGCTGCTTAGGATTGGGTTGTCAATAAACTCAATTACATTAGCATGGACTGTGGGATTTGTTGTTGATTAAAGTAGTTTTTTTATCTGATTAGACATCTTTCATATTGTGCTGGTTACATATATATGCCTTCTGTCCTTTTATCCAATCTTGTTGATTTCTGTCAAATTGCAGGACTCTTCTCCCGTAGTTAGAAAGTCATTCCTTCATAAAACACACAAACTACTGAAGAAGCATGCCATACCTGTTAGGTATGCATGTGCTTTTGCATTGGCTGCACATGACCCCTGTGAGGATCTGCGAGATGCTGTATGTTTCATACCTCATTCTGTGAGACATTATATATGTTTATATGTATCACCAGCTTTACTTAATCAACGTCTGCTTTTATGTTGTAGTCATCTAAATACATGGGAGATATTATCAACGACTATGTCAGAGACTCCCAATTCAACCAAAAATCTGCGGGGCAAAGAGAAACATTTACAGGCGACCCTGCATATATGGTTGTATACTTGATCTACATTCTAGCTCACGATGATAGCTTTCCTCTGGAAGAGTGTCAAGATGAACGAGTTTATGCTCAGTTCTGTAGGTATGTATGTTAAACCCACTATTGATGATGCATAGACTCCTTTGCTACTTGTAATTTTGATTTGACTGATGATTTCCTTATGTTTCCTCCTCCAGTCCACTCTTTTGGGTTATACAGGAATTAACAAGGGGAAGCCATGTGAAGGACCGTGTGGATGTTGCTAATGGTAACATCTCACGTCTGCTCTGTGTGTTCTATGCAATAAAAAAAGCAGAAGATGCCATTGATCCTCAGGGAACTCCAGTGAGTAGTTCGTTCCTTTGAAAACTTTGATGTTTTAGTTTACATTACGCTTCTACTTGATCCCGAAAACGAATTTTCTTGCAGAAACTTCGAATTCTAGCAGATATTGGGATCTTAATGGTGAAGTCGTTGCAACATAATGCCTTGCCCGTAGAACTTACACAAGGGCCAGTGTTACTCCCATCATCACTTTATAAATTAAGTCCAGTTAAGAATTGTGATGACGTAGATCTTCATTGATGGTTAAGCTGCTTGCTAGTAATTCTTTGTAGCATTTCCTTATAAGATGCATGATTTCAGGTCGACTTGAAATATGTCAGTGGCTCTTCTGATCGTCAGGATTTCCTCAATAGACTTATTCCCATTCAGAAGTCTGGAAACTTCATGGTACATAATTTTGCAATGAATTCCCTTAACTGTTTTCTTCCCTTTATTGGAATACCAGAAATATTTGTCTTGATTTGATTTTTTTGTTTTGTTTATGTTAGCCTGCTGGCCACTCTAATAAACGTAGTAGGGATCTTCAAGAAGATAAGCCGCGATCTTGTGGGACTGAGAATAATGCTTTAGTTGTGGTGTCTCTCCCATTGCAATCCTTGATTGCTCCAGAAACCCAAGGAATTGTTGCTGCAGATGTGTCTTTGGGACAAATGTTAGAATATGCCCTGTCACCTGATCTGGAATCTGAGGGATTATGTAGCAACCATACTGCAACTGAGATCCAGCTTGGTTGTGCCTCTACATCTTGCAATCCTATATCTTCCACTGATTCTGCAACTGTATCACCTTCTATGCTGCAGCCTGAAGCACTGAACCAAAAGTCAGATGGATATGTTCAATCTTTGGAAGATACTTGTGTAAGCACTTATTTGTTCTTAATCTTCCAGGTCGTAGGCTGAGTTATGTCTATCACATTGTTCAGGGTCTCATGTATTGTGCTCTACAACAGATATTCAATCGTGAGGGATCGATGTCGAAGCGCAGCAAATTATCATCTGCAGTTAATACGCGGTAACGGCTGTTTGCCAATAAAGATTCTTTTTTTTTTTGGTGTGTGTGTGGATTGTCATGAGCTAGCCTCCAGCAGTAAGCCAGTAACCCGTCTTTTTCTCTTTTCTGTCAGCTTCTCCAAGGACATGATTGTTGGTTTTGCTTCTAACCACAATATTCACAAGGTAACTAGAATTGTTTGGTGTTTGGCTGGCCATCTGCCTACCTTTGTTCTAATACAATGCTCATCTTCCTCCACTTCTGCCCTTGGCATTTTAATTTCATCTTGATTTGTGCGATGCGTCAATTAGTTGTCGTTTGGATCTAGGATTTGAAGAATGAGGGTTTGTTTCAAATATTGGGATTCGGAAAATGAAGGATTGGTGATGGATTTGGTTCATTTGGGATTTGAGAAAATTGTTATTTAGAGGTTAGATTTTATGATGGATTTTGTTGAATAGGATTAATGGGTTGAAAGTTTGATTAACCTTACTAACTCTAATGTCTTTTATTATTTTCAATCGATTTCATAGAGAAGGAAAAATTAATAATGAGGAAAATATGAAATAAATAAAATTCATGGGTATATGAGTCATTTATCGTGGGGACCACGGATTTGGTGCCCAGATTTGGAACAAAAAAAATTTAAATTCGTGGTCCCTACGGATTTGGTACCCTCCTTTTTCTGCACCAAAACGTTGGGTTTGGCCAATTTGCGTTAGTGTTGGATTTTAGTTCCAAATCCTTGATCTGAACAACCCCTTAATTGCTAGGTTTTGATTCATACTTCGTGGTTAGTTGCTCTATTTCAGCTGTCTCCTATTATATTGATGATAATATCCGATGTTTGTGGTATGAAATTCAACTGATCTCATTTTTGTGAATGATGACTGTCCTTGTGCATGTGCTTCCGAACTTGTGGTTTGGATATTGTTTTAATATCTTTTAGTTTCAAATGTTTATAAGCAACCATCATATTGCTGAAGCATCAGGTTGTGTAATATAATCATGTGTCAGCTCTACATAGTGTACCCGTACATGCTTCGGGATCTGTTTCATTCTTACCTATGCTGTTTCCTCCGTCTGTCAACGCGTGACTGAAGAATCTATCTTCTCTATTCAGTCTATACGTCAATTGAAGAATCTAGTCTCTTACTACTTTGTTTGTCCTTTCCGGATTGCTGCAGACATCTGCTTATGATACTGGGGAGATGGACTTGTTATGCTTGGAGACATGCGAGAAGGCCAAGAATAGTTCCTCAATGGAAAAGGTAGAACGGAGAACCTTGGGATTCTTGTCTCAATTAAAGATCATCCAAAATTCGGGTTTTCGTACTTTAGGGTTTTCTCTTGGATACCCTCAATCTTTAGCTTATCTATTGCTGCTTTTGTTGTTGGCCATATCAGGAGAACATGTCCACGGAAGAGTTGTATGCCAAAGAATCTAGCCACTGGTGAGCTATGGTTTATGGTCCAATCTCTTTTTTTTTTGTTGGCAATCCTTGTCCTATTAACTGCTGCTGTGATTCTTTTGTCTTGCAATTGTTGATGACTGACTGGCATTATCGTTGTTCCTGTTGGTAATTTCTGAAAATATTATTTATTTTCTTTGTTGTCCTGTAAAGACAATTTCTAATTATCTCATCATCTCAACTGTCTCCCCCGTGCTTACATCCTCCTACTTCTTGTTCTCTTCTCCGAAGAAGATAGTAGGATTAGGTTACATTTCCTTTTTCGGCAGAATTGTAATTTTGAATCTTGTTTGATTTGAGTAGGGGTACACATTCCACCGGATTGCTATCCTCGATTTATCATTTTCGGCATAATTCATCACTGCTATACCTGAGCGTCCTTTGCTGACTCCATTTTGCAGTGAACTGCTGGCTTGCCCTTCTCTCAATGTGCTAAAAGATTCGACGAATAGCAGTGGAGTTGTGGCCAAGAAGTCAACAAAGGTGTTGGCAAATAATGACACTGCCTCGTTTACTGGTACGTCATCGGAAACATTTCCTTAGTGGATTCGTTTTTTAGTTAGTTCTCTGTGGTGGCTGCTTAGTGGAGATTGATCTTCAGCTCAAGTATTACAGCCTTTTGACTTTCATATCGTATTGTATTTATAATAACCATGGATTCTGAAACCGTATGTATGGTACTACAAACTGGTGAGGCCAGCAGCACACAGTATAATAGGTATACAATGACAATAACTGTCGAAAAGACGTTATAATGCCATGATAAAACCATATCGGCTGGGTCACTGATGCATTGTTTAACCTTGGTAAAAATCTGGGTTTTGGTTTGCAGGAGCCAAAGGAAAGAAGGAGCGCGATGTTGCCCCTAGCAAAACAACAGGAGAAGTATCCCAAGTAAGGCATAAACATTTGATTAGTTCTGCACTAATTAATAGTAAGCTGTTTGTTGTAAATGGCCGAGAATCTGACGGTTGGGCGGCGATTTCAGGTTGTCAGGAGGTCGAAGCGACTGAAGAAATGATTCGTCTCTCGCCCTCTTCTTGGCACTGCAGTGCACAGTTAGGAAAGAAATAGGCGGCGGCAGCAGCAGCAGTGTAATTATAGTATCTTCTGTTGCGTGTTACTTACAGGCTAAGATGGAGTAGTTTGTAGTTTGGTTTTCCCTTCATCTTTTGGTGGCTCCACGAAACGATGATAAGGAGAGTACTAAAATAATTTAAATAGCTTAACTTTTTATTTTTATTTTTTGTGCATAATGCTAACCAAAATTTATGTTTATTAAAATACATATTTTGATAGCCAAGTTCCTATTAGTTGACCTTAAAGTGGCGGATGAAATGTTGAGGTCGCGCGCATGTATTTGATGTGGCTGATAGCTTGCTGAGGTGATTGAATAATTTCTTTGTTAACAAAATTAAATAGCCGAACTTTTTATTCAGCAAGATAATTGTTACGATGTTGAGGGAGTTCTTGCATCCTGGCGTAAATTATTGGAGGAATTATTCGGCTGGTCTCTTTCATTCCACTTTAATAGACTTTAGCACTCGAGTCATTGGACTGCTCATAGAGTAACATGTAAAATTCTTATTTACTTTGTATTTGTTAGAATTGGTGTCTTTAATTTCATGGTCAGGTTGTTGTAGTAGTCGATCTTTTCTCTTTTGGGTGTAAGAGGGATCAGGTTTGCTTATTTTTTATGTTCTCTTTCTTGACATTTCTCGGGAAAAAAACAAGATATCACGGGGACCTTCAGTTTGATAGAGTCTATGAAGTGGTTGTCCAACTCTAAATTAAATAATATGATTCGTTTAAGATTGAACTAAATAAACGTATATTGTATCGATGCAAAGATGGATCTGTAACAAGCATGGCTTATCTATGATAGGGATCTCATTGTAATAATTTGTTTCAAGAGATCCATACTTTATAATAAGTTAATAACTTCACAAAAGAGGATGCTCAATTTCTATGACCTTCGGGTCATTGTCGATGAAACAAAGGAACAAAGGGTTACGCATCATGAAATGAATGAGAAGGCTTTAGAGGTGATATAACTAATCAAAGATAGACTAGGAATCCTTATGTGATAAGGATTTCTATGTTAACCAAATTACTATTATTAATGCTGATGTGATCATGATTTTCAAATGGTTGGGGGATTATTTGTCTTCTAATTGAATAAGGATTATCAAGATTGACTGAATAACTTCTTGTGCTAAGAGGAAAATGAATCATTTTCGTATAAGAATTAATTTTCTACAATAGAAACCAAATTGACATAGTTAATAATTTAATTTTAATGGTATTTCTGGAAAAATCCTTAAAATCCCCCATGAGCAGTCCAAAACAATGAAGCACAAGCCCCTTCAATGTTAGATTTTCTAGATCATCAATGTTATAGCTCATTGCAATGGTTCGTAGAGACTCTAAGTAGTCAATTCACTATCCTTACTTCCTTATTTTATTGGCTAGTTAATGACATAAAGCAAAAACACGCATTACTTAGTTGTAGTTCCTCTCGCACTTGGCAAAAGTTTAGCTAGGAATGCTTTAGCGAAAAGGATATGGTATCATAATAGATATTTCATAGATTCATCTCATTAGTGAGATTGTATGCATGATCATCTAGATTAAACTATCAAACAATAGTTCTTTTATTGCTTTCATTGTTGTTTCTTTGCTTTTGTTATTTTCGTTTATTTAATTAGATAACAAACCATAGAGAATCTCAACCCATCGTATTTACTTAAATATGAATTGTCATTCAAGCATAATTAGTTAGTTTCAAAGTAGGTACCATATGAAAAAATGAACACAACCCTTTTAAAAAAAGTAGGTACCATCAAAAGACTCGAGGAATACAACCCTAGACAAAATTTAGGTTATTACTTTGGTGCATAGTACAACATCATTAATGTGATTACTTGCTTTGAATAGTTGAATTTCCCCCCTATAATCTTGACCAATATTCGGGAATGTGTAGTGCGTGAGAGGTCTTAATTTGAAGTAGTTGGTTTGATTTCTTTATGTTTCCTTAGGTGGATATCTCACTAGTGAATGTGTGGTAGTTTTGTTTGTGCATGAAGCTTGATTCTTAGTTGTAGGTCGGTTGAAAGACACTTGATTATGTGTTTTCTCACAGTAAAGTTTAAGTGTGATGATCGGATGTTTTAAAAAAAAAAGAAAAATCCTAAGTAGTAGAGCGTAAAAAGCGACTACTCTTACCTAGAGATGTCAATTGGTCCAAAACCATCACACATAGTGCAATACCCGAACCTACCTTACCTTTTTGCATCCTGACCCGCCCCACCCCAAGACCTATCACGCGTCCTCATCAGCCGCCCCATGCCCTGCCCTGTACAATGCGGGTCAAACACGGCCAACCCCATCCTTCTAAAACATCATGGAATAGTCAAGGAGGTTTTCAACCTCGTTAGGATAGAAGCTCGATGAGAATTTTTGTTTACGATCACAATTATTTTTGTTCCACTAGCATATTGGTCACTAAAATTTTATTTTTACAGATATCGGAGAAAAATTGGAGGACGGAAAAAGAGTGAATTTCTTTTTAACATGATCTACTTAGTCCACACCGTTTATTTCTCTCGAGGCTCCGGTTCACCAAAAAATAAAATAAAAAAAGGCTCAGCCCTTTTGTTGTTTTACTCTGGTTGTTGCCTTGTTGCCCTTATTTGATTTGTCTCTACCCTCTGCTCTCCCGCCGGTGTTCTCAATTCTCTTCCCCAAATCTTATTCCGGTCTCAATGGCGAACTTGAAGTCCAATTCTCCCTTCTCCCGCCGCATCGTACGAGCTTTCCTCGATTTCCTTGACTCTGGTTCGCCTCATCTCCCTCCGCTCCTCGATTCCCATTGCTCGCTTTTTAAGTAACTGGTCGCTCTCTCTCTCTCTTCTTATCTATGTTCTCTTTCCCCTTGCCTTGCCTTCACAATTCAGTTGAACCAGCACCCGGAGTTGATGCCGAGAGCTTGGAGGTAGCACGGGAATGTTTAGCCGGCGCGTTCAAGCTTGATGTCAATTCTGCTGATGATCCAATTCAACCTGGTCTTTTGGTCAACCTATTCCGTTCCCTCGACTCAAATGATCGCAATCCTGCCGATGGACAGCGCTCAAAGGTTCACCAGGTCTCTTTCTTGCTAATTCCACCCTAAGTTCATTATAAGTTGTAGGCGGGCTGCAAGCAACTAAGCTTAGCATATATTTTATGGAAGGGATGGGACTATGGGGTCGCTTGGTGTTTCCTGGTTGCTTAGCAAGTTAGCATGTCAAGAAGACTAGAATCGCTGTCTGTTCAGTTGGGTCAAGCTTTACTTGAACACCATGATTGCTCCGTTTAGGGAACTGCTAAGAATTGTGACAGATAAAAAAAGAAACTTTGAGATGACTTTTTCTCCCCCCTAATTGACGATTCTACAACTCCCTCTTGGGATTTTTTATTATTATCAGGAGGAAGATGGGACGAGACAACCTGGTGGTGTAGGTAAGCCTTTCACAGTTCCTACAGTTTCTTGTTAAAGTTGGGAAATTAGTCTTGTGCATCCTCAGCAGAAATTGAACGTTTGTTTTGGGTTTTGATATAGTTTTCCTCTTCCATTGTTAGGGATGTCAAATGATGAATTGTTTGGGCAATTCTTCGCTGCACTTGAGAAAATTCACTTCTTCAAAGCAACACCTGACGGGAAGGATGATTCAATCCAACTAGACAAAGCAACACGGTTATTCCACGAGGCTCTCAATGTATTGATTTGTATTAATAGTCCTTGTGTAATGGCTTTGTTTCATGGCCTTGTGGTTGTCTGTTATGTTCGTGATGGTTTAATATAATTGTGGTACTTAGTTAGAATTAGCTATTACATTCAATTTGTTTTTGCATGTAGTGTTTGTTTGACAGCAGTAAACTGGTTTCCAGGAGATGGAAAGATCGGGATGCCAGTCATACAACAGGAATAGCCTCGCTGAAGCATTAAAGTCACAAGGTAGATTTGATTTGCTCTGTTTTTCATTAATGTGTTATCAACCTTTGCCATCGAAGTCACTTCATACATTTTCATAGAGATTGTAAGAACATTCCAACAGTATGAGAGGTAGTGGTGTTGTTTTGGATTCACTTGCTGCATCTTTATCTACCAGAAATTCGCTCTCTGGTGTTGTCATATCCCAGACGGATGCTTGCGCAGAATCCGCTTTAGTTTGACATTGCTTTTTAGCAAATTAATGGATAAGATTTGAGTAACCTTATCTTTGTTTTTAGGTAACAAGGCATTGCAGTTAAAGCGATACTACGATGCAATTGAGTTGTATTCTTGTGCCATTGCACTTTGTGAAAAGAATGCTGTTTATTACTGCAACAGGTATAAAACCTCATAGTTTCTCCCACTAGGGTAACTTTTAAAGGGTGAAAATCTCCTTAATTTTTCTGGACCTTGCCTTTTTGAATAACTCTGCATTTCTAGAAGACAATAATACCTGTAATGAGTTTCTTCTTTACTGTTCTTTTTCCAGTGAGATGCAGATTGTCCTGTTCCTTGAGCTGTATTTTGTTTGGAATTAGGAGTTTTATTGGTGCATCATTTTCTCCACATTACAGTATCAATTGCCTTGTTTGACGGATTTTTCATCAGGGCTGCTGCATATACCCAGGTGCAAAAGTATGCTGAAGCAATCAGAGATTGTCTGAAGTCTATTGAAATTGATCCTAGTTACAGTAAGGCATACAGTCGTCTTGGATTTGTCTACTATGCACAAGGGAACTACAGGGATGCTATTGATAAGGGATTTAACAAAGGTCAGTGAAAATTTAGTTCATAAGTGTTGAAATATGAATGTTTTACTTTCTAGTTTAATTAAGAAAGAGGATGAATCTGTCTAGTTGGCTGGATGTCAAGTTCATAATTCATGCGTGCTGCAAATATGTATGTTGAGAATTTTCGCTTGAAAAGGGTCTAGGATAAGGCAATGGATGTTGCCAAGTTGCCAGAGATTCCATAAATACATAGATCCAGAGGTACACGGTTTTCCAACCTTAACATCAACAAAACAACGATGCAATGTTAGAGATGAAAACACATGTATTTCAATATATCAAAATGATATTTTTTTCAATTTGAAATGATTTTTCAATCAACAGTATATTCTTACAATCAATCAATTCATAGAAGTCCCCAATACCAAATTATGAAATACACGTTCTAATCACAGGTTTCAACCACCCCTGTGCTCAATAAAATACAGAAATGATGTAAAACCCCTACATCTTCTGTGGTGGCGAAGTTCCTTATGTTTTTATCTTCAAGATGCAACTCCCTTGGCAGACTGATATGAATAATGTGGTTTCTTTTTTCCTTATTCAGCCTTGCAATTGGATCCAAAAAATGCGTCCATGATTGAGAATATCCAGGTATGTCTCCTTTGTGGCTCAAATTCACACTCACAATCCAGGCTTGATTCATATAGTTTAATTGATTGCAAAGTGAAAAACAGGCTGCTGAGGAAAAATTAAAGGAAGAGCAATCATGGGGTCAGGTATTTTCTTAATGTTCCTCCATAATTAGGGTGATTATAATGGATGATGTCTTCAACTAGTTGGCACAATTTGTTCTGATATTGAACTTAAACCCTTGCACCTTGCAGAACTCGAGTTCATCGGGGTTTCCTCCTCCATTCGGATCGAGTTCGTCTGGGGTTCCTCCTCCATTCGGATCGAGTTCATCTGGGGTTCCTCCTCCATTCGGATCGATGCCGTTTGATCCTTCTTCCATCCCCATGAATTTTGCAAACATGATGCGGAATGTTATGCCGGATGTACAACACACAGGAGAGCATCACGAACAAGGAGGGCATGGAGAATCCAGGACTGCCCCTGATGAGCCGCACCAGCAGCCCGGAGCAGGAATAGGCGGAAGCATGAACATTAATTTAGGAGAAATGATGCCGGATGAACTGCGAGGAGCTCTCCGATCAGCCATGGAAATGTTCTCCGGAGCTGCACCACCGCCCACCGGGAAGGCCGATCAATCATCATCCAGTGGAAGATCAGCAACACACTAGACTGAACTCAGCATTTTTTTTGTCTTTCTGATTTTGGGTGGAAGAAGGGATACTAGAGATTATCTTTTGATACGGTATCTGACGTAGAGATGGCTTTGTTTCGTTTGATGTGTCTTTGAGTTTTAACTGTGTAGTTGGTTGACAAGTTATAGTGGGCGTACAATATCAAATTTCTCTTCTTCGTTCGGAATTATGATTTCGTCTTCTCTTTGATCAAAGTTTCTATCAGGTTCGTATTATTGAAACTTCACTCCCGACCGTTTAAGCTGCTGTACGGTGCTAACAATGTTTGTCGTTGCGTGCATCCAACGATTAGGCTAAAACGCGCTAATATCAATGGGTTTGGGAGAAAGTCCGATCTAGGTGGTAAGGGTGTTGTGTCATTTCAATCATATTCTGGATATCATGTTCGTTACATGATCCATGAAACCGTACCGGAGATCATACCAGAACAGTCAGCGATATGATATTTTACGACAAAACCGTGGTTTAACCGTAGTTCAACCGTTAGTACCGTTAAATACTACCTACCGGTTTAGCCTCCGATATTGGTATTTCGTGGTTGAATCACCGTTACGGTACGATTTCATGGACCATGATTGGTTGGTTGACATTACCCGTTCCCATTCCAGTTTCCACCGTTGAAACTGTTTGCTCGAAGTGAGGAAAGGGCCGAAATGGTAGGTTTGAAAATCTGAAAGGATGGCATTGCCATCTGGCCCACATGCACCAACTCCCTCCACTCTCCTTCACCCAAATATACGGCTCAGATCTCACTGAAAACGACAGGCTCAGACACGTGTATGGCTGGAAAGTAGCCAAAGTAAAAAAATTAAATGAAATAAGCAAGGATTAAAATATCTTACCTACCGGCAGTTCGACCTGAAAAACCTCCTACCGAAAGCAAAATTGATAGGCAGTATTTAGCGGTTTAATACGGTTGAACCATGGTTAAACTACGATTTTAGTATAAAATATCCTACCGTTGATTTTTCCGGTACGACCTCCGATACGGTATTTCAATCCTTGGAAATGACTAATAAGCTAATAATCTAACACCTGCTGCTGGGGAAGAAATCTGGAAACAGAAATGCAGATAAGATTTGGATGCTCCCTCCCTCCATCATGGGTGGGAATATGAATGATGAAATTTCATTCTCTATTTAATAATAAGGGAGGCATTTTATTCTATTGGGTTCTTCTTTGAATGATTCTGCCCTGTTGATAAGTGGGGATTGTTCGTGATTTTCTTTCTGTGGCAATCTATATTTTAGTTTAAAGAAATCATGAACAAGCTTCATCACGTTCATTTTAATTCAAATTTTGCTTACAACGAAAGGAGTTCATTGTGATCTATTTTATTTATAAATTTTCGGAAAGAAAAATTTCAACGCCACATATGCCGTTATTATACCATATAACATCCTGGTATACAATGATAACCGGTGATATATATGGTAAAAGGTGATAAATGAGAGCTGGTATTTTCCAGTTATCATGTATACAACCACTGTATATTGTAATTTCATACTATTATGATACAGTTTTATATCACTATAGTATAGATTGGTAATATATATCTTCTTATTTTTGTTTCAAAATATATCAAATTGAATGTTGTTTTGAAAAACAGAATTAACCTAATTTTTTTTTGTTGAATTATGACTTAAATCAAATGCGATATAACCAGTCAAATAAAAAGAAATTTTTTTTATGTATACTAATAAGTAATAACAAAACATGTTGTAACCCACATCAAATTAACATAGAATAATCCCAAATATTTATTTAACTATTACGTGCTGCTGGCACAAAAATATTTGAGAAAACCAAAAAGAGAAAAACAAAAACAAAAGAAACCGGGTCTGGCCATGGAAGCGTAGGGACCAAGGTTGTCAACCCGCGGGTTGACCCAGACCCGGTCGAGCTAGTGGGTCAAGGGTTAATGGGTCAACCAATTTAGCCCGATTTGGCCCGGAAATATAGAAAGAGTCATTATATTGTACTTATCCTCCTAAATTATATCAAATCTTATCTAACATATGAGTTATAACATATAATATTACACCAAAATAACATATCGTACTTAGATCCAACATATAGTGAAAATTCACACACACGTATATAACATAAATATTTAAATGTTCAACTTAGTATTTCAAAGATTGAGTTAGGCGAAAAGAAAAATTGGAAAATAGGCGCATTTCGCAAACTAAAGAAAAAATGATACAATTTGACCTCCAATCCGGTACCTTATAGCGGTCGGCCCGGCGGATGCGTGCGGCCCGTTTTTTTCATCGGGTCAGGGTCAAATTAGATCGACCCGCGGGTTGACAGCCTTGGTAGGGACAAAAACCGGGGAACAATGGCCGCAGAGGACCAATTAAGCAATTGCCATGCCAAGTGGTATCTTCCGGCTCTTAAAACGTTGTAAAACTGGACAGACTCCATTTCCAACCTCTGCTTCCTTTGATCTTTCCGCCCAACACTCTCCATTCCCTTTCCTTCCTTCCTTTCTCCAGCTATTTATATAGTAATCCTAAGCCTCGACCTGCCCTCGTCTCCGATTATCGCCGCCGCCGGTCTAATCTACCAATGCTGCTCCATTGAAGCCTTTCTACCCCGTTTTTCCCTAAGGTGAATCAACTCCCTGCGATCTCTTCGTTTCCCCCTTTTTTTCAGATGGGTTTTCTCTGGGTTCATCAGTACTGACTGATGTGATTTGTTTTTTTCCCCCTTTCTTTCAATCGTCTTCCTAGTATCAGGATATTCGACTTCTTTGCAAACAAAACCATGAGCGTGTACATAATTGGGGCTATTGTCCCGCTGGTGGTGACCCTTCTTCTCCGGAAGAATTCTAACGACGGGAAGAAACGCGGCGTCCCGATCGACGTCGGCGGCCAGGCCGAGTATGCAATTAGGAACGCCGGTTTCGCTACCCCGCTGGAAACGGCCTGGGAAGGAGTGTCCACTCTGGCCGAGCTCTTCGAGTTCGCTTGCAAGATGCACGGGAACAAGGATTTGCTGGGGACCCGGAAGTTGATCTCCAGGGAGGTTCAAGTGAGTGGAGACGGGAGGTCCTTCGAGAAGCTTCACCTGGGAGAGTACGAGTGGCTCACCTACGCTGCAGTGTTTCAGAGGGTCTCCAATTTCGGTTCTGGGTTGGCTCAACTCGGGCATCTGAGGGACGAGCGGGTCGCCATTTTCGCTGATACCAGAGCTGAATGGTTCATTGCGTTGCAGGTTGTTGTTCTTTCTGTTTTTTTGCCTTCATAAGCATGTGTTTTCAGTGTCTTGAATGATGGATTTGAAGGCGAATGGCTCATCTTCTTTTGGGTGTGCTTTCAGGGTTGCTTTAGGCGTAATGTCACAGTGGTTACCATCTACTCTTCACTCGGGGAAGAAGCTCTCTGCCACTCGTTGAATGAGGTTTCTCTCTCCCCTTCTCCCCTTATCTTTTGCATACTTTTGGGTTTCCGTCAAGCAGAAAAATTGATACAACGAGTTGAAATTTCTTTCTGTTTGCTTGTCCTTATTGGGGAAAAAGAATTCCTCGCTTGTGGATATCAAATTTGGAGCCTAGAATGCAAGGGAAGCTGAGATAGTATACTACTGTCTGTCTCATTTCTCTTAAAATGCATTAGAAAAGAAAAATCAATTCTCGTTCCTAAGTGCTATTCCAAGTAAGATTTTCTCCTAATGTGTTCGGCTGTTTGTTCCTAGCTGACACCGTTAGATAGAAATGAAGTTCAGGTGTTTAGGTTTACTTTTTGCTGTAGACACCAATTGCCAAGTGGAATTGAAATACTTCAGAGATACTTAGCTCGCTATTAACTTGGTCTATGGTATATGATTCTAATGAGATCCGTATGTCTTTGATCTTCAGACTGAAGTTACCACTGTGATTTGTGGGAGCAAGGAACTGAAGAAACTTGTGGAGATAAGTGGGCAACTCGACAGCGTGAAACGGTTGATATGTATGGATGACGATGTTCCTTCTGTGGCATCTCCACTGGAGCAGAGTGGGCGGTGGACAGTTAAGTCGATGGCAAGTGTGGAGAAACTGGGCCAAGAAAATCCTACGAGGGCTGATTTGCCTCTGCCAGGTGATGTTGCTGTCATCATGTATACAAGTGGGAGTACTGGGTTACCAAAGGTTTGCTCTCTTCTCTTCCTCTCTTTGCTTTTGTTTTTGTCCTTTTGTCTTGTTCACCAGATGTCAATGTTTCTTAAAGTTTCTTGAACATTCAATACGAGTCTCAAGTCTTTGGCCAGGAGGTCTACTGCACTATAGCTGAATCTTCCCTAACTATTGATATACATCTTGGTCAACATATTTTACGCTATTGAATCTTTACTTATTCCTTTGCTTGCCATTTCTGTATTTTTACAAGACAATAATGTATCGACTTCCCTTGTGTACCTATTCATGCAGGGAGTGATGATGACACATGCTAATGTCCTGGCTGTAGTTTCTTCTGTCAGGACCATTGTTCCTGGCCTTGAGAGCGATGATGTTTATCTCGCATACCTTCCATTAGCTCATATACTTGAATTAGCGGCCGAAGTAAGCTTAATTATTGTGCAATTATCGACGTAAGAACTCGACTAGATTCAGTTTTATGTCTAATTGTTTGTTGTTACTATACAAAACTACAGAATATAGTTGCTGGTGTGGGAAGTGCTATAGGATACGGAAGTCCTTTGACACTTACCGACACTTCAAACAAGATAAAAAAGGGAACCAAAGGGGATGCTTCTGCATTGAGGCCAACTGTGATGGCAGCTGTTCCAGCAATTCTTGACCGTGTTCGAGATGGCGTGCGTAGTAAGGTACAGTGAGTGTTTGCCATTCTCACTCATTCTGTATCATTTAAATTGAAATGTATTCGAGTATGACCTTTGGTATTGATGTTAATTTGACCTTCAGGTAGATGCAAAAGGTGGATTGGCCAAGTGTCTATTTGACTTGGCATACAATCGCCGGCTGTCAGCAGTGAACGGGAGTTGGTTCGGAGCTTGGGGACTAGAACTGCTTCTGTGGAACCTTTTAGTTTTTAAGAAGGTGCGGGCAGTTTTGGGAGGCAGAGTGCGGTTTTTGCTTTCTGGAGGTGCTCCTCTTTCTGGTGATACTCAAAGATTTATCAACATTTGCCTTGGGTTAGTATGCTATTTAAACGACAACTAGCTGATCTTTTGTCCGTTAATGAGTTAGAAATTCTACTCTGTCTGCTGGTTTATTGATATTGTAACTGTAGATGTAAAAATGGACAGTTGAAGAAAAAGGGTTTAAGAAAATTCAGTTTTAACCCAGCCGATTCATAGTATTCTTGTCACGTTAAATTTCACACTGAGCATAATGTAAGAAGTGACTGGTTATCTTATTTCTCGGTGGTCTTATTTTTCTGAGTTATTCCCATTTCTGATTGAGAAAATGAATGTGCAGAGCTCCAATTGGCCAAGGTTATGGTCTCACTGAGACTTGTGCTGGTGGGACCTTTTCTGAGTTCGATGATACTTCTGTTGGTCGAGTTGGCAATCCACTTCCTTGCTCGTATATTAAGGTTAGGGCCTAGTGGAATGACTTCCCTCCATCTTTCATGCTAAAAAAACTTGCTTTATTCTTTTCTGGTTACTTTTGCAGTGGCATGTTTTATCTTCCAAGAACCATTTCTGCAATCATGATTCTTGTTTTGACTTATTTGAATTCTGTTTTGTTATTGATATGAACATATGTTCTGGCTTTTCAGTTGGTGGATTGGCCAGAAGGTGGATATTTGATTACTGATTCACCTAAGCCTCGTGGGGAAATAGTCATTGGCGGTCCTAATGTCACCCTTGGGTACTTCAAAAATGAAGAGAAATCAAGAGAAGTCTACAAGGTGGAAATTCTAAATCAACCTCTTCCAACTGTCTTTTGAAATACAAATTCCGTCATCAAGTACTATTAAGTATTAACCACGTCGATTCTGTTGTTGTTTCGGAGAAGGTTGATGCGAAAGGCATGAGGTGGTTCTACACAGGCGACATTGGTCAGTTCCATGCTGATGGATGCCTGGAGATAATTGACCGCAAGAAGGATATAGTCAAGCTTCAGCATGGGGAGTACGTCTCTTTGGGAAAAGTATGCATCTTTTCATCACTGACAGATCCCATAAAGAGAACCACAAATATTTTCTGCTGCTGCTGACGAGTAGTCTCCATTCCCCTCTTATCTTTTTGCCTACAGGTTGAGGCTGTTCTTATGGCAACCTCCTGTGTCGACAACATGATGATGCATGCTGATCCATTCCACAGTTACACTGTGGCTGTAGTGGTGCCATCTCAGCCTGCCCTTGAAGAATGGGCTGCAAAGCAAGGAATAAGCTACACCGATTTCTCAGACCTGTGTGACAAGAAAGAAACAGTACAGGAAGTCCAAGCTGCTCTTGTCAAGGTACACATTATTTGGATGTTTGATGTGATGTTCAACTTATTGTTTAAAACCGAAATGTGATGTTTAACTTTTTATTAGACTTCATGATGATGATGATATCTGAATCCCCCTCTTTCATTGCGTGATTAGGAAGCGAAGAAGGCGAAGTTGGAGAGGTTTGAGATCCCGACGAAGATAAAGTTGCTTTCAAATCCATGGACTCCCGAGACTGGGCTAGTCACTGCAGCTCTAAAGATTAAGAGAGAAGCCATTAGGAAGGCCTTCTCTGAAGAGCTATCGAAGCTATATGAATCGTGAAGTAGTTTTTGTTGGAAGCCAGCTGCCTATGACTCTTGGTCACTGAGTTTTGTTGCTGAGTCCTGTGAACTAGTCTCATTTTGTAGGGATATTGTTTAGGTTGCCTTTGAATTTTTGCTGCTTTTCTACTTATATCTGCTTTACTTGGGTCCCGTTTCTGGCCATCCCACAGTTACTTGTTTATGTACGTGACGACAAGGTTTTAGTGCTTCCTTCTGCTTCTTGGGTTTCTGGCTATTTATGGCAAGTGACTTGGCAGGGCTTACATGTTCGGATTCATGGGTAAAAATTGTAGATCTGTTGTTTTTCAACGATGATAGGACAAGCGTTAACTAAATACCATAACCTTTTGATACAAGTAGAGTTTGTTCTTCCTTTTGCTAGGCCTAAAAAATTAGCTAGGTGGAGAAAATGGCAACAACCAAAGGACACCATTGCCATAAATTAATTGAGGTCCTATTTCATTTCATGTGCTTGGAGTATTGCACCGACTCCTTGCCTCTATGAGTTATAGCAAATGGTCCTAGCGGGTCACCCATTACATTGGCCATTGCTATAGTAGTAATATCATATCGTAATTCGTTGCCCATCATTTTCATTAGAGGACATGTCTTCTCTTGATCGATATGTTATGTAGGGCTAGTTTCGTACGATAGATGATTGAAATAGAATGGCTATGAATGAATGATGTTTGAGGCAAGAATTTTTTATCCAGTGTCACGATTGAGAGAAATATGAGGGTTAAAGGTGTGGATTTTCGTTGAGGTTATGTTGGTTGTCTGACCACTGTTTTTTGTCGACCTACCTCAATCCCGAAACAAATAAGTTATGAATGAAAAACACACACTAGTTAGTCATGAGAGTTGATTGTTGAAATCGAAGTAGCTCGACCGATAGGGAGAGGAACGAGCTCGGCTGAAAGGAGAGGAGGGGAATATATGAGCCTGAAAGGCGGGTGAAGGAAATCTCTCTATCTGAGATAAAAGTATTAAGCAGAGCCCGAAGGAACGGAGTTGCTCGACCGACAGGGGAAGGTTAGAAGTAGCTCGACCAATAGGTTTATCATATGTGAGCCCGAAGGGATAAGGGAAAGGAAAGAAGTTGCTCTACTGAAAGGGGGAATATGTGATCTCGCAAGGCAGGCAATGGAAGCCAATAGTTAGTTTTTTAAAAGTATAGTGTATATAGATGAAAATTTTAGGTTTATTATTGTTTAAACGAGTGATTATGGTATATGCATGGTTACCTTCTTTTTTCTTTTTGATAAATGATGAACTTTATGACTAACAGAAGAAGAGCAACAAAAAATGAACACCTAGCAAGAAGGAAAAAGGTGAAAAAAGTTTGGCAAAACAACGGCCAAAACTCAAATACAACAAACAAGAACCAGTATGGGAACTACCAAATATGGTGACAAACAACTATCACTAATAGAATGAAAAACAAAAACAACGGGAATGCCTTTGAATCTCAAGGCCCCAAAAATAACACCTATACATCGAGATAAAACCAAGAGACAAACAATCAACCATCCCCAATCCTCACCCATTGTTGTAAGTGGATTTGAAAGAATTTTAAAAGCTCGAAGCCACCTCCCAACCATTTGGATGATCTTGTGACACAAGTACATTTGAGAAGTTTCAATATCTCTAAAAATTCTATTGTTTTGTTCGCTCCAGAGTGACCAACACATGGCAAGCCTTTAATGTAATCTCTGAATTTAGGATCACACCTCAATACTCCCCAAGCATGGAGAAAAGGTCGAACCTGAGCGAGGAAAGGTCCATGCAGCTCTAAAGCTTTTGTGAAGAATTCCCAAATTATCCTTGAGAAGGGGCATGTAAACATACGGTGTGAAATGGACTCCTTGTCGCTTTTACACAAGGAACACCAATTTGTAATGATCATTCCTCTTCTTCTCAAGTTGTCAAAGGTGGCAACTTTTGATAATGAGGTCATCCAAAGAAAGCAGTAAATCTTAGAAGGGATAGAAGAAATCCATACGAGTTTGTAGGGGAAGAAGTTTTCACCTTCAAAAGAATCATCATTGAGATGCGCTGTGAAGGAATGCACAGAAAAACAGAGGATCACTCCAAAGGACAAACCAAACAAGTTGGGCCGACACAAGTCCAATTATGTGAAAGTGAAGACAACAAATGCATCAAACAGACTCGTTCTGCTTCAGTCCCAACTCTCAGTAAAACTGTAATGGGATCTCCCAAAAGGACCTGTCACCAAAAGAAACTAAGTCAGAAACAAAAACATCCAAGGATTGGGCAGCCGATCCAACCCTTGAAAACTCTTTCACCAAGTGTTTCCCAGGAATCCATATATCATGCCAAAACGACACTCCATAACCCCCCGGATCGACATATATAAGCAACTCCAAAAAAAATATGAGCTTTTGTGGACAATAGTACGCCATAAGGATGAGCAACCATATGGACCCAAGTTCCAACAAGGTATCCACTCTCAAGAACCTATCCCACATTTTGCCACAACCATTTTCCTCCACCAAGCATCTCTCTCCACCCCAAATCTCCAAGCTCATTTCCCTAAAAGAGATTTATTAACACTCCTGATATCCAAAACTCCCAAACCTCTTCTCACCATAGGGGTTTTTCACCAAATCTCATCGATAGTCTCTTAATCTCCAAGATATCAGACCAAAGGAAATCATTATAAATTTTTTCCAACCTTGCAATCACTGATAAGGAGGCCTTAAAAAGAGATAAGAAGTATATGAGAAGATTTTCAAGGACGCTTTTTAACAAACATAGTCTCCCCCCAAAAGAGGGCATCCTAGCCTTCCAAGAGGCTAAACGATTTTGGACCTTCTCAATCATTGGTCCACAAGCTGTCAAAGACGCCATTCTAGATCCTAAGGGAAGCCCTAGATAGTTCGGCGACAAAAAAAAAAAAGCATCTCACATCCAAAAATGTTAGCAAAATGAAAAGGATCTTCCACCTCCCCCACAACCATTATGGAACTCTTGTATAAATTCGCTCGAAGACCCGAGATGGTTTAAAAAAAAGGCAAGAACTACAAAGAGATATTGAACTTGAACTTCAGAAGCATCACATAAAAGCAGGGTGTCATCCGCACAGAGGATATGAGTGACCTCGCCACTTTTAAGATCCTCGTTCATGAAGAAGCCTTCAACTAAACCATGGAGTTGCATCCTTTTAGGATACCCAATAAAATCTTCATCACAAGAATGAAAAGGAAAGGAGAGAGGAAGTCCCCTTTTCTAAGACCTCTCTCACTTGGAAAGAAACCATAAGCTTCACCATTCACAAAACATGAAAGAAGTTGGTGAGATGCAACCTCTAATCCAAACTGGGTGTTTTCACTTTGGTGTATTTGAACATTAATGTTATTGTATCAATAAAATGTTATTTTCCGGCATATTATTTTGTGAGATGTATTTTCTAAAAAAATTGTTTGATTTGATGAATTTGTGTTGTAAATTATGTTAAAAAATTAACAAAAAATTAGACAAGACAATGGGTAGACCCATTGGGTTATTTGACCCAAATGACATGATCCATATGGGTATTGGGTCGGATCCAAATGGACCCATATACACTTCTAATGATTTTGGATTTGAATTGGGTTTTATTTGGGTCAACTTATTTGGATTAGACCCAAATGGGTCTAATTGGATCAATTGAGATTGCATGTACAATTTTAATTGTATTCAAATATATAAAGTATGTCAATAAAATATAATCTATGTTCACTTATATCGATTGTAAATTTGAGAATTTCAATTGCATCCAACCAAACGAATTTGTCGACATTGTTGGTCCTTTTAAGAGTTTGAAACTTGTTTCTTCAAATGGTCCAAGTTGGAACCTTTTTAAGGCATCATAATAGAAGCGATTATAGAAAAGAAGCATATATTGAAAAAAGAAACTTGGTGTGACTGTGACCCACTAAGGAATGCCCCAGAGGATGATGATGGTAACCTGACTCTGAGTCCAAACGCCTACCAAAATGGGAACACCCCTCATGGGAATGGAATGGAATGAATCTCAATTTTTTATGCTTATTTTATTTACCATTTGTTTGTACACGTAAAATACAATATTTGATTCACTAGTCCAATGTCACCTCGGATAGATTCACATTGTAAGGATAAAATCTATCTCCTCTAAATGAATTTTATCCATTCACACACTAGACCGTCGAGTCAATGGTTATGCACTCAACGTGCTAGCATTGTCTAGGTGGACGTCTAATAGGCATAGGTACTTTCACCTCGTCCACCATACTAGACTCCTGGATCATTCATCTACTCCTAACAAGCCAAGGCACTCGAATCTACCTCTAATTCATGCACTCCTAAGTAGTAGTCTACTATGAAAAGAATCAGAGAGACAAGCCCAACCATATTTAATCATAGATGAAGCATAAGAACTATAGGAAAACTCAATTCATCCATAAATCACAAGAAGGAGAATGAAAATTTTCCTACCACCTAGGTTGCAATTAAGGCAAACGGGATACAGACAATCCCACTACTTGATGCAAGAAAGAACAAACATCAAATAAAACCATAGGTTAGGGTTAGGGTTAGGGAGACAAAGCCTCAAAGTACCTTGAGGGATTACCCCCATGAAGGGGGGAGGGGGAAGAGACATGCAAACAGGAAAACAAATCATAAAGAAAAGGGTTTTCAAGTGACGGAAATCCTCCTCCAAAGCTCTCCTCCACTTCTTCTCCAAGCTAATACTTTTCTCTCTACTCCAGGTCGTGGCAGTTGAGCCAACCTTCAGCGTGGTTACAATTTATGTAATCCCAACCTTGTGGATGCTCTCGGTTGGATGCCTTTCAATCCTGTTGGTATGGTTGCTTATCTTAATCAGAATAGGATTGATAAGGCCAGAGAGAATGATGAGAAGATGGAACATTAGCGACAGATATAGCGGGTCAGATAGGTCGAATAGAAAGGTGTCCGCCAAGAATGACCTTCCTCATAACCGTGTTGCCATGTACCATAACCTCTTCAGCTAGATGTTGCGTGAAAATTGACATAGCAAATTAGCGCCAATCATATTTTAATACCAATTGATGCATTATCAGTTTCACGGTTTGGATGTCGCAAACTCGAAGAAGAATTAACTACGAAGAACTAAGGAAAAGTGATAAAACTACAAGTAAATTACTATAAATACTTGACATCTTATTCATGAATAAAGCGTAGAGAAAAAATACATATTTATAGGACTAATCTCATAAATCATTTGCCTCTCAAACAAGGTCAACTAATATTAAACCAACAAGAGCGAATAAGGACATGGTCTAGTGTTGATACCACTAGCCTTGAATCTGGAGATTATAAATTCAAATCTCTTGTACATAACCACAAACAAACATCTATATCACCCTTAATATATATATATATATATATATATATATATATATATATATATATATATAGCCAACAAGTAAACAGTAACTTTCTAGGAAAGACGCATTATATAATATTAGTTTTAAACATAAATCGACACGAATACCCCGAATAAATAACAATTAATACAAAAAGACCCTAAACAATAATAAAGAAAAGAGCGATTGCAGCCCACAAATGCATAAATGCATCAGAGTGTGACCTGCTGGTAAGTTAAGTGAACTTTCAATTTGGACATCCGTCGTCTAAATTGTATTATTATCACAATTAAAGAGAATATCATCTATCTGCTACGAGTACTAGTTAGAATCTGTGTTTCGAATCACCTTCCAACATTTTTAAAGAAAGATAACTCAAACAAGAGAAATAATTACCCAAATACTAACGTAGAGATTTGTTTCCTGTTTTCACCACATCATGAGCATGCCTAGAAATCCTAAAAAGATGAATCAATTTGAGCTTTAGGTAGGAACTATGAAATCTAATTATAAACATCCCTAGTAATCATGAACTTGTGCTTGACAATCTTGCATACAGATCTAGCCATAAGAGTTCCTTCCATATAAATAAGAAAAATAATAGATGTGGTCATAGAGTTAAAAAGAGATTTTGAGAGAACCCTTCAAGTTGTCATCTTCACTATCCCAACAAAAAGCTTTTGCCACACACTCTCACATGCCTTGTGTTATACACCTTGAAGATATATATGATCCCAAATCCTATCCCCCACTCCCTATGGACCCCCAAGCTCCTATACTAAAAGGTAGTCACAAGTTTGTTGATCTATCAAAATAATAATTATAACTCTGAAGTAGCGGCGGAGTCAGATATCTGAATGAGAGAACTAAAAATCTGTAATCATACAATTTAGCGGCGGTTCGACCTGAAAAATCTTCTACCGGAAGCAAAATCGGTAGGCGGTATTTAGCGGTATAATACGATGAACCACAGTTTTAGCATAAAATACCCTACTGCTGACGATCTCCGATACGGTATTTCAATTCTTGGAAAGGACCCCTCCCAACAGTTGCTTTTTCCCTTGGCTAGCTAGCTAGAGGTCCCAATTCAAGTGGGCGTTGCAATGTTTGACTTCAGCCAGCTACAAACCCTTTTTTTTCTCTTCCTATGGGGACATGTACAATGCAGAAGGTTATCTCAATCAAAGGGCTAGAAGATAGAACTGATAATAAAAGTTGCTGCTGAATCTTGGAGGGAGACCCTTTCCAATTAAGTTTCCTTCTTCTTTTTCTTTTTCTTCCCTTTAGTTAGGATTGAAACGGTGAACTTTCTTGTTTGACACTTGACAGGCTCTCCTCAAAGGAAACTCTCCCCATGTGGCTCACTTTAGTTTGACATTAGCTGGTCTCACTTTGGTCGCTAACTTTTTGAAACTTGCAAATTGGGCCATTGAACTTTTTTTGGGTTTGTGAAACGGTCACCATGCTATGATCATCAATAGTGACGGCAATAGGGTGGGGTGGGGCGGGGCGGGGCGGGTACTTCAATATTTATGCCCCGTTTCACGTTACTGTGGATCGGGAAGGATAATACCCGCGTGGGTACGGGACGGGGTGGGGCGGGTCGACCAACTCTTATATGTGGTTTGGCAAATATACATGCAAATTTTACCTTTTATGATAAAAAAAAAACGTGAAAACACTTTATTAATGAAAATAGTATTAATAGAACGGGTAATTAAGTCTAAATAGTTGAAGGGTCGAGTCTAACTAGTTGAAGAAAATTCAAAATATGAGCAATATGAATAGATATTGCAAGAAATTGAATGAGACAAAAACATGAAGGTCGGGTCGGGCCGAAAGTAGATACTCATGCCCCGCCCCACGCTACTACGGGTCGGGTAATACCCGCCCTATCGTGAGTCAGATAAAGTAATACCCACGGAGCTCAAATTGCCATCACTAATCATCACCCTCGAGAGAACTCATATGATGAGTTGTTTTCTTTCCCCCAATCCTTGGGCCAGTTTCGGTCCGACCACGATTTTTTTCACCAATCGGATTGCTAGAATCCAAGCTTACACATCGGGAGAATATTATTCACACTATCAAGTATACCATTGAATCAGTAAATCCTAGTTTCTTTCATTGTCAAAATATTCATTGCATTGTTAGTCGAACTGTACCGAAGGTTATACCATAAAGAAAGAAAAATTAGTGTTAGAATAATTTGTACTAAAACCGTGATTTAACCAGATTTCAACTGTTTTCTACTGCTAAAAGTGTTTTGGATTTTAGGTATGGTATCCGATCCGATCGACCAGTATAGTAGAATTTCTCAAACATTGCTATTTACTTTCTTGATTCATTTCTGCACCATATACCCTACATATACAATCCAAAACCCATCGGTGCACATGGCAGTTGAACTTATATACAGGTTGCTTCTACAATGCACGTAGAAAAATGACTGCATACTATGCACTCAACTTCAAAACTAACCTTCTAACATTGTTAATTGGTAGTATTAGCCGAATAGAATTATATGACATAGAAATACAACTAATGCATTACTTTAAATCCTAAACCTTAAAATCTGAACCCTAACCCTATCTCTAAACTCTATATCCTTCAAATTAATAGTAATTTTTTTTTTTGCTAATTCATGCGTTTTTTGTCCATCATATACAAGTGACAATTAACATCGTTTTGACATTAATCATGTGCTCATAATGATAATTATACATCCAAAAATTGAGTGTACCCAAAACAAAATTATATATGTGTGTGTAGATGTGATTGTTAGGCTAGTAATGTGTTGGGAAAATCAACTTAGTAATGAGAAATGACCCAATAATAGATTTATGGATTGGATTACTAATTTATTATCAATTGGAATAATGACTGTAGTAAGGAGGCCAAGCAAAGGCAGTGAAAGTAGAGTGATTGTAAGGTAATTTCTTTATGGGATTCTGAACTGCGAAGACAAATGTTCAAATGAGTTGACGATATTATCAGAAAAAGAGCAATAACTAGCGGGCGAGCAATTTCCTTGGAAATAACGCCAAGGGAAAGGAAAGGAAGGGAAGCTCGAAAGCCAAAAAAAAAATCTCTGGTTTTCTTCAACAAGGGAAGACTATTTCATGCACATAAATACTTTGCCAATAGAGGTCAATCTTGGAAATCTCGATTGATTATCTATTTCTAGCAAATCTGCCAAAGATGATTACGAAAAAGTACAATCAAGAAAATGAAAAAAGAAAAAAAAAAAAAAAGTAGAAGAAGAGAAGAACCACCATGTGTAGACAGACAAGTCTTTACGTAGCTTTCTGTAGTGTGTTTCTAGGTCATTAAATTAACTTATCCCCTGAGCTACCAAGCTGTTTGTAAAATTCTGTCCGAATCAAATAAGATTCTTTTTTGAAACCAATAAATCTTTTCATATAAAATTTTCAGGGTTCACAAATTCAATAATAATTATTCGTGGATACAAAAAGAAATTTGTAGATTATAGAGTGCAACAAGCGTCCCAATTACCTCATATGAATGGGGTTCTTTGGCTGCTCGTTATATTTATTAAACTTTGACCTATGTAGAACACGGAATTCTATTCTGATTTATGAACGAAAATGATGTACGAGAATCGAGAACTCAATTGTTTGAGTCTCGAAAAAAGTGATCTCTTCGGTAGCATGCTCACAAGTGGAGGCCTTTGTTTTGCTTATGGCGGTGGTTAGAATTGTTCCACAACTTCCCGACGGATATCCTGACTAGCCTCCCGAAGCCACCCTGAGCCATGACCGACTACCATGGCTCAGCAACCTCGAGTTTGACCTGCCCGCAACATCATAAAAGCGACAACCACGAGTAATAATTCTCGAAGACTTTAAACCGGATTTGTATTCGGTTAAAAAGTAATATATATCTGTGTGTCAAAATTATAGGTATGCATAAATGTTAAGGAGGACCCATTTGAATTTCCCATCTCTGTCATCCCCTTAAAACCCACATTTGACACTTCTAACTAAGAGGTGTGCAATAGCTACATTTGAACCATATTTCTCTATCTCCATCTCTCTCCATATTAACTTCTAAACAAAACATTCTTACATCCTTAATCAAATTAAATTTATACACACACATATATATAAATCCAACAATCCTCTGCTTTCCCATTCTGCATATTCTCTGTCACAACTCAGGAACCAAAACAGCATGAATAACGGGTACAAGGAAGACAGCAATTGCAGCGGCGACTACTGCTACTTCCATCCAAAGGAAGCGGTGGTCGGAGTCTGCCCGCTCTGCCTACACGACCGCCTCTTAGTCCTCGCCGCTGCCACCAAGCACCGCCACCTTTCCCCTTCTCCAACATCTACTTCTAGTTCTTCCACGGCGGCGGGACGCCACAAGAAGAAGCCGTCGATTCTGTTTGCTCTCGGCTCTCTGCTCATCAACAGGCTCGAATTCCGACAACCCAAATCCGATCTTCACGATGACGACCACCATTTCCCTGATTATGGTGATGATGATGATGATGATGATGCCTCCACCGGCACTCTAGAAGGTAACACTCTCTCAATTTAAGCTTTCACTATATGTTTCTTTTCTGGTTCAATTCAGATCTCTCGAGCCGGATTCGAACCTGAAACCTCTGTCTAACCCAATTCGAGATTTGTAGTTATTGTCGATTTGAAAAGGTTCATTGGTGATTTTAGGAAAATGGGTCGGTAGAAAAAACCCAAAAAGAGCGGACTTGTTTTTAATCCGGAGATTTCAGATTCGAATTTAAATTGCTGAGCCATGTTCTGGTCACTCTGTTTTCCATTAGAAAAAAAAGTTTCAATTAGAGCATCTATGCATGTTACTGCCAGAGGATTTGATTTTTGACAAAACAGTGGTCAAGAATAAGATTCCCTCATCCATACATAGAAACTGGAGAGAGGAAATGTTTATGTAGGAAAAGGCAGAAGGGAGATCTGTCAGTAGGAAATTTGCAGAACCATGTTTCCAAGTCAAGAAATGCTTCCTCCTCTCCTGCTGTAGATCCACATGATCATAATGGTTTAATTGATACCTATAACAGCAGTTGTGATCCAGTTTTTTTTCTTAAATCATTGTTAATCCTCACTATTGATTAGATTAGTCAAATGGTTAGGTTTAATTATTATGATGGATGGGATGTGATCTCAATTATTATAAGCACAAGGAGGGGTCCCTAAATCTTTTTTTGACAAATGTTGAAAAAGGGCCAAAGCATATAGGTACAATAATCCTCAACAGCTCAAATCAATGTCCCCCTAATTGGGTTCCGACGCGTGGGTTTTCGATCCAAATTAGAAACGTATTACTAATCGAAGCCAGATACGAAGAAACAACCGAATTCGCAGTCGAATGGTGGTATGACCTCTGTTTCTCTTGGCAGATTCTTTCATTTCGATCCAGTTCCAAGATAATGGGGTGGCCTCATGGGAAAAAGGTGTGGATTTGGTCTCTCAATCCAAAAAACATGACAAGAAGAAGAAGAAGAAGAACAGCCAAAGCCAGAGAAGGGATCAGAACAAGGACACCACCACGATCATGCCATTTTCTTCTTCTTCTTGTTCTTCTTCGACCAGCTACAAGGTGAAGGAAGAGGAGATGATGATGAGTGTGGTCGAGCACGGGAAGCCACGAGCCGGGTCGATGAGGTGGCGGAAGCGGATTGGGCACATGTTCCACCTCATCAGATGGAAGAGGTCCAACAGCAGCAAGGGAAATGTGTGCCACGTGGGATCCAAGGTGGAAGGGGTCAAGGTGGTCGGTAGCAGCAGCAGCAGGAATAATAATAACAGCAAAGGCTGGATAAGGACTCTGACAAAGAGGAGGGCCAGAGGAGGCAGAGAATAGTGTATTATAACAAACACACAATAATAATGGTGAAAAGGGACAGCTGAACCTTCCTTCCTTGCTCTTTTTGAGTTTTTACTCAAACAACGTGGACTGTTGACTCCCACACAGTAAACAGAGAGCTATGGCTTTTGTGGCCTTGGCTTTGGCCCCATGGACCTTTCCAATTTGGAAGGGTAAAGGCCTCCTCCAGGCTGTTGAAGGTTCTGTTATTTACTGGAGAGGCACAGATATAGCCAGGCCTTAGATTGGTGTACTGTCCTAATTAGGTTTTTAAAGTGTGAGATATATTGTTGTTAATTATTACTTTGGTAGAACCCAAATTATGGGATAACTTATACGAATTATCCGTGTGTGTAGATTTTTGAATTTCCTATTTGTAAAATTGTGTCTATACAAAATAAAAAATAATAAACGATGTTACGAGACTGGAAATTTTGTCTCCGGACTTTGGATACTTTGCTTGATGCTCTCGAGTAAATGCATCTTCACAGACATGTCTATTTCACCGAGCCTCTCTCCGAGACAGTGCCCAGATCGTTACGCCTTGATCTTCTTAATGAGGTGAGTTGCCCTAAAATACTCCGAAAACTACTTATTGAATAGACAATAGACAAAGTGAGAAACATAAATTGGGTTCGAGTGAAAATTCTAAGATACTGCTCACAGTATCCTACTGAATCACTAGATCAACCCCATGTTGCGTATATATAAATAGACAAAGCACCTATCTGTGGAGTCTAGGGGTGGCAGTTCGGTTATTTCGGTCATAATCGGTAACCGATCGGCCGGCTATCGGTTAACCGAAATAACCAATACTCCCCCTACCGAAAATCACCCGAAATAGGCTTTGGTTTCTCGGTTATCTCGATTATCGGTTAACCGAACCACTTTTAAGACCAAAAACCATTTCGTCCAGCCTCCGATAACCGACCGAAGTTCGATTACCTTACCGGTTAGTAGATAACCAGCAGGTTATCAGTTAGTAGATAACCGACCGGTTAACCGATAACCGGTAACCAAACTGCCACTCCTAGTAGAGTCACACGACCAAATCTCTTTCATTCTCACCTCAAGGGTTTAGCACTTTAGTCTCTTTCCTTCTCATTCTCGAGACTGTAATTATTTTTTCCTTCCCTGACTATAATATTAATTAAATACTAAACAATAACTAATACATCTCTTGGTCCAACTAGAGCACTTATAACTACTAATTATTTTTCCTTCCTTTTCTAATTTTTCTTTATTTTTAAACTTTTTTTTTATGTTGGTAATAGGGTGGAGGAGGAGGAATTATGCTGGATAATTAACTAAAGTAATTTCTAAGTATTAAATTGTCATGTTACCTTTAGAAATGCAACTTCCAAACAATTGCTCACAACATCCATGCAAACTAGTCTCTAATATATTCTTACAAATGGGAAATTGTTTACACACCAAAAAATAAAAATAAAAAAAATTATGCCACCTCGATGATTTTTACGAAATTGTGAAAATCCCAAGAGGAAAGTTGAAAACCACTGTAATTAATTGCGACAATGCACAGAAATGTCGGTTGATTGCTTCTTCATCCACATCCCATTATTTGTTTTCTTCTCCTTCTTTTTCTCCTCTTGGTTTGAACAGAATTTATTTGTGCTGGTTTCTTTGTCCACGTTAAAAAGTGTACAGTTCTTAGTTTGGTATTTTCTGTTTGTTACCCTTTTCTCTTTTCATGGTGGAGGATAGCCATTAGAATTAGAGATCAGGGAACAAAACCCAGTGAATGATTTATTTATATAATAACAATAAAGTAAGGTGAATTTTGGGTTGGTCAAGAGTCCATACTGTGTGGTCGACTGAGAGCGCCATGTTATCTGCACAAATGTAAGTGGGAAACCAAACCAGAAATTTTGGCCAAATAATTTTAAAGGGCCACTTTGTTCCCTGTGGCCTCTTCTTGCAATTGGGACACCAAACAATTCCATGAACCTAAGAGCTTGTCCTATAGTTGTCTCTGAACACTGAACCCATCTTCATCTTCTTGTGCTAAGCAAACCTACTAATCTTCTCTGTAACTCGATTGGCTAAACTATGGGGTTAGTGATTAATTAACTCGATGTGACAATCAACTACCACATCTTACATTTCAAAATAGAAAAAGAAAATGCATTTGTAGATGTCAGGGATGGAGCCTCATCAACCGAACTTCTATTTAACACCCTATATTTTTTTTAATTTTCGCCCTACACTTACCAAATAGACGATTCTGCCCCCAACTTATTCCTAATCCTTTAAAAAATAGTGACCATTTTTTCGCCATAGTCAGTCTGCTGCGCGCACGAATTTCGGTCTCTGTTCCACCCGTCGCCGACCATCTCTGCCACTGCGCCGCTGGAGGACGAAGAAGAAAAAAATCATTATCGGTTTTTTCGCGCAAGTCATGATACGAGTACGGAACCGGTGTGCGTAGTTACCAAATTCACACAACCTCGAACAGGATTATAAGCTAGGGATAAGGCGGAATTGAAGTGCAATCTCACACCTGGGAGAAGGCTCTATCGATATAGGGTAGAAGCTCGACCACAATAAAGGGGAATACTTGATTAATACTGAGATAACACTAAGCAATTGAAATCCACCAACATCAAGAGTAAATTTCACAAGCCAAAAGCTCAATGAACAAAAGAGGGTTTTCAATTAATCAAATTCTGACCTAAAACTCGAGTTTACGCCTTTATATAGAAAACAAAAGCCTTATTCTACTAACAAGGAAATAAAACTAATGAAAAACTGAAAAAGGAAAAGAATCCTAACAGAAAAAGGTAACTAAACTTCTCAGCCCCGATCCCCGGTCTTGGCCTTCTGTTCCATGGTCGTGGAATGGTCATCCTTGGCGGGGGAACTCTCATGTTCCACTCCACGGTCTAGCCTTCTGTTCCATGATCGTGGATTTGGTGGCCATGGTCGGGGAATCCCTCTCTTCATCATCCAACGCCTTTATGATTTTTAATTGAACTAATAATTTGATGTCCAACTCCGAACTCCCATCGATTATCTTCCAAGGTGAAGATACAAGCCTCCAAAGTAGGTACCATGACGTTGTTTCCACTCTTAGCCATTTTTAGCTCGTCATTCCTCCATGAATTAATCACGATTTTTAATGCTTGGGAATTGACATTCTTGATGGCTAGTTTGCTCACATCAAGTCAGTCCTCGTCCTGCTAACGGTTGCCATGGTGACCCCGACTCAGGGCGAAGGGGATGTCTCTGGTGGTTTAGGGAGCCGATCAGGTGAGTCTTTTGAGATCAAATGTGTAGATCTGATTGTCCATGGGGACGCGCGACGCTAACTCGCCGTCGAACACATAGGCCACGTCTTCCCTTAATTTTTAAAATTCTAAAAAATATTCTGAGCCTTATTTGGATTTAATGTGGAGAGTTACTGATTAACGCTCTAAAATTCAAATACCATCACCCTAAAATTAACTAAAATTACACATTTTCCCTTAATCTATAAACCGTACTGAAATTACCATCACCCTAAATCGTGACCCTCGCTTTGCTGCTCTTGCTCTGCTCCGGTCGTCGACGTCGCCACCTCTACTGCTACACCGCTCAATGATGAAGAAGAAAGGAAAGAATCTCGCCGCCCACATGTTGATGCTTGGTTCTGCTCCGTCCATTGTCGTCGTCGCCCACCTCTACTGATCCCGAACACGAGGAGGAATAAGGAATCCACATTGTAACTTCATAATCCACTAGACACATAACTCTCAAAGTGTTGATTTGCATACTGGGTCCTTAGGGTCGTTTGCTTCATGGATTTAAAATAAGAATTTGTGCTTTAAAAATCCAAGATTTTATTAAGAATTTGAGGTATTATGGATTTGAAACAATCCTTTGTTTGTTGAGATATTTTAATCATAAGGATTTCGAATTTAGAACCTAAAGTCCAAAATTGCCTTACTATCCTTTTTTATTTGTTTGCCATGTTTATGATATGTACACAAACAAGGACAATATGTACTAATAAGCATAAAGTTGCCACAAAGACAATAATACATAGAGAAATTCCGTTTAACTTTAACATAATATATATATCGATTATCAATTCCTTGTCCACCGTTTCAAATGTATCATATAGTACCATACATTAGAGCAAGAAGAACAAAGAATTTCACATTTCATGAAAAGATCAAAGGGAACTAGAACACAAGGAAGGACAGAAAATCTAACTCATGTTAACACATTACTTGAATAATTATAATATTGATTTGTTGCTAATTAATTGAGTAATTGTAATGTACAATAGCTAAAGGTAAGGATAACCTTGGAGTATTAAAAGTTCATATGAGGTTATATGGGTAAACTCCCATCATGAATTTATGGTATGTCTTTTTTTGGGTAGAAGATGGATGCAATGCATCCTAGTTCATATAGATTAAACAGTCTTGGGAAAATCCCCTTACATCATAGGAGAGCAAAGAGCAAAATTTCGAGTCGCACGCATAGAATGAATGTGTGTCAAAAGGAAACTCGTGCCCGACACTAGCTATGTAGTTGGCTGCAAAATTACTTTCCCTATAAACATGAGATATTCTAACATCCCAATCTATATTCAGTAGGTCAGTAATTTACTTGGTTAGCAATCCATGTCTGTGGTCATCCTCCTCCGAATTTTTTATAATGTTAATGACAGTGGTTGGGAAAATCCCCTTCCATATCTTCATCACTTCCTTCCCAAAATATTTGAGTGAGTACTGGTTGAACTTATGAGTCCCAAGTCCAACTTTTATTCTAATCAAAGACCACATCCCTGCTAATAACAATCTTCTTGTAACGAACTTCACAATGCATCAACTGATAATGTGTCTTATATCTTTAGACTCCTCAATTGAGCATACAATATAGTCAAACCTCTTAGTAAGAGTCCTGTGAATCTTCTCTACAATCTTGCCATCAGGCATCTCTTCACGATAACTTCTCCTTGCGTTTGACACAATCATAACTCGACCAAAATAATCATTTATCGTTTCACCTTGCTTCATTTCCAGGAGTTCAAAGTCCCTTCTGAGCTTGTAGAGCCGAGCTTTCTCGACTCAAGCATCACCTTGGTACTTCTACTTCATGGAGTCCCAAAACTCCTTAGCAATACTCTTCATGGAGATAGTATTAGTATCTCCTGGTGATAGTTCTTTGCCTTGAGGTCTTTAATTATCAGATCCTCCAAGACCTTACTCTTCGCAGCAGAAAGTTCAGTTCCAGGAGCCGGTTCCTGGAAGCCATCAACAACAATCAGACAACACTTGGATGAGCTCAACTGGTTCTCCATAATGAGACTCCATGCGATCATAATTGCCATCGAACCTTGGCAATCCCACCTGAGCAAGTCCAGATTCGCACATCCTCACTCAATCTGTTGTGTTTGCACTCACCCTGAAACACTATCCTCGCCTCCCACACTCTTACTCACTGATAGTAGTTTGCTTGTAGGCTCTGATACCACAATGTAATATGTGTTGCCTTGCAAACTTGATGTTTTATCGAAGAAGCAAAAACAAACTTAATACGTCTAGCTCAACTAAGCAACAACTAACACTCTACTAATCTAACCGGGCTTGTTATTGACACATTGACCATGGGCCCAACCCGAAGCCCAAACTAACAAGTCCAGCACAAAGAAGCCACTAATATCCCTATCGCTTGTTATGTCTATTGTCTTCTCTTCGTCTGCAGGTAGTGCCAAATTTGGAGCAAGAACCGGACCGCTAAAATCGCCGTATTCGGATCAGTAGGACAAACTAATATCGTCTCGCGCGCAGCTTCGGCCAATCCTACCGTCGATAATGGCGAGGTAACTCATGCGCTTTGTTCTTTTTCCCCCCCTTTCCTTGTGCTTTTACATAAACCATGATAAACCCGCCCCACCCACCTTCCACTGCGACCAAATCATTCCTCTCCCTGCCTCGTTCTCAGCCTCAGGTGTCTCTCTTTGTTTCTATCTTCTGGGTTGATACCAGTAGACTGGGTTGGTTTTGATATGTGCTGGGGAATCGCCAAAATCTTGAATTGAAACTTCCGATTACTGCTACAGTTCATTGGTTTTGGTTTAGAAGATGGTCTCTGATTGTCCATTGTCAATCGCTTGTGTGTGTGTCTCACTTTGTTAATCATTCTGGGAAATTCTGATTACAGGTGATTTGTGTGTGTGCTCGAATTTGTGAGCTTCCTTTCGTTCATCAGATATCCCAATGGGGAGTGCCTCGTCTATGCTAACTCAATATGATATTGAAGAAGTTCAGGAGCACTGTCACAAGCTCTGTAAGTTGCTTGCTTTATTTGTCCTGGCCAACAATTCTGCACCCCGTTGGTTGGTTTTTGTTTTTCCCTGCTGTTATGCTCAATCTAACATCTGTTTCTTACAACTGCCAACTTCAGTCTCCCAACAAGAAATAGTGTCATTGTATCAAAGGTTCTGCCAACTTGATCGAAATGCGAAAGGGTTTATCTCGGCGGATGAATTCCTATCGGTGCCTGAGTTTGCAATGAATCCACTTTCTCAGGTGATCTCTCCATCCATTAGATGCTGTGAAGGTGTCAATTTTCTTGAGCAATGTATGGTTGTCTTTAGTTTCGGCAACTTTCCGGTGTAACCGTAACTATGTAACATGGGGATTTCATTCATGCAGCGCCTGCTCAAAATGGTGGACGGCTTGAACTTTAAGGACTTTGTAGCTTTCTTATCTGCATTTAGTTCGAAAGCAACTGCAGAACAGAAAATAGCTTGTACGTATTAGATTCCTTCCCCGGTAATTTATTGGTCAACAGTTTACAAGAAACTGTTTCTTCTGCTATTCATAATGCAACAGCCTAGCAGTTTAGGGCTGCAAGCATGCAGTAAAGTACATTTACTCTGCCATTCTTGCTTTTGATGAGTGGTGAAATCTCTTTTGCCTCAGTGATTTTCAAAGTATACGACTCGGATGGAAATGGAAAAGTCTCTTTCAACGATATACTAAACGTGCTTCGTGATTTATCTGGATCATTCATGTCAGATGAGCAAAGAGAGGTACGATTACTGCCCGTTCTGTATAATTTGATCCTCTCGTGCTACTTTGAACTCGCTGGAATATTTGCGATATCGTACATTGGCATATTGTCTGATGATCATAGTCATTCAGGACTAAAGCTGGAGCCTTGATAATGTAACTAGCAGGGATCGGCTTGATTGTATAGTGTGGCTATTTCTTATAAGCATTTCCACGGCATAGTGAGCAGGGTTCTACTTTCTGGTGTTTGTTTCTTGCAGCAAGTCCTGACCCAAGTTTTAAAAGAGGCAGGTTACACAAAGGAATGTTACCTCTTGCTAGATGACTTCATTAAGGTGTGTTACCACAGATTATTTATCATAAAGCTCGAAACTTGCCTTCATATGAATCTCGACTGTGGGGATGGAGCTGGTGACTACTTTCCTTACAGTATCCACACTACTGGTGCAGGTATTTGGGAATTCAGGCTTAAAAATGGAGGTCGAGGTTCCAGTTGATTAAGTGAAAAGTGAGCTCACCATTCTAACTCGTCAGACCTGGGAACAAACGAGATCGTGTGGTGGATCTGTAGATTGGAAGGAAATGCCATACAGTTGTTATTTTGCTTATGAGTTTATAGCTATAGAGAGCAATTGAAAGTACACAAATAAATGCTCTTAGCTTCTTCATCCTTCTCAATTTTGTGTACAGTCTTCCCTTCATTTGTTTTACCATCTGTAATAGTCAAGTCGGCCGAAGTTTTGGATTTTGGCAGTAAATTGGATCAGGCGATGTAACTTTTCAGGTTTATTGACCGGCAAATTGCATCACAATAGTTTACCATAATTAAAACGGTGAATCCATGGCAAACAAATAGGGTGGGCAATGGCCCTTTGATAGCCTCTTTAATCCAGTTAGGCAGTTAGCATGTCATGCACACAGCAACTTCCTACGGCTACCACCACTATGTTCTGGCATTCAACATCTATCTACTACCACTATGAGACTCTGAACAAGTTCCTTAAGTAAAAAAAATGGCGTCATTCGTAATCATCGTCAGAGTAACTGTAGTCATCTTGCTCTGAGTATTTGATATTCACCATCACTGCTGTCAGAGTCATCTACTTTACCCGCCTCCAGCTACAGTTGCTCGAAAGCTATTGAAGAGCTCTTGGATATGGTTTCTTGAGTTGCTCCCTGTATCCAAATCTAGGGCAAACTATAGGAAAACACCATAGAAGAAACATCATCGCTCAGATAACAACACAACCAACATTCCAATGATACCTCCCAATAGTATAATGGAAGCTAAAAGCAATATGCAGCGTAACCAAAAGAGAGTAAGAGCATAAACTTTCCAGTTATAAGCATTGGTTACCAAAATATGCTTCATCCATTTCAGTCCAGTTCCTCTTTTTTCCTGCGAGCTCTATCAGCATGGCCAGCCACTAGTCCGCCATTCCTTACAAGAATCAAAGAGCTCAAAGGGTTTTAAAACAGCTACACAGATTGATATCATGGGTTTTTCCAAACTGACAACTTTTTTTCTTCTTTCTAGCAAATTCTAACCAACCTTCAAAGCGATAAGCTTCGGTGACCCGGGCAACAATCTCAGACTCTCAGTGCTAACTTTCACTTGATCTGCCCCTTCAGTCCGACCATTGCCAGCAGCAGTTGAAAATTTTGCATTCTTGGAGAGTGATCCGATTTTGGAAACTTTTAGCAGCAAGCCACTACAGGGACCGAGCTTTCCTGAAATAGGACGAGACACACGAGAGTAGGTATCCTCTGAACGAAAATAGAGCATCAAATTGTTCGATTTCAAAGTTCGAGCCTGCGGACAAATCATTCAGACAAAAGAGACGTTGAATCATTTGGGAATTTTTCAGAGAGGACTTGGTTACCTCCACAATTGCTTTAGTTCCACTGAGAGTTTGGATGGCGCAAGAAGCTGAAGAAGGATAGCCAGGGTAGTGAACAGCAAAGGGCTCATTATTGGGCAGTGTTCCCACCACTCTGCCATCTTCAATCACGCCCACATTTGCGTGCACTTCCCCTGTTTCAAAGGCAAATAGGCAATGTACTTTTTAAGCCCAACTTCCTACTTCCAACACGCAGACATTACCACAGAGCACAAGCTGTAATTAAAAACAGCAGCAAATAGACTCCCAAACAGAGGCAGGGAGGACTTACCTAGTGGACGGCGAGATACAGAGGAGGCCGGCGAGATTGAGACGCGGCCAGTGAACTACTAGTGGCAAGTGAGAGGCAAGAAGACAGAAGCTGACAGATTGAGATTGAGTGTAAGGGACGATCGAGAGCAGGGTATGGACTCGCGGACTAATATCGTGAGAGATGGCGGCAGCTACTTAGCGGCCGTGAAGAAGACGATCTGCTCTTGATCCGTCCGTTGTTGTTTTCTAACTTAGCAGCAGAACGATGGAAATGGGGATTTGGGGTGCGGACGTGGTGTCGTTTAGGAGTTTTTTTCAAATTTCACCTTGCAGAAACCCCGCTTCCTCGCCGCTTTGGCTGCCGCAGCGCAGCCTAGGGGAAGCGCCGACTAAGAACTCACTGTTACCTATTATTTTCAACTCACTGTTAAGACTGTTGAGAATTTCAGTCAGCGCCTCCTGTACCATAACGTCAGGGGAAGTGCCAACCGAGAACTCGTAAACAGCTCCTTCGACTTCAATCATGCTACAGCCAGGGGTCTCCTTCTTTATCCCATTCTCCCTCATGACGGCTCTAACCCTTTTCACATCATCAAAGTTACCAGCTTTAGCATATATCTCAGATAAAGTCACGTAGAAAGCATGGTTCTTCGGTTCCAAGCCTATTAACCGCTTCGCCACCTCTTCCCCGAGCTGCAAATTACCATGGATTTGACATCCACCAAGCAAAGCGCCCCAAACATATACATCAGGGGCCATAGGCATACCTCTAATGAGCTCTTCCGCTTCCTCAAAGAGTCCTGCTCTTCCAAGTATATCGACCATGCAAGCATAGTGATGCACTTCTGGTTCAATCGAGTACGTGGTTCTCATCATGCTGAAACAATGGCGGCCTTTCTCTACCAGCCCGGAATACGCGCAAGCTGACAACAACCCGACGAATGTGACATGGTTAGGCTGTACACCTGATGCTGTCATTTCTTCGAACATGTTAAAGGCATCTTCGACATAACCGTGTAATGAAAATGCTGAAACCATTGCTGTCCATGCTTGTGTGTCCTTCCTAGGCATTTGATTGAACACTTGATATGCTCTAACTAGAGAACCACATTTACTGTACATATCTACCAATGCAGTCGCCAGAACCATATCACATACCACACCGCTTCTCCTCAAGTAATTGTGTACCCACTTGCCATGATCAATTGCCCCGAGATGGGCACACGCTGATAGTACACTAGCTATGGTCACCTTATCTGGTCTGATAGCGTCAATTCCACAGCTCGAACGCTGCATTTCAAGGAAAAATTCCAAAGCTTTCTTCGCCTGGCCACCTTGAGCAAACCCAGTTATCATCGAATTCCAAGTGATAATATTTCTAACCTCCATCCTCCCAAACAATTGCAGCGCCTCCCCAAAATCTCCACTTCTTAAATACCCAACGATCATCGAGTTCCAAGAGACAACATCTCTTTTGGGCATTTCGTCGAACACCTTCACCGCACTGGCTACAATCCCAAAAACAGAATAGAAGCTAATCATGGAATTCTGAACATAGAGATCGTTGTACAAACCAAATTTGACCGACTGCCCGTGAACACTGACACCAGCTCTCATATCCAGCCTTGCAGAGCACTCCTTCAACAGAAAGGGAAGCGTCAGGGCATCAGGTTGAATGCCATTGAGCAGCATTTGTTGGTACAGAGGGAGAGCCCGGTCTGTTGGCGTATTGCAATCCCCTTTGGATTTAGAGGCATAAGCTCTGATCATGATATTGTATAAGGGAAGATCCGGGTTTTTTACGCATTGGAAAATCCGCTTGGCGTAGGCGAGACAACCGAAATCGGAGATCGCAACGAAGAAGAGAAGTCGGGAAATCAAGAAGTGTAGATCAGTTTTGGAGAAGAATGGAATTGTGAGGATTTGGGCGTGGATTTGCTCCATTTTTCTGATGGACTTGGATTCCTGAATCAGCCGTACGAGTATCCTTTTGAAAGATATCGATGGCGGTTCGAGCATTTTTCAGGGGAGAAATGAAGAGCTCCAAGTCCAACAGATGCAATGTTATGGAGTTTAAACCCAGATTATTCTTTTGTTTGCTTTTGTGGGGACTCCCAATTGGTGATACACCGAGTTCTCCACGATGCCAATCATGATCGAGGTGGCGCGGTACTTGAAGAATGCGGCTATTAAAGACCTCCTTTGCATTTGTATCTTTTGTCTTTGCTCCTTGTAGTACTAACAGGGCTGCTCATCGCGTGGCACAAACGGCCCTTGCATCGGTAGCGACCCATTTGGTTGACTACCGCTTTTTCATTTTCAACGTACTGTAATGCCCTATCTATTACAAACTATCTATGACAAAAAAAAAATGAAATTTTGTGTTTGGTATGTAATATTCAAATTTTTAAAAATAAAATAAATTGTCATGTAAAATTAATTGTCAACTGAATTCCTACGTTTGGTATGTCATATATATAAATAATTTAGTTAATAAAAGAGGACAATTATATCATTATATTATAATTAGTAAATACTTGTGGAATTTATTTGGAAATTCCATCTCAATTACTCGAAATTGCTATAACTAGTTCCAATTCCATAGAATTCATAATTTAGAATTGAAAATAAATTATGTTAAATACCAAACACAAAAATAAAAATCTTTCATTTCAAAAGGAATTCTTTTATACCAAATGTATGTAAAAGTATTTTTGTGGAGTCAAGTAGTTAAACGTTATTAGTTTGTGGGACTTTGGGTCGATCTGTGGGTTGACTTTAATTCTTTGCTTTTTGTCTCTCGCTCTTCATCCCAACTCAAATTTTCTCCGTATAAAATTATTCCACGAGAATTGTGGTGTGTGTTCTCGTCTTTTCGGTCTGTTTTATGAGAGTTGTGGTATAGTTGCACATATTTCTTATATGATTTAGAGAACTTGTGATCGACTTATGAGGTTTTCTGTCCACTTCAAGAGACTTGTAGTCAGTTTTGAGTTGTGCTTTATGAACTTTTTTTGCAAGCTTAGATTCTTGTATGCTTTATAAGTTTTTGGCGTACTCTATGTTACTTCTAGTGGAATTTTTTATATTTCTAGTTTGCATTTTTCTAATCTCCTTCATGATACTTGTGGTCAGCACGGGACGTAGAATAAATAACCGCACCAAATACATGTTCCCCCTATATTTTTAAAATGATAAGTGTGCCCTTTAAGTTAGCATTAATTTTGATCATCCCATTAAATAAAAGTTATTAAAGGCAAATGTTTCTATTGGCTAGAACTTGTGGTAGCACTATGTCAAAACCTGGAGATTTTTCCAGAAATAGCACTGTTTAAAAAAAAATTCCAAAAATACCACCCAATTCCGAAAAATTCCAAAAATAGCACCATTTTTGTAAAACCGCAACCCGGAGGTGCGTTTTCGATGAAAATGCCACCCGAGGGCGCGTTTTTTGATGAAAATCGCACTGGTAGGGAGCGGTTTTGCAAACCACACCGCCAGGGTGCGATCTGCCTTTTTTTTTTTTTTTTTGCAAACCGCACCCCCAGGGTGCAATCTGCCTTTTTTTTTTTTTAAAAAAATCCTAATTTAGGTGGAAACTTCAAACGAACGTATCTTTATGTTCGGGTATCCGATCGTCGCGATTTTTTTTTGATTCCGCATAACTTTTTGAGATCTTGCAAGCCAAAGACTGCCAAAGGTGGTTTGGTCTCGCCTTCGTACCAAAAAATGTCGTTTGCTACCCCGAACGAGCTTTTTTCCGATTTCGTCAAACTTTGGACAACCGTAACTTTGTGCTCCAAATCCAAACAGGATGATTTTTTTTTATTTCGCATAACTTTTTAAGGACTATAATTTTTACTAGGAATGTATTTTCAAAACAGGAATTATTTTTGGATATACAGGATTTTGGGAATAGCTTATCTTCCCTTCTCAGCAATCCACATACATTTTGAAATTATGTCTATGATAAAAGTTGTATTCCTTAAAAATTTATGCGAAATAAAAAAAAATTTCATGCCGTTTGGATTTTGGAGCACAAAGTTATGGTTGTCCAAAGTTTGACGAAATCAGAAAAAAGTTCGTTCAGGGTAGCAAACGACATTTTTTGGGACGAAGGCGAGACCAAACCACCTTTGGCAGTCTTCGGCTTGCAAGATCTCAAAAAGTTATGCGGAATCAAAAAAAAAATCGCGACGATCGGATACCCGAACATAAAGATACGTTCGTTTGAAGTTTCCACCTAAATTATGATTTTTCAAAAAAAAAAAAAGGCAGATCGCACCCTGGGGTGCGGTTTGCAAAAAAAAAAAAAAAAAAGGCTGATCGCACCCTGGGGGTGCGGTTTGCAAAACCGCTCCCTACCAGTGCGGTTTTCATAGAAAAACGCGCCCTCGGGTGGCGTTTTTATCGAAAAACGCACCTCCGAGTTGCGGTTTTACAAAAATGGTGCTATTTTTGGAATTTTTCGGAGTTGGGTGCTATTTTTGGAATTTTTTTTTAAACAGTGCTATTTCTGGAAAAATCTCCAAAACCTGTGGGTTGATCTAATTTGACCTAGGATCGGTTAGGAAAACAGACGCCACACACCCATGGGTCGACCCGCAACAAGGTTACCGAGTAGAGATCATACAATATCGTTTTTTCCATTGGTTTTCGATCAGACAATATCTATTTTTATTTTTCGCATCGTCTAAACCTGGCTTCGGAATTCTAAGTTGAACATTTGAATATTGGTGTTATATGAGTGTATTTGAATTTTCATTATATATTGGATCCAAATGCAAATTGTTATTTTAGTATAATGTTATATCATATGTCATTACTCATTTATGCTAGATGAAATTTGAAATAATTTATAAATATATAAACAATGTCATGACTTTTTCGAATATCCAAATTAAACCGTTCTAAATCAGTTAAACTATTAACTCTCTACCTACTTGCTTAATAGGACCAACGAGCTCATCTGGATTGACAACATTGCACTATGCTAACAAATTGTGTAATAGCATTCTAATTTCAGCCTTAACCAATTGCCAATGAGAGAAGAGAATGGGAGAATAAATAGGGCAGACTGTAAAGTTCAACGAAAGAAGGAAAGCAAGTCATGAAAGATGGTATGCAGATTTGCATTCGAGTAGAGCTGAAAATAAGAAAATTGTTCGGCTCCAAATCTACTTTTGGAAAGTTATATAGTCCCAGTTTAAGAGCAGAACAAGCATTAGTTCATTGTTCAATAGGAAAACAATGCAAAGGCAAAGAGGGAAGTGGAGATGATACCAAAGAGGCAAAACCCACAAGCTGAATATCAGTTGTTTATAATCTCCTTGATCAACTGAACAAAGGATTCCAATTCCTCCACACAAACCCAGTTGACTCCTTGCTATAAGCTGTAACTGTGAAGTTGGTGACTAGCACTGGTTTCAGGCAACTCTCGGAAACAAACGGTGAGGTCTACAATTTCCACCATTCATGATCATGGTGGGATGGTAAAGACTGATAGTAGTAAGCGGCAAAAAGAAAATAAAGGACATGGCGTCCAGGTTATATCAGCAATTACAGTAAACAGTCGCGGAAGCCCTTCTCAATCCCCTCTTTGTCCAAGTTCTTCCCAATGAAAACAATCTTGTTAATCCTCGGTTCGTCCTGCCCCCATTTCCTATCCGGTGAGCCTTGGAAGATGTCATGAACACCCTGCCAAAATGCCACAACAGTAGAGCAAGAACGGTTCAGCAAGGGGGAAAAATGCAGCAGGTTTGGAAAATATGCAGCAAGGTGTCGAAATGCAGTAGCAGATGAGTCTATAGGTTAGGAATGATTACAATTTCCCCATTATCATGAGATGTGGGATGTTGGTTTGAGCTGAATATGTTATCTTTGAATTGGTTGTATTTTTTAACTTTATAAATAATTCGATATCGACATTATAGAAGAAGAAAAAAAAGGTTCAGCTCGGCTACTCGGTAGTTTATTTAGGAGTGATATCTCGAACGAGTTAATATTTCTCCACGAAATTATTATCTTTTAGCTAGAATTAAGGGAAAGGCCATTCCAAACATTGATATCAAATTGGTTGCTTTGATATGCAAGTACGCAACCAAAGGACCTACAAACAAGAGGTATATCCGTATAGCTTAGCCCACATCCTAAGATGCAAAATTTTAAAGCCGTAGGGATATGTACTTAAAGGGGGAAATTAGTGTGTGCTACAACTTACAGGAACCATTAATGGGCTTCACCCAACAGTTCCTTGATGAGCAAAAACGACACAAAATTCAACTAATACCACCTACATAACACGCTACCAAGAACACAGAAGAAACAAAAAATCCACTTAAGAAAAAGTATGAAACCAATTTATCACCTTCAGCAGCTATATTTCAGTTCCAAGATTGAAGAATAAGAACTACGTTATGAAAAGGGCATCGCTGAGTTTATTCAAGTTCTGCCAACTAAACCCTTTGTAGCAAGAATAAAGAGTGATAACTAAAGAGAATATCAGGCACTTGAAAGGACGTTCACTTACCTGAAACACAAATCTCTCATCCATGCCCTCGACAGATAAAAGCCCTTTCATCCTGTATATGTCCTCACTTTTTTCCATCAGCAATGTACCCAACCACATGTTAGCCTGTACATAACCAGCAGAGTGCATTACGCGGTCAATTGATGAATACTGTCGGCTTGGCCCCATATTCATTTCTTACAAGAGGACCTTTCAGCAGCCATAGCAGTGACAGTAATTTCAAACTGTATTGCATGTTACTTAAAAACAATGCTCAAACCAACCTTCTCTAGGTCTAGGAGCCCCTCGCAAACTATGCTCATAGAAGAAACACCAGGATCATGAGTGTGATCGTGAGCGTGGTGATGACCATCATGATGTTCTGTATTGCAAGGTAAGAGATAGCCATATATTAGGTTTGGAGTAAATCACTAATTGATTTATATAAGCACAAACTATCACAACAACAGACATGCATAAGAATACATGGTAAATGACTATACTTGCACATCCTTTTGTCATTTACTAATGTTGTTGGTGATGTTGCTGCCATTTAGGAAGTGAAAACTTCCACAGAAAAAGCCCCCTCTCATAGAAACTAGAAGCTTAGCATGCAAGAATTCCACCCTATTCCAGTAATAATTTCTTTAGGAAGCTAATAAAAGACTTGACACTATTCCAGTAATAATTTTTTTGACACGGAAAGTACCAATAATTCGCCTAACAGTATCAATCAAGGATTCCAACTTAAGAAATGAAACAAGAAAACAATTAATAAAAATAAAAATAGTTCAAAGGCGTCTCCCACTTACCGTGCTTGTGCTCATGCTCATGGTGATGATGATCATGTTCATCATGATGATGGTGGTGGTCATGATCATCACTTTCTTTTGTATCTGCACCGACTGCACTTTCAATCCTGACAATAAAAATGAAACAGGCAGGGGAAAGAGAACGGTAAATAGCTTGAACATAGGCAGCTTATTAGCAATCTTGTTCAGTATTGCAGAGGTTTACAAATTCAGCATCTATACGAACAAAAAAAAACAAAAAAACACTAGGTGGAAAAGGAAGAAGAGAACAACCTCTATGAGTTAACAAGATAAAATCCCTAACGTGAAAAAAAGGATTAGAAGAAAAGAAATAAATAATCAGGAGAGGAGCAGCGCTCCGGAACAATAATATGAGCCCATTTGTGAATGGCACTTTCAGGTTACCACCTAAATCTTAGAATCTAAGGGCCACTTCAGAACACCTGAAGGACTTTTCTGATGATAGTAATAATTGACACAAATAAGAAATGCGCTCCAGTAAGCTCGGTAAAAGTAGCTGGGGACAATTTAGGTAGCGTTGATTTTATTATTATTCTAGACAAATAAACATATCTAAGCTGAAATTTAAAGCACTAATGACAAAAACAGAACATTGAAGAAGAAGAAGAAGAAGAAGACCTCTCTAAATCAAAGCCTCCGATCCCTAGTACATAATCCAAGTCAACTTGTCCAAATTGAGTCCTCTTCATCTCAGCCATGCCATTAATACTCTGCGGGTGTAAGCAAATGTCAAAAAATCAACACAGTTTTAAAATCCGATAAACAATGAAAACAAAAGAAACCGGCTACGAACCCTTATTCTCTGAACCAGGGAAGCAATGCCTTGTTCTCCAACAAGATCAGTCTAGCAAATAAAATGCCCATGAAGTCAGGAGTAGGTAGATATGAACGATTCAAACTCAATGAGAGGCAGCTCAACATGACAAATGCTAGTACCTTGTTAACAATGATCCTGTCAGCATATGCAATTTGCTCAACAGCTTCATTGACAATCCCCTTTGGCTTGACCTCATCCAGATGAAGGGTAGCATGTTTAGCATCAACCAAAGTGACAACACCATCCAACTTGACATCATTAAAAACTTGATCCTCTGCATAGAATGTCTGAATGATTGGAGCTGGATTGGCCAACCCTGCAAAGTCAACACACAACTTCTATTGAGAACTCGCCTTAAGAGAGCTAAAAATTGGGCTCTTCGGTGAATAGAATGAATCCAATTCCAGCAACTTTAACCAACCTACCAGTAGTCTCTATCACAATATGGTCGAATTTTCCTTTCTTCTTATTAACCAGTTCCGCAATCATTCTCACGAGGTCGCCCCTTACTGTACAGCACAAACAACCATTGTTCAACATGACTATGTCCTCTGCTCCAGTCGTCTTGGCAGCAACTAGAGAGCCATCTATGTCAACTTCACCGTACTGCAGATAAACAGTCCTTGATCATCAGAACATCAAACCGCACTGACAAAACCCATGAAGAAAACTCAATCCTAAGCAATAAAGGCAATCTACTTTGACCCGAAAGAATCCCAAGTCACCTCGTTCTCAATCACTGCTATGCGCTTGCCATGTTCTCCGGTCAAGATATGATTGAGCAAAGTCGTCTGCGCACAACCAGAAACAAAATAATCACCTGATTTCCAGTAAGTATAAATCCCCAATTCTAAGGGCAGAACTGAACCGAAAATGAAATTCCAAACGTCAACGCAGTCTATCATAGCAATAGATTGATTGAAGAACTACAACTGTAAAATCGAAATAAAGAAAAAAAAGCTTGATGTCAGACCTTGCCAGAACCCAAAAACCCAGTAATGATGGTGGCCGGAATGCGATCATCGGGAGGGATTTTCGTGGTGACATCGGACTCCTCGCTATAGGGAGAGGCGGTAGTGGCGGCGGCGGCTTTGGAGGAGAACCTTCGGCGTCCGGCGTCAGAAGGTCTGATGGAGAAACGGAAAGGAGCGGGCGAGGAGTGGGAGGAGCGGATGGTAGATGAGGACTTGGGTAATTTAGCTACGAATGGAAGAAGGGGACTGGTGCGGGCTCTGAAAAGGGGAGTTTGGTGGCGAGAAGCGAAGGACAGGAAGGTGGTAGCCACCTCCAGTGACATAGACGCCATGGTTGAAGTTATCGGCTTATCAGCAGGGAGAGCTCTGGAGTTATCGTTTCCGCTGTGAAGATGCGAAAGGGAAAAAAAATTGGGAAGGTTTTAAGGGGTCTCGATATTTCTGGTATTTGATAGGTTCTTTGGAGTAACCATGGCGTCCGTTTGACGATTTTAGAATTTGGCTGGACTTGGAAAATAACCCGGGTCATTCGGAGGTTCAATCCGAGTCATTAGTTACTCAACAACTGTCCAACCCAAATGGCCGGTTGGTTAAAAACTTAAAATCAAGTTCTCATGCCGGTTTTAAATCGTTGTGTCACCCAAGAATTCCTATATAACTTAAGCGACATACCGTCTACAAAGATTTTGGGTTTGGTCATAACGATCAAATCATATAGGAACTTGTTTCCACATTTCCCATCATTATAGATACAATTTTTAAATGTTGTATTTTTCGTTATTTAAATCGCGTATTTCAGTCGCTTGTAGTAATTTATCATTCAATGAATGATTGAATATGACCCACTAACCAAAAGGATTAGTACCCATCAGAGCTCTCTCTTACTTTCCTTTTCAAAATTCGCTCTCCCCTCTCTCTAGGAGCAGGCTCCTTTTTTCACATTTCCCATGGCTGCCGCCGGCTCCTTTTGGTGACCGGCGGCAGCTCAGTCTCTCTTTTTTGTATTTTCCTTTGCTCTTCTTGCTCTTGTGTTTCAAGCCTTTGTCTTTGGCGATTTTCACCCGGATCTTCTAGTTTAGGGTTTCTCTGCCGATGTGGCGTTTCAGATTTCAGAGCGGCTGCTCTTCTTCTCGGATCTAGGATTTTCCTCTCTGGTCTTGCTTTGCTCTGCTTGGGTTTCGGATTTTGCAGCTCGAGAGTCTCTTTTGAAGATCTGGTGCTTGAGTGGCTCCTCCTGGTTTGTGGTTTCTTCTATTCGGAAGAACTCATTCGCCGTTTTCCCCTGTCGTCGACTGTTGGTGAACATCTCAGCCTCGTCTCTTCTCGGCTGTTGTGGGTTTCGGTGTCATTTCCGTTTGTCATTGGCAGCTGTTCTGGGTTTCGATTGAGACTAGGCTGGAGTTCTTTGTCTCTCCATTTCTCGGTCCATCTTGCCTTCGGCATCCTCGACCTTTTTTCAGCTCTGAGCATCTCGGTTTCAGCCCTGCCCACCGCCATGTAATTGCAACCCTGTGATTCACTGTGATGGATCGTCTTCGAACGATCCCCAGGAGGCGGCTCATGGCGTTGTGTTTTCAAGCTCCATGGTCTTGTCTGTTTTGGGAGAGTTGAAACTCTGCTTTGTTGCTGATCTGTTGGTTGTGGAAGCGTGAGGTTCTTGGGTCACTTCCTTGGCTCTGGTGATGGCTCTCTGATATTGGTGTAGTTCAATCTTGCCTGCTCTTTCTTGTGGCTGGTTCTCTAGCTTTGCTTTTGTCTTTGATTGTTCTGCCTTTTTATTAGAGTGTCCATTTTGCTTTTGTTCCATTGATGTAATCCGCCTCTTGTAACCGTGATTTCCAGATTGCAATATAAGCACATCCTTTGTCAAAAAAAACCCAAAGGATTAGTAGGTAAACTTGAAGGGGAAAGAGATATCACTTTGGACATATTAGTTTTGTTATGACCAAGAGAGGAGATCGTCAAAAATTTGGAACCCAAAGGCGTCCATTGTCTAATGGATAGGACATAGATCTTCTAAACCTCTGGTATAGGTTCAAATCCTATTGGGCGCAATATTTTTGTATAACTATTAATATATTTATATTAATAGAGAGTGTAGAATTCCAAATTCTTCATTTTCGCTTTAGATGTTTGTATTATCTAAAATATTTTTTTCTTTTCTTCTATTTTCTGCAGAATCTGTCTACTTTATATATCTATAGCTGTCTCGGTAGGATATACATGTATTTTATTTCTATTACTATTACTATGAAATTCATAACTGAAATAGTTAATAAATGAAATAGTGAGTGGTGGGGTTGCCATTATCCTTTTTTGGAGTGACGAATCTTGTATGTGTTCCTAAGAAAGGGAATTTGTCCATTTTTTCAGGGTCTTATCTTAAATGAAATAAATGGTTTGATATGATCGGTGGTAAAATCGATTTATATCGGTTATGTATAAAATACATGAGAAAAGTGGGAACATCAACACCAAATAAATTAGTTTGGAAGAACCTAAAATAATTTATAGTTAGTAACTTGTAACTAATGACAAACAATTAGATACGTAAAAATGAAAGTATATAAATGAATTTTACTAATATCTACATTGGTTTGTGTAAAATATAGCATTAGTTATATAAAATATAAAGTTAATATATATCACAAAATTACCTATAGTCTATTGATGTAGAATTTTGAAACTCATGAATCATGACCATGAGTACATGGTTCAAATCCCATGATTGGTGTCTATTTTTGGTAAACATGTGTGAAAGTGCTGAAATCTGCTTCTTGTAAGATTGTCTGGTTTTTCGATTTTGAACAAAGTTGAAAACTTACCACTTTCTAGCCGGTTTAGTGGCTGGTTTTTTTATTTTTCTGGTGGCCGATGTGATGATCAAAGCACTAAAACTTGAAACCATTGAATCACTGAGAAGCAAGCTTAGAGTGATCGGAGTGGTAGAAAGGTTGAAGAAGAGGTGAACTGAAGTATATATGTTGGCTTTAGTTCAGAGGAGGATATGTCAGCAGTACTCTAATCAACCTCGCTAGAAGAAGAAACATATTTGAATAAGAGTAACCATTGGCTATTAGTCGTTTTGGTTAATGTCGGTTTGGTCACTTAGTTTGTTTTTTAGTCAACCAGGTCCTTTTTGTCAAGTCACGCAACTTTTTTTATCATAGAATTGCCCATGAGAGTTTACATTTTCTTCATGGTATTATTTTGGATTGAGGTTTGGTTATGAATTTATTTTGCTCCAGATTTGTTTTCTATCTTATGAAACTGTTTTACCCACTCAAAACCACCGAAATAAACCGCATTAACTCGCACACCCCCACTCACTGTATATATATTCGAATGTCGTCTGTGTGTGTGTCGCATTTCCGTTCACTAGCTTACTTGTGGTTGCGTGGGTGAGTACTGATGAGTAGTTTTTCGCCGAAAACCCGCCCAACTCACCTAATGTCCATTCCTACCTTACCCACATATTACATTCCAACAACAACTAGTTTATTATAAACAATACTCTGAAGCCCCTACACACATTATTCTACTGTACGATTTTCGTCAAGCTAACAAAAATAGGTACAAAATTTGATTCCATGTATCCGGGACCCCGGCCACACACCAATGCGTGCAATCCATGCCGTGACCTACACTATACGACGCCGGATGTCCGTCTACCCTCAACTGTGAAAGCGTCGTCACGTTGAGGAAATGGATCGGCTTCTTCACCTCCCTCAACGCTCCTTCCACCACTCCGGCTATCGGCGGCGGACCTCCGGGATACCTCGATCCGGCCAGCGGTACCTTCTCCCTTGAGCAGTCGCGACGGCCTGGCTTCCCCCACTCCAACCCACTGTACACAAATTCGTCGTGCGGTTAGCAAATTAATTTACTTCGTAAACCGTAAAAAAAAAAATTGTCCTAGCGATAATCTGAGGACGAGAACATCTGTATAGTTGTGACTATAATTACCGGTGATGATCGGGGAAAACACCCTCGAAGAATAGTTTAGTCTTTGTGACTTCGACGGTTGAGTCTACCCATCTTCGCCAGGTGGCCAAAGCTTTGGCGAGTGCAGTTGTCCTGTCCATGTCCTTGACGATGTTGTTACCATCTTGGATGAAATCCCACCTGGCAAAGCTAACAAAACTTTGTCAGACGGGATTTTATGTTAAAAAAAGGAATTCAAGTGTGAGGAACAAAAGTATAAAAAAAAAAAATCGGATGGTGGGTAGAGGGGATATTCTGTTAGTCGGGACGGTTACACGCATAGATTAAGTGATAATCGATGATTAATGATTATATTGTTAATCGGTTATGAGTTAGCAGTGCGGTTATTGCTAAGCTGGCATGATTTCCAGTATAACGGATAATTGAATAGTCGGTTAACGTTTAGCCGATAACTAACCGAATGTAAATATATCTATGTTATGATTGTTATCTCCTCCAAAATGACCAAGTTCTTCCAAAAAAAACTCTCGAACTTCGAATAAACAATCCCCGCCCGACCCTCTTCTCCCCCCCGCCCCCCCCCCTCTCGCATCCAAATTCCCCGTGTAAACCCTAAATTGAAAGCATCAACAAGAGCATAGTTGATTTTGCAATTGAAATGTAGGTATCAAACTCGGATTGGTAAGATCATATTACTTATATATATTATTAGTCAGTTAAGCGACATAATAAGCTATAATTGACTACATTGATTACGGTTATAACAAAACCGAACCGACTAACGTTGATGACATTACTTGGACAGAAATGAAAACAATAAATTTCTCTGATATTAGAATAAGAGGAAAAAGAATTAATAAAAAAAATATATTATATATATATATGACAAAAATTAAAAATTGACAAATAAGTGTGTCATGGTGGATGATTCACGTACCCTTTTCGATCGTCTTTAACGTACCACCACAAACCGGTGTTGAAAACCAACACGTCAGCCTGTTTCCAAACATCACCACTACTGATGGAATCAAGCTTCAGGAGTCTCCCGATTTTGGTTTCCTCAATGTCTACAAGGTAGTGGCTCATAAATATCGTCACCGTAACTCCGTAGTCCTGAAAAATATAATTTAAGATTTACGTGAAAAAACACATTAATTTTCACAAATATAAGTTAAGATTTACTTTAATTCGAAGGGTTTACAAATTTAGGTTTAGAATTTGAGTTTTAGGGTTAGGGTTCACGGTCCAAAGTTTAGAAGTTAAGATAATGCATGGAATGAAGCTTTCAGGACTCTCCTGAATTTTGTTTTCCTCAATGTCTACAAAGTAGTGGTTCATACATATCATCACCGTAACACCAAAGTGCTGGAAAAATACACAAAATGATTGAAGCTAGTTACACTATAAAAAAAATTCACTAGGTGCATTCCATTCACTCGTCTCGTGGCCGTTATTTTGAGCGGACGATTCATGTTAAAACAATGTCAATCATCATTTTGTGATATAATGAACGTGAAAACCCACTAATTTTCACAAAAAAATCATTCAGGACTTACCCTGATTTGAAAGATTTAGGGTTTTAAGTATTGAGAATCAGGGTTTAGGGGGTTACTATTTAGTATTTACGATCGCGGGGGGTTCGAAATCTAACGATCTGACTATAGTTGCGAATCCTATATTATATCGTCAATATCTGAATAATGTCGCTAATTAAAATTCAAAAATTTAATATATCTTAATGCTAGATCTACTAGAATTGGATGCATAGTATGCACGATGTTTGACAAGTTCGATAGCATACGTGGAACGTGACGGAACGCCATGGGTCGGCAGCGGAGATGTTGGAATTGGGGACGGCGGCGTGGAGCAGGCAGATCAAGGAGTTGTAGTGATTGAACGTCACAGAGTCGCCGACCAACATGATCTGTTTCCCCTGCATCTTCTTCAGAAACCCAATTGCATTGAATCTGCAATGCATGCCGATTTTTTTAACGGTACGAAATGATTAAACCGCGTAATTTCGGAATAAAATACATTATTACGTGATTTTTTTTTCTTTCTCTCTCTCCACGACTTTCGGTACGATTTTACAATCACTTGATCTCGGAGAGCAGTAATAGTAACCTGGGGAGGTTGCAACCGGAGGGTTGCCATTTGTACTTGAGGTACTGCCGGTCCGGCCGGCCGTACTTGTGGCAATCGAATTCCGGCCGTATGAAGGGACAGGTGGGGGAGTAGTCGGAAAGATAAGGGTACGGCGACTGGTCCAACACCCAGCTTCCGGTGAAGATGTCGCAATTCTTGCCGGCTCCTCCGGCTAAGCAAAAGACGGGGAGAGTGATGAGGATAATTGCTAGAAAATGGCAGCTAATTCGCTTGGCATCATCCATTTTGAGCTCCAAGTGCATATACAGCAGGCGGGAGATAGATTACAGGAGAAGAGGAATTGGGTTGGTTTATTTAAGAAGGGAGAAAGCAAAAAACGGTTGAATCATTTTACTTGATTTCCGCAGTTTATAAGATAAATGCAGAAGACCAGCGGTACAATATCCTTTAAGGGAAAAAAAGGAAAGGAAGCCCTCAGCTATTCCTCCGGCCGGTTTGTTGTTGTTGTTGCTGTTCCATATTTATCTTTATATTCTTTTTTTTTTTTTTTTACTTTGGTTGAATCGGATTCATTTCTCACTAGTTTTATACCCGGCGGCCAGTTTGGCTGGACTATGATTAATCTTACCATATTGTGATGAATTTGTGTGGACCAATTTTACTCGGTTAAGTTGACAACTTGCTAATCAAGTATGCCAACCAATATTAAATTGGTATGATCTGGTTAAATATATGTTGTTTTATTTATATATATATAGATAATAGGTATGCTAGCTATTGTTGTAACCACGGTTGTATTACTATTGTGCCACTAAATGCTATTTTGTTAAGTTGTTCGATACAATCTTCGATATTTTTTTTTATGGTAGTTAATCTTTCAATTGACATTGCCATCGATCTGTTCTAGTATCACACTGCGTTTAAGTCCAACCCTTTTGCTTCTGGAACATCCCAATAGCTGTCACCTCCTCCAACCTTTAAGTGCATTGAGCGGTATTGTATAAACAGAAACTCTATCACTTGTACCTCTATTTTTTTAAAAATTAAAAAGTAGTTTCATAAAAGATAGCCTCTAGGTTTCATTTTTACACCATTGACGAAAACTTCGTAAATGGAAGCGAAATGTTGAAGAAAAGCCTAACCACAAAAGTGTAACCTTTTACACATCCTTTGAATTAGTCGAACATAGACCGCCCGACACGATTAGAGCAAGAGAGCACATACAGAAAAATATATGGGCCAGGTAGGCACGAGCATGAATAATTTACTGCAAGGGCATGGTACGGTCTATAAGTGGATTGTGTCGGACCTAATATAAATGAATTGTAAGTTCAAATATTACAAAACACAACAACAAAAATAATTATTTATTGTTGTTAGAAGTGAGCATAGACATATATGTAATTACCACCATAAGTAAAAATGGGCGACGAATTAAAAAAAACACACCTGTTATACTTCCAATTTTCTTCTCCTCCCTTATTTGTTACTTTTTTCAAACATGGTTAATTAATACTTTCATTCTCTGTGTGAACAAGGGCTTGGTCCGGTCGTATTACCACTTGTCTTGAATCTGAAAGTCTCGGGTTCGAATCTGTTAAGTAACATTTTTCTCCTTCATTTTCATATCCTCTTTTTTTTCCATTATGCATGAATATGAGCACGGCACGAGCAAGAGATAGGGACGATCGTTCCATGCCTAGTAAATTTGAAAAATGGACTAGCACAGCAGCACGATACTGAAACTGATGGACCGGCCCAAACACGACACAAAATAAACGGGTCGAAAGCATGTCCGTTCCATGTCGGCCCAAACACAGTCCAGCGCCCAGGTACGACACGTAAAAGTTACCAAAATTTGAAAGATAAATGAAAAATTCCCTACAACAATGTTTTTGGTAGAACAATAGAAGAGTTCCTTCAATTTTTTTTTTTGTGAACTTAATACTTAATTTTTAATTTTTTTCCCTGGTTAGTTTTTCCTTCTTTGTAACGGTGGCTTCTCCATTGATGAATTACAACCCATAAACCTCATTAAAATATTAATGGCATCTTAACTACACTAGTTAACAAATTCGTAACTCATCCCATACTCCCCTCTAACTAAACCTCCTCCTGCAAATATTTAACCACAATAATCCTGCAAAAACAAACGGGGGGCTCAAGTTACTCGGACAAAAAAAAAAACGGGGGGCTCAAGTTTTAAATTCTTTTCTCCAAATCACATACACAATATTAAGAAAGCTCTTAATTCTTTCTCGTCCTCTGTCGATGAGGAACTCATTAAGAAGCCATGGCGGTTTGGTCAGCCACCTGAGCATCCTTATTATTGCAACCTTTTCAACTCATTTGCTCCGCCAAGTTTTCGCGATCCCCAGAACCTGCAATCTGTTCCAAGGAAGTTGGGTGTCGGATAACAGCAGCAAATCCAATAATATTCCGCTGGTCTATGATTCCTCCCAATGTCCATTCATCAACCCATTATTCGACTGCGCCAAGCATGGTCGCCCTGATCGCGGTTACCTTCGTTATAGATGGCAACCTAGTGCATGTAACTTGCCCAAGTATGTGCTTAATTACTCTATCTTACTTTTTTTTTGCAGATAACCATTTGGTATTTTGGTCTTCATTGACATACATAGCAGAAATTTACCGTAGAAGCGGGCTTTGATACACTGTGAAAATTACACGAGGATAGTGTTGGGATCGGTGTATTTCAAATGCATGTATTTGAATTTGTGAATTTGAAATACTCGCATATATGAAATTGGACGTAATTTAAATATGTTGTTTAGATACTCGTTTGTAATTTATTGTTATTTCGGATTTTTTTTTTTGAAGTTTTTTTTTCAATTTTGATATTCTAGTCACATATTGCTGTTTTTAAAAATTATATTTTAGTAACGAATTCATTTTTCTTACAATTTAGTATCTAAAATTTAATTATTCTACAAACAGGTAAAAAAAAAATTGTGCTAAAATTATGTTTTCGGTACATTTATATTTTTACTTCTGAAATTTCACAAATACCTCTAATATGTTTATATTAAGAATTTCAAATCACTGATTGTTTTTTTTATATGTATTTGAAATTTACAAATAATGCACTAGATATGTTTGAAATCCACCCCATGGTAAACAATCCAAATGTCATATAATTAGTATTCAAACAAATAAGTAAGTATTTGTAATTTCAAATCTCAAGTAAAAAATGTGAATTCCATCGATCCAAACGCACCCTAAATGTTGCAGATTTGATGGGAAGGTTTTCTTGGAGAAACTGAGAGGGAAAACCATAGTGATTGTTGGAGACTCGATTTCTTTCAACCAACAAGAGTCATTGACTTGCTTGCTTCATGCTGCCGTTGGGCCAAACTCGAAAATTACCACAGGCACCATGGGTCCATACAACTCTAATTACGTGACTTTCCAGGTAACTAATCCCTTAATACAAAATAATAATAATAGTAATGAGATGTGAACAATTCATTCTAGCTAGCCTAGGAATTACATATGTAAAATTTCAGAATACATTCATTGATGAATTCCAGGAATACGGGGTGACGATAGCTGAATTCTATACCCGATTCCTGGCGCAAATCACTACGGAAAAGATCGGCCGGGTACTGAAACTTCATCTGATAAACGACTACGGCAACGTGTGGAAAGACGCTGACGTCCTTATCTTCAACACCGGGTTCTGGTGGGATGTCAATGGGAATCAAAAAGGGTACGCTTTTTTGAATCCAAGTTGAATCGAATCGTTCTCGTATATGCACCAAAAAAATTCACGCGCGTGTTCAATCTGTTATAATACGATTGATTTCATTCGTTTTTTTTTTTTTTTGAAATAAACCCAGATGGGATTTCATTCAAGACGGGGAAAATAACCCGATCGTCCGAGATATGGACCGAACCCTAGCCTTTCGAAAAGCCCTAACGACATGGGCGAAATGGGTCGATTCAGGAGTGCTGAATTTCGCCAAAACCAAAGTATTCTACCAAGGATTCTACCCTGACCACTACCGGTTAGCTTCAATCAATCGACTAATTAACTTGTATTTTGTTGATTTATTTTTTATCTCTTTGCTCATTGATTAATTACCAATATACAGCCCTTCTGAATGGGGACGTCCGGAGTTGAAAGATTGTGCAAAGGAGACTGAGCCAATGTCAGGATCGACGTATCCTGCCGGTCCGCCGCCGAGGCTGAGCATAGTAGAGCAAGTGCTGAGCAGCATAAAAAGCCCAGTTCAGTTTCTGAACGTAACAACGTTGTCACAGCTGAGAAAAGATGGGCATCCTGGTCGTTACAGTGATGCCGGGAATGGGTTCGTAGATTGTACACATTGGTGTCTTGCTGGGATCCCAGATACTTGGAGCAGCATCATATTTGCATATCTTACTTTAGATGAGAATATGGCCTAGCCATATAACTAAGAAGACTAGTTTCTTGGCAATAATCAATAGGTTGATTAATATAGTTCGATATCTGGCCCTAACTTTGCATTAACTTACAATTTTTGGCGACAATGATCAATAATGACAACAACAAAAAAAAGGGCATCAAATTTCATAGTCCTGGAATTTGAGTTTCTCCGAACATCATATTATGGGTAAGCTGTGATATGTTGTATTACATTTCCATCGTCTACTTTTGGATTTCGATGATGGTTATGATTTTAAAAATCGCAATTTGGAAATGTATCGAGAAAAATCGCCCTGTTGAACTCGTTATCATCTCTATATACCCGTTTATACTCTGGTTCGATTTAGATACCATTAATCACGTTAATTTTTCTTTCCTACTTCTTCACATCAAAACCAACAATTACGCCACCAACCTGTGTATACTGGTTGATATACTACGATTTTATTCTGATCACATTCATTCAGAATTTAAACTGGTAGACAATCTTAATAATATATAACTGACGGTTGAATTCCAATTAAACCGCATCACCAACACGGTAAGCCGAACTATCTACAGCTATGCCATGTTCCACAAACTCATCCCTACAGATCAAAGTGATGCCCTGCACTGTTTGCTTTCCGAGAATCGTTCTACTCTTTCCTTTCAACCACCTTAAGCTAGTTCATTTTACTAGCTTTATCTCTGCCCTCTTAATGTTCTTCTCTCATTCAAATTTCCATCTTGCTGTATTATGGAGTTAGTCTACTACCTGTAGACCCTCCTCTTTTCATGAATACAAGCATTCATCATCAGGGGCGGAGCTATGTTCAAGGTAGGGTGGGCCCCGGCCCCCCGGGATTGGTCTCGGCCCTAGGATATTAAGGATATTTTGTACAAATTTTATAAGTATTACTTGTTCTGTAAATTCTATTATGTAATAGATGTATAGTCTAATGGAAGTCAAGCTTGACTTTTGCTTTCAAGGACATGAGTTCGATCCACAAAATCACATTTGTCTTTTTCATTTTTTTACCAACTTTTTAATCTTCATTAATTTACTCCCCTTCTACAATTCCCTAAACAAAACCGTCATTTTTATTTTTCTTTACCAACTTTTTAATCTTCATTAATTTACTCCCCTCTACAATTCCCCAAACAAAACTGAAACTCCCCATTTATTGTGAGAGAGTACCAATAAAAGGCCACCTCTTTTTATTTAGTTTAATAAATTTCAAGTCTCAATTTTCATTATCATTCCCAATTTCAAACGGAAAAATGACAGCCAAAATTTTTAGTTTAGATGTTATTTTGAGTGATTTCAATGATCAAAGAACGTCTTATACTTCTAAAATAATTATAAATTTTTTATTAATTAATTATTTTCGGCCCCCCCGGTTTTGAAATCCTGGCTCCGCCCCTGTTCATCATTCATAAAAAAAAAAAAAATTCCAATTAAACCCACGATTTTCCGCATAAAATACCCTACAGGCACAGAAACATTTCGCAATCATGGGTTCATCACATTTACTTTTCTGCCGCCCATCATTAATTTTCAACTGCCCGCCCCTTAAAATTTCCCCAACTTTATTTGTACGGATAAAGCTGGCTTCCATTTCCCTCACACAAACCACAAAACGACAATGACACCATCGTCGGACGACGACAACTCTGCGGCCGCTTCCGCCGCCGCGCGTCCTCCTCCGGTCCTACCCTGGAAGGTGAAGCTCTTCGTCAAGCTCATGTTATTCGCGGTGGACCGCTGCTACCGACCGGACGGCACCGTCAACCGCCGGGTCATGTCCTGGTTCGACCGGAAATCCCGACCCGGCCGCCGGTCCAACGGCGTCTCGTCCACCGACGTCACCGTTGACCCCGGCCGCGACCTCTGGTTCCGTCTCTACACCCCGAGTACTACTGCAACCGCCGCCGCCGCCGGCCCCTTGCCGCTCATCTTCTTCTTCCACGGCGGCGGCTTCGCGTTCATGGCTCCCGACTCCACTCCCTACGACGACCTCTGCCGCCGGCTCGCCGCCGAGGTCCCCGCCGTGGTCATCTCCGTCAACTACCGCCTCGCACCGGAGCATCGATGTCCGTGCCAGTACGAGGACGGCGTCGACGTGCTCAAGTTCGTCGACGGCGGGAGCTGCGATGAAGTCGCTAGCCTGTGCAAGGTAATTTGATATTATGAAGAGGAATTAATCATAAATCAAATAATTTATATCATAAATGGTTAGGATTTAGGAACCGGTCTCGTACGATGTTATAATCCAAAGAATTGGTTATTTGGTACCTAAGTTTCGCATACCTTTCGATTTGGTACCTAAGTTTCGCATACCTTTCGCATACCTTTTGTCCCAAATTTCGCATACCTTTCGATTTGGTACCTAAGTTTTCCATTTTAGTAGTATTTTTGATTTTTTGCCCATCGTCTTACCGTGTGTCGGACTTTCTCATCCCAACCTTTCTATACAAAGCTCTTCTACTAGTTAAAAATAGACTTCTATGTGTCAATATTTTGGTAATTTATGTTGAACGATAAATAACATAATAAACTCTTACTTCAAAAATTTTATCGACCCCCTATCTAAATTCCTGGCTCCGTCCTTGGTGCCACTACCACCCTATGTTATCTTTGCGGGTGCTCTCTAGAGATGTTTAGTTCTTACAAACTTTAGTTCTTATTTAAAATCAATATTATTTCACCATTATAAAAAAAACAAATATACTATACCTACAACCCCGTTAATATACTTAGCGATGGCAAAAATATCCGTAACCGTGGATATCCACCCGAATCCGGCCTAATCGGGTAGGGTAAAATCCGAACCCGAAGGACATTTAGTGGGTACGGGTAAAACCCGAACCCGAATATTGCGGGTAATGGGTGGGCAAGGGTTTCTCACTATCCAACCCGAACCCGCCCGATTATACACATACATATGTATTTTGTCTAGATAAAATCATTATTTTTCTTTAAAATATTTTATATTTAGCATATAAATATAATATTTTCATGAAATTGTGTTGTTTTAATTAATTTTCCTCATTCTAGTGAATTATTGTTGCACTTTTCCTCTTACGTAATGTAAGAATACGTGCGAATGTTAACATATTGGTTGGAGTTATGAAGAGAAGTGATTATCCATGGATAACCGTGGATACCCGAAACTCGAACGGGTATGGGTATGGTTTTGATTTTTTACCCGTTTCACACGTGTGTATGGGTATGGATAAAACCCGAACTACTTTGGGTAGGATAACGGATATGCACTATCCGCCCCCCGACCCGACCCATTGCCATCCCTAAATATACTACAAAATTAATTTGTTATTATTATTATTCATATAATTAATAAAACTTGAAGGCTGGCACTGTGGAGCCGAAAAGGAGCTTCGTGGCGGGAGATAGCGCGGGAGGGAACATTGCTCACCACGTTACAATGAGAGCAGGGGCCCACAAGTTCTCCACGTTGGAGCTGATCGGCCACATATCGATCCAGCCCTTATTCGGCGGAGAAGAGCGAACGGCGTCGGAGTTGGAGCTAGCCGACGCGCCCTTCTCCACGTGGAAGCGCACGGACGTGACGTGGAAGCTATTTACGCCGGTGGGGTCGGACAGGGACCACGTGGCGGTGAATGTGTTCGGGCCAAACTGCGAGGATATTATGAGTCGGGTCAAGTTCCCGGCTACGGTTTTGTTCGTGGGCGGGTACGACCCGCTGAAGGACTGGCAGAGGCGGTACTACCAAGGGCTGAAAAACGCGGGGAAGGAGGCGAAGCTGGTCGAGTACGAGAACGCGATTCACACGTTCTATTCGTATCCGGAGATGCCGGAATCGGGTCGGTTTGTGGAGACGGTCCGGGATTTCGTCCGCGACCCGATCGGGTTCTGTTCTTCCGGGTGAGATCGTTGTGTACTTTGTATTATTAGTTTGTAATACAAGTCATATCGGCATGTATTGTAAGTAGTATGAATTTGTGTTGTTATTATGCTTTGTATGCAATATCAATATGATTTTTATGCTTTGTATTGTTGGTTTGCATATTTTTATGATATGATTTGTATATTTTGTAATATTTATATACTTTTATGATATGTTTTGTATATTTTTCATATGTTTGTATATTTTGTTTGAATATTCATATATTTTTACCTAGTTTGTGTTATTGGTTTGTGTGTTCACGGTCTAGTTTGTATAGTTTGTATATTTTTAGGGTAATTTCTATTTTTTATCAAAATATTTTTCAGATTTTTTATATTATCCAAACCTATCGAAATACTAAGAATTAGTCAAATGTTAACTTTTAGTTAGCAATTTTGTTAGTAATATTGACTTGGCAACATGATACTCACTTGGAAGAGATACATAAAGGTCAACATTTTAACATTTTAGTATTTTAACTAAGAAAAGAGTTATAAAATCATTAACGATAATGACTAATCTATCTATACAATAATAGATACGGATTCATGGGTTAGAAAGCTCCCATTTTGAATTTCCAGGCTCCACCTTCATTCACGGAAGGGCCTCATTGTAAATTCACAACTTCCTTTTAAATGGCAGTGTACCGTTTTGGCAAAGGCATTCATAATTCCATGCCGCCTGCGGGCTTTGTTTCAAATCCAGGTTTGTAATTGGGCTTTATCTATTTTTTTTTAAACTGGCCTTCTAACACCAGTGGCGTTATTAGCCCCCCTTAGAGCAGAACCAGGCAATGCCGGCAACACCGTAGTTATCTCTCGCCCAACGGAACAGCTACCCAAGTTGTCCTCGCCGGCTGCCGCCAAGAATTGCAGTGGGTTTACGTCGCCTCACGCCAAACTCCGCCGACCCATTTGGGCTTAATGAAAGGATTAACTTTCTTCCTCCGTCGAAATCGTCCCCCTTACCCTCACTGCCGAAAGCGACCCTCCACCCCCACTGTCATCGGCGACCTGGTCAGCTCTGCACAAAACGAACACGCAGCCGACATCTCTACCTTTCTTCACCGGCGGTGGCTAACGAATACGGCGGCAGAGTCGGAGTTTTGAGGCACTGGTCGTCGCAATCGAGTAGGAGTTGAAGAGGAGAGAGCGAGGAGGGGCCGTAATTATTTGGCTGCTTCATCGGTCCATGACATTTAGGCAGAGGATACGAAGTCGGAGTCAACGATGGCGAGGATGAGGAGGCGGAAGAGGAGAGATGACGGGAAGGCGAAAGTGCCGGAATCGCCATGGAGAGAAGGAATTTAAATTGGACCAGCAATAGGGGGAATTTGGGATTTGTTGGTTGAGATTGATATGGATAGGGAGATTGAGAAATGGAAGGACACTATTTCTGATGAATTAGAGGAAAGATGAGAAGCATGTTTCGTTTCCCAGAGAAGAAAGGGGTAGGTTTCATTGTTAGAGATAGGCTGGTCGTGAAAAATAAAGGGAAAGAGTTAAATTTTTTATTTATTTATATTGGTTTTCATTTTTTTTGTCATTTTATAATTGTATTTTACATCTAAATTTGCACCCTCCTATTTTTCTCTAAAACAACAATTTACACCTTAATTTTATCCATACCGACAGAAAGTCCTTCGGGTTGAGTTTTATCCTACACGGTTAGATTAGATTCTCGGAGGTATCCACAGTTGTGGATTATTTTACGCCAAATCACGACTTTGATGTATTTTGAAAATACTAAAATTGTGATGGAGAATATATAAAGAGAAGATATTAGATTAATTTTATTTATATATTGGATAGTGTAGAGAGATTAGGATGGAATATGGAGAAATGAGTCAATGAGATGAATCCTCTAATTATGATAATCAATTCATTTAAAATTATGTAACTATCTAAAGGTCACATGCAAAAGTGGTAATTAATATTTAATTATTGAAAAAATTAAGGATTAAATATTTAATAAATATGTAAAATTTATGTAATATTTTTTACTAAAAAGTAGGTTTAATCTCCCACATAAATTTGGTTTCACCTAATTTGAGAATTGTTGCTAATTTAAATTGATGCAATTGCAAAATATTACCAGAGTATGTACCGAAAAAGTCAATGATAAGTGTTTTGTGTTGATATCGTGGTTCAACCATTTTGTATTACTAAAATTGTCTATAGGGCTTAGGTTTCGATATGTTTTTTTATGCCAAATATGGTACAAATTTTTTAAATATTGATTACATTTAAAAATGTGGTAATCAAACCACCAAATTTTCAGGGTTTTTGTTTTCAGGTTTTATTTTCAAAAGTCTAAAAATTATCAGTTAAACAGGTTTTTCATCATAAAATGGTAGTTTCATTTCGTTCATATTTTGTTTTACATTGTCGAGAGAGAAAAAAGGATTAGATTGGGTTGAGGAAGGCGGAACAGAAGAGAAAAGGGATTGGATTTGGCTGTTTGTTTCTTTAGGTTGAGAGAAGGAGATTGTCAAATTGGGACATTCAGCGCGTGAAGAAGAATGGAGAGAGGGTCCGGAAGTGGAGGAAGCACTAGATCTCATTTTCTTTGAGTTTTTATTGTTTTTTACATTTTTTATTTATTTTCTACAACAACTTTTTTTGGTGAAGGTTAATGACAGCCCAAATTTTGGGTTGAGATTTCATATAATATTAACTCCCTGTATAACCTGTCAAAACCGGCTTAATCTGGTTGAACTCCGATCCGACCATTAAACCTCAAACCCCCTTCTATATCGGTTTGACGACTTAATCCGGTTTGACAACATTGATAATAATCAAACTCTCCAGCCAACAGGTCGGGCCCGGTGCTAGGGATTCTCCTATTGGTGAGGATGAAGAGAAATGATTAAAATGAATCGTTGGAGAATACGAGGAAGATGAAACGAAACTGTTGAGAATATGAGATAGGATTAGAAACCATAAGGAAGTCGATCGATTGTTGGTGAAGGACGGAAATAGGCTTCGAAGTTGGTTCCACTTACCGGTCATTCAATTAGGCGGCCCAATATTCGCCTATTCTTCTGTGGACTAAAAATAAATCAGACTCTTGGATTGAAGGCCTAAGTATTTATTTCCTATTAATTTTTTTTACTTTCATCTCATATAACATTTTTTATACACATTAAGGATGTTATTGCTTATTATTATTATTTATAATTTATAAATCAATTCTTTTAATTCATCTTCATAATAAACATTAACCGGATCTATCCGCATGCATTGTCTAATTCAGCTTCTCCCATAAACACTTCCATTCAACAATTTTTAGATAAAACTTTAGTAGGTATTGATAAACACATATTTTTGGCCTAAAATTTTATACGAATAACATTTTATTACAAAAGTTACAAAAACAAATGAACTATTGTCAATTGGATTTATATTTCAATATTTACCAAATTATACGATTATGCGTTATTTACCCGCCCAACGGGGCAGGCTCGGTGCTGGTATTCTCACTTAAGAGTTATACAGTAGAACAAATCCGTCATTTATAAGAGGCTCAAATAATCTCACTTTAAGAGTTATACAGTAGAACACTTTGTTTATATCGAGCATACAGACAGTAGACAGCAGCCATTACAGAAAAAATATAAAATTATCCGAGTTTGAGGCCCACACCACAACCAGCCCAAACCCAGTCACCGCTAGTTTTAGACAGGCCAAGGCCCAAACGCACAATTCCCCACGTTACCCCATCACCTCTGCAAATCCAAACTCCTCCTTCCCTCTGTCTCTGGTCAAATGGAACGACTAGAGAGAGAGAGAGAGAGAGAGAGAGGATGGAGAAAACAGAAAACAACACTTTGCCCTTTACACGGAGAGATGCCATTTTAGTGACACAGATGCACTCCCACTTCACAGCCTTCGCCGCTAAGCTTTCCCCTGTTCACCATCACCGCCTATATAAAACCCTTCTCGTCAACCCAACAATAAACCTCACAAATTCACCGCACCAACCGATACCCTCTCTCTCTCTCTCTCTCTCTCTCAAAAATTCCCCCGAAATGCAGACTGTGAAAAGACTCCCCCGATCGCCACCGCTGTCGGCGTCGCCGCCGCCGCCGCCTTCCCGCCTCGACATGAACGACCTCCCGGAAGACCTCATCGCCAACGTCCTCTCCTTCACGGGACCCCGCGAGTCCTGCCGACTCGCCGCCGTCTCGGCCACTTTCTGGTCCGCTTCCCTCTCCGACACCGTCTGGGAGCGGTTTCTCCCCCCGGACATCGGCTCCGTCCTCTCCCGAGCCGCCGCCGAGAAGAACGGCTCTTCCGATTCCGGCTCTACCAAGAAGGATCTCTTCCTCCGCCTCTGCGACCACCCCGTCCTCATCGATGGCGGCCGTAAGGTAAATTTCAATTCCCAATTCAATCGTGTTCCCCAATTTCTCGTTCCAATCGCGTGAAATTTCTAGGGTTTCTTAAATAAACCTGATCCGATCGAATTTTTTTTGTTTTTTTTTACAGAGCTTCTCGCTGGATAAACGGAGCGGGAAGAAATGCTTCATGATCTCCTCCAGGGATCTCTACATTATATGGGGCGATACGCCGAGATACTGGAAATGGATCCCCGATCCCGATTCCAGGTTTTTGCCCCTTTTCTCCTTCTCCCAAAACGATTGGCGCCCCCTGATTGTGTTAAATTGCTGAAATTTTTTTTTTTGTTCGGATTTCCAGATTTGGGGAAGTTGCAGAGCTTGTTGGGGTGTGTTGGCTGGAAGTGAAGGGCACGATTCCGACGTCGATGCTCTCCCCGTCGACGTTGTACACGGCGTATCTCGTGTTCCGGGCGCCCCACGGGGCGTACGGGTTCGACTACCAGCCCGTGGAGGTCTCGGTGGGGCTGTCGGGCGACGAGAAGGCGGTCCGGTCGGTTTACCTCGACGCCGGGATGGAGAGGAGGCGGCGGCTCCAGGTGGTGGCCGCGGAGGGCGCTCCGAGGCGGTTGTTGGGCGGGTTCGGGCGGTTCAGCCCGCGCGGCAGCCGTGTGATAGGGTTCCATTCCCCTGCTCCGTCGGCGGTGGCCGACGAGGGATTCGGCCACCGCGGTGGCGGTGCCGCGGCGGAGCGAGGCGGCAGCGGTGTGTGTCCGAAGGAGAGGAAGGATGGGTGGTTTGAGGTGGAGCTGGGTGACTTCTTCGCCAAGGAAGGGGTTGAAGGGGAGCTGTTGGAGATGTATGTTGCTGAGGTGAAAGGTGGGAATTGGAAAGGAGGGCTTCTTGTTCAAGGCATTGAGATCAGACCTAAAGAGGGTAAATAAATTTTCTATTGGAACAGAAGATTTTTGTTCCATCTTTCAAGTAACTATTTTTCTTCTGTTACAAGCTTAGAAATGGTGAAGAAATGGGAGCCAAATGACTTTTGTCTTCTGAGTTGTTTTGTATTACATTTGCCTATTGTCTTCTTCGCTTTGTTCGGCATGTATGATATTCTTATATGTAAAACTGTAACGGAGCTCCGATCTTGATCTTGTAATGAAAGAGAGATTCAAGATTCGATTTCTTGAATAATTTTGAATTCTATGTATTGATTCACGTGATGCAAGTTACGTCCACACAATACGCAGTCATTTTGCAGACGATCTACGCGAGTAAAGTTCGTTGATCGTGGGTGAGATAGTATTAGAACATGTGAGAAATTGAGATGTCTCGAGCCTAGTGGTGGATTTATGGGGGTCGTCCTTGGGCCACGGCTCAGTCCTTTGCTGGATCAAGAGTTAGTATAGCATTTGTAGATTTTCGATTTTAGATGTTCGTTTGAGTACTCGTCGGATTACTATTCAACCCTTTCTACCTCTTTTTAAATATGATATAGTGTTTTACCCTATCTTGAATCAGCAGCTAGCCTGATTAGGCTTATGATGCCTAAGTCTAACATTTCCCTAATCTACCAATGAAAACAAACAAACAAGCAAACCACGGAATCCAAAACCTTGTAAGGCTGCCAAAAGCAAGAAAGTTGCAGCCTTTGAAGTTTGAAATGAACTTCTATTCTCCCGGTGTAGAGAGATCCACGGGCGGAAAAACAACAAAACTTGCAATCCATCAATTGATACTTGTGCGAGCAAAGGTTCAGTTCACCTAGAGGCTGGAGCTGAACAAGAAGAAAGAGATGATGCTGCTGTGCCTAAAAGCCGGGACAACTGAATGTTCGGGGTACTAATAATTGGACACTTCATGATTGTTTGGATACACGTTTGATTAATTATATCGAACTTTATGTGCTAACACAATTACTAATTCATCGATCATATATACTTGAATGTCTGAGTTCCGGGTAGAATCTTAACTGCCGTCGCTAACATGTCGAATCAAACATAGAGACGTTTTAGGAATGTTACACAAAATGCAAAATAAGTGCCTATTTGTTTACTTGAGATTTGTCAACTCTGTTACGATATGTCAACGCCAAACAATCAGCCCGACACTGACATGTCAATTGACGGTGCGCGCGAGCAAAGGCCGAAACAGAAGGAAAGAAATCGAGTGGGTTGCGGTGTGCCGACCCAACGATAATTGGATTGTCCATTATGCGTTTTTATCGTTGTTCGGTGCATGTGTTATATTTTAATTATGTTGAGTGTTCCGTGTTATGTAGTTATCGAGTAGTCATTTATATTAGGATGTTCTAGTCCTAAGATGGTAACGATTGATAAAAAGGCAACCTAATTTAAGTAGAATTAGAATATGAACCCTCGTCTATAAAATGCAGGAATCAAATATACAAAACTCTTAGGGACGTTACAGATGATGATCAGCAAAAGACTTAACAACTCTATAAGCAATAATTTGATTAGATTTGGATACATATACACATATAGCAATGCGCATGTGAAGGAGGAACTCAACTCAGGACATTTCCAAATCTATCTTCTTCTGGTTGTTCCACCATGGATTTGGAAGACAGACACCGACTCTTTTCTTCTCTGTTTCTTTCACTATTTCTTCCTTCTCTTCTGTGTCAGCTGCAGAATCCCAACCAACTTTCCACCCATCCTTTTACCACAAATGGGGAAAACCTTGAGCTGTCCAGTTCCTATCAATGGTTTCATGACACAGCATCCATGTGAAAGCACACTTCCTAACCACTAACCAGACATATTCCCCTTTTCCTCATGAGCCAAAAGCCCTCTTTTTGGGTTCATCATTCACCAGAATCTTTACCTGAGTGGCCAATCTCAATCTTAACACCGTCACAAAGTATAAAGCCACACAATTAAGAATTAACCCCACAAGACGAATTTCTTAAAAAAAATTGAAGCAACAATGCAATTCAACTATTCAATCACTTTCTTTAGTTTCTTGTCCATTAAGATATCAGATTTCCGGACTGCTGGGAAAACCCAAAAACAAGGTTTTTCTTTCAATCTCGAGACATTCTCCAACAATAGCTCTCTATTTGCCATTTTAGACCTTCTGTACAAAGATCACCATCACTGAGAAACATACACACTTGATACAGAAAGACAAAAAACGAGATCGAAAACACACGCCACTAATCTCGAGTTCGTATAGAATATCACAAGAGAGACGAATTACTTTCCGAAGCTTTTATCATCATCACAGATAATGTGGCGTACCGACTCTATCAACAGCAGAAGGTTGTAAAGAGCGGATTTTGATGTCGTACTTTCTGAGTTTAGTAGTAGCTTCGGAAGTGCCTGAAGAGGAGGATAACTCTGGTTCGTCGCCTGATACGAGAGGGTAGGCAGCTGCAGCTTCGTCGTCGTAAGCAATGCCAACTGGGTTGCCACACTTGCGGCAGAGAAGTTTGGTTCTCCTACGGAAAAAGCCCCACGAGCTCTTTGAGAAAAAATATGGAATGCATTGGAACTCGTCCATCAGAGTAAACCTGCTCTCGTCGATGTAGAAGAATGAGATGACCCCACGCTTTATTGATTTCCCATACTTGGAGTCTATGGTCGATGTGTTTCTGTTCGAAGAGCTCAAGTTCAGCTCATAGCCACAGACCCCACAGCTGCAACCAAAGATGAAAGATCATATCTTGTTAATGAAATTCATAATTCTTGTCAAACAACCAAAGCAAAGAACGATATTTCATTTCTTCTTAATCATATTTCAGACTCTGCTTCACACAGTACCATTCAAAATATCATGTAACTGAAAGTTGAAACAATTAACATCAATCTCCAAATACCGAACCAATACATAGCTCAATAGAAGGCATTGTTAAAAGAATATTACGCAGGATAAACCCTAGAGCTAAGATAAGACAGAAAAGTTGAAACAATTAACATCAATCTCCAAATACCAGACAAATACATAGCTCAATAGAAGGCACTGTTAAATGAATATTATGCAGCATAAATCCTATAGCTAAGATAAGATCGAAGACTTGTTGGTAGTTCAAGGAACTACAGCTAACTCAGTTGTCCATACTCCATACAATATAATCACACTGCAATAATCTAGCTTTGGCTATGTGAACTCTGTTAACCAATTGATCCGGAACTCCACCCACTTTTGTATTCAATCCATTCATCTGCATGATACATTATCAGGGATAAGATACTTTCCCAGCCTTCCTTCCACATTCAGTTGGTCAACTTGTCATGACAAAACAAATGTTCTAATTATAAGTAACTGTATCCAGAGAACACTTATGAGATACTAAATTCACAAACACTGAGAACAATGACAAAACGAATCTTGCCCATTTCTTGTCTCTTAAGATTGTCTTTCCTATTGTTGTCAAAATCATTCCTTTACCCTTTCCCCCTATCTTTGCCTTGCTGTGAGAGCGACTAAGCCCAATTGGGTAAGTAGGGCAGAAGGAGCCAGCATAGTTCCAAAATAGATTAAAACGAGAGAATTTCTTGTTCTGATAAGCACACAGTGAAAACGCCAAATCAAGCGGTTCCAATCCAATCTAACACAATGAATCGGTCCAAAGCATCCAGAAGAAGTTCTCAAGAGTCAAGACTAAAAAACCCAATTCAAGTTCAGTAAGATGGAAGAAAAGAAAAACACCCCGATTCGAGCGATCCAGCGATTCAAAACGGGGGAGGGAGGAGAACCTGTAGTTGACATGTCTAAGGGAGGCAGATGAAGAGGAGAAGGAATGTTGGTGCTGGTGATTCCCGTTGAGGTAATTCTCTCTAATAACCGCCGTAGACAAGGTCTCCATTCCAGTTCCGCCTAAACTGGTGGACTTCTCTTCTCCAGTAATCGGTGCCGACAAGGGAATTCAGGGTACCGCCGCCGATCAGAAAGCGGTTCAGAATTAACGGAAAGGAGTAATTGAGAAGTTAAACAAAAAGCAGGGTTGAAGGGTAGCGATTGAATTTGGGAAGCAGGGATGGAGAACAGCAGCTTCAAGGCTAAGGAGAGGGAGGTGGATTTTGAAAGGGGTTTTGGGTCTGCAAGTTTTGCGGAGGAGAAGAAGGAAAAAGGGAAGCAGAGAGAGAGAGAGAGAGAGAGAGAGGGAAGGCAACGGGAAGTTAGGGAGAGTGGGTGGGAATGGCAAGGATGGAACAGAGGAGGCTCCTTTCGTTCTTCTGCCTTGTGCCTTCTGGCAACGGATTTGGGACTAGACTTGTCTTCTTCTTCTGGTGCGTGTGTGAAACGACAACTTTTCCGACATTTTATTAATTTTACGACTGTCTACTTCGTTAATTATTATTTTTGTTTACAATATAAATATTTTATTGTCCAATCGAATCATGGATAGAGAATGCAAATGAGTCGAGTCGAGTCTTGATTTGGTTCGGGCTCGATTCGATAAAAGAGTCGGTTGGAGCTGAGATTTTTTCCTAAAACCTTGGTTTGTGTTTGACTCGAGCTCGACTCGAGTTTGGCACATCAATTAGCTCACAGATCGGTTCGAGCTCCAACATCACATCATTTAGTTAAAAAAATTTAATTGTTCATACCATGTTATTTAATAGTATTTAGTATATGAGCAATCTATTACGCATAATTTCTCTTTTAAATTATAAAATGAGATATGTGAACGTCACTGTGGCCGAGTGGATGTGTCGTTGGTTTTCAACATGGAGATCTCAGGTTCGAATCTCACGACTGCCCTCCTTTCCACTTCCACCACCCCTCAAGTAGCACACGTAAATGCACAGATTTCGATAAAAAATATAATTGTATTATATTTGATTACGTGCTCAAATTCTTAAACATCATATATGGTAATATATATAATCTAACAAGCATATAAATTACCAACAATCAAATGATACAATTTTAATCGATTAACTCATTTATTGTTAGTTGAGGTGGCTCGCTAGTCTTACTGTCGAGCCAACTAATAACTCAAAATGAGTAATCTCACAAGTTGAACTCAACAAATTGTCGAGCCGAGCTGGCTCATGAGCCTTGCGAGTCGAACAAGGCTTAGTTCAAGCTCTGCTCATTGGTAAACAAGTTGAGTGTTGAACGAGCTTTTTCTCAAGTCGAAGTCAAGCTGCTTGTGAGCAACTTGGCTCATTTGCAGCCATAATCATGGCACATGTTATAGCATCCACTGTCCACGTCAATGT